AATTTGACCTTTTTTGGCGCCTATCCATTGCCGCCAAATGTTATCCTCTCATGGCGGGGATTTCAAATTTTCGTGATTATTTTTCATTTTTTCTTTTTCGTCCCATCTTATCGTTTTCCTATCTGCCGTTTCATAAAGATTCCCGTATTCAAGTGAATTTTTGGGATTTTTCGATTTTAAGACCGTTTTTTTGCACTGTAAACCGATTTTAAGACCGTTTTTTTACGCGTTAAACTCTCAAAAAAATTGATTTATAACAAAAATTTCGATAAAAACTAGTCCTTTTTTTCTCTTTAAAAATAACTTCTAGAAGCAAAATTTCACCGGAAAAACAGAAGGAAAGTTTTTACAAAATTACAAAATTCGCCCGATTTTTTTTTTCTCAATTTTCAGCCGTTTTTTTGTGTCTAGATTCTCCAATAAATTCATTTTTGAGAGAAAAAAATCTTATTATGTTCAAAAAAATTTTTTTATCAAGAAGGCTTCATTTTTCTGTACATTAACTTGGAAAATTGCCAATAATGTACAGGATTCTTCCTTATTCAGTCTTCATTAAGTCAAAAATTTATATAACTGCTCTAAATTTTTCATAAGGAACAAGATCAGGCTTCAGTATATTTTTGTGTGACCTCTGATAATTGGAATTTTTATTTTTTACTAACGCTTTTCGAGCTGAAAATCGTCATTTTTTGCTTATTTATCATTTTTTTTTAATTTAAGGGTTTTTTTACTTTCTTTGAATGAGTTGCTTGGCTGCGTTTAGAATAGCTAGAAGCGTTGCGGTCGGGCTGCGGTTTGAGGCAAAATATGTGAGATCTTCCCTATCGACGGCGCAAGTCGTTTTGAGTCGGTCGCAGTTTTTTCATGGTTCCCTAATTCATTATGTATAAGTGGCTTGGTCGCGTTTAGAATGGCTCGAAGCGTTGCGGTCGGGCTGCGGTTTGAGGCAAAATATGTAAAATCTTCCGTATGGACGGCGCAAGTCGTTTTGAGTCGGTCGCAGTTTTTTCATGGTTCCTTAATCCATTTATTAAAGATCAGAAAAATGACTTGGTCGCATTTAGAATGGCTCTAAGCGTTGCGGTCGCGCTGCGGTTTATGTAAGATTTTCCCTATCGACGGCGCAAGTCATTTTGAGTCGGTTGCAGTTTTTTTCGTGGCTCTTTAGTTCATCTAGTAAAAGTCAGAAAAGTGGCTTAGTCGCATTTAGAATGGCTCGAAGCGCTGCGGCTCGAAAAATATGTAAGATCTTCCCTAACTACGGCGCAAGTCGTTTTGAGTCGGTTGCAGTTTTTTTCGTGGCTCCTTAGTTCATCTAGTAAAAGTCAGAAAAGTGGCTTAGTCGCATTTAGAATGGCTCGAAGCGCTGCGGCTCGAAAAATATGAAAAATGTTTCCAATCGACGGCGCAAGTCGTTTTGAGTCGGTCGCAGTTATTTTCATGGTTCCCTAATTCATTATGTATCGGAAAAGTGGCTTGGCCGTATTTAGAACAGTTCAAAGCGTTGTGTTTGGAGGAAGATATCGACGGCGCAAGTCGTTTTGAGTCGGTCGCACTTTCTTCTTAACCGCCTCGCAGCCGCAACGCTACGAGCCGTTCTTGGTGACTCCAAGTCTTAGAAAAGAAGTACATCCAGTGTTCGAATGATACCATGAAATCTTCAACCCTCCTTTTTGAGGAAAATTGTTCCGGAAGAAAGATTCAATGACAGAACGGGTCTTTTTTTGGATTCAGACCATTTTTGGTCTCAGTTTTTCAATTTTGTGGCTCGAAAACCTTCTTTCAAGCCTTCTTTTGTAGCATACTCTAATGAAAGTTTTCAAGTTTGACAAGTTTTTAGACCGTAACGGGTCTTTTTAGAACATTTTGCAGACTAAAAAACCGGTCTTTTCAGACCATTTTTTAGACCATAAACGGGTCTTTTTTGGCCAATTTTCAGACCATAAATGGGTCTTTTTAGGCCATTTTTAGTCACAATTTCCAGGTTTTTCCTATTGAAATCTCAGGTTTTCATGTTTGGAGCTCAATAATATTCTTTTAAAGGCTCCTTTTTGAAAGCTTTTCCTAATGAAACGAGTTTTTTTTTGTTATCACGTTTTTTCAAGTTCAAGACTTTAGATTTGGCTTTTAAACCTTCAAAAAAGTAGAAAACCGCTCCAAAATGAATAAAAACTGGCTTTGGTTCAATGGTTCAACTTTGGTTCAATAAATGACAGACCATTTTTGGTCTCAGTTAAATAAAATTTTTTTCTACAGAAAAACTCAATTTTTCATATTTGAGGCTCAGAAATCTTCTTCTCGGAAGCTCACTCGATTGAAAGAAATTTAAAATTGTCACGCTTAAAAACTTTGAAATCAATTTTGTTATGAATAAGATAATCTTTACTTAATGAAAAAAAAAGAGGAAAATTGCCCCGAAAAAAAAGTGAAAAAAATGGTTTTGATGCGATGATAGAATGGGCCATTGTTGGTTTCACTTTCCCTTTTTATCTCTGGAAAAAAGCTGTCTGTTCGAAAAAAAGCTCTGAATTAAAAGGTTCAAAAAGCATCTTTTTCGAGGCTTCCTTGTTTTTTTGGTTCACTTGGTCGTTTCAGAAAAAAACGTTACAAAAAAACTTTTAAAATTTTCATTTTTTTTGAATTTTTAGTGAAGAAGTCTGTAAAGCCGAAAAACTCAATAATTTCAGTAGTTTGATCCTGTCGCAGTTTTAATTGCTCATGTTTAAGCTCCATTTTTTGGCTTTCATTCCAAAGGTTGACCGAAAAACCAGGGCTTTTTTATCTTGCTTACATATAAAAAATAGCAAAAACACCAAGAGGGATCGATCCTTTGGCTTTTCAGTTAGGAGACAAGATCACAACCAACTGCGCCATACTTTTGTACACTTTTTGCACTTGAAAGGTTTCACTACTTTTCGAAAATTTGGTCTTCAAGTATATTATAATCCATTGCTCATGTTAGAGCTGCATTTCATCTATAAAAACTTGCCAAAACAACTACAGGAGTCGATCCATTGACCTTTAAGTTATAAGACAAGATCACAACCAGCTGAGCCATCCTTGTGACTTCTTGCACATGAAGGATTTTACGAAGTTTCCAAACATTCCTTGTCAAGATTAATAGATTCCATTGCTCATGTTAGAGCTCTATTTCATCTATAAAAACTTGCCAAAACAACTACAGGAGTCGATCCATTGACCTTTCAGTTATAAGACAACATCACAACCGCCTGAGCCATTTTCGTGACCTTTTTCATACCTTTTGCACATGAAGAGTATTATTAGATACCATTGCTCATGTTATAACTCCATTGCATCTATCAAAACTTGCCAAAACGACAGCAGGAGTCGATCCTTAGACCTTTCAGTTATAAGACAAGATCACAACCAACTGCGCCACTTTTGTGACCTTTTGTACACCTTTTTCAAACTTTGTCAATTTTATTGATGAATGGATGCCATTGCTCATGTTAGAGCACTATCTCATCCATCAAAACTTGCCAAAACGACAACAGGAGTCGATCCATTGACCTTTCAATTATAAGACCAAGTCACAACCATCTGAGCCAGCCTTGTCATCACTTTTCTGCACAACTCTTGCGTGTAAAAAAATCCCATTTTTTCAATTTTTCTCTCAAAAATGCGAACGCCAACGCATCAACTCCCTCTCGCTCTCTTATTTATTCCTAAGTACGCCCTAATCTAAAAATCCGCCACCCCTTTTTTCAGTCATTCCGAACTCTGAGCGTCTCAAGAAGAGACAAATTAGATGGGTTTTTCGTGATATTTCAGGCTCAATGAACCCAAAATGTCTTTTTCAAGTGTCCTCCTCACTAGCCAATCAAGGATTCAAGAGAAGCCTTGAAAAAAAAACGGAATGATGCTTGAAAATAGGAAAAATAGAAGCCTGCCGACAAATTGAGGCTTTCTCTTTAAAGATTGATCTTCTTGGTTTTTTTCAAATTTTTAAGACGAAATTTTCCCCACGGTCCTTATAAATATTTATGAATAGTGCAAACCCGAAATCTGCTCTTTTTCTGACCTTTTTGTTGATTTTATGATATTTTCAGAATTTTTTCTTTTCTTGTGGTATTGATAGTGTAAACACAGCTCTTGGATTTGTCATTTTGGATGTCTATTTTTTGACTTTTTTCTTCCTTTTTCTACTGTAGAAGCTGATGCTAATGTTCTATTTCATTCTGAGACTCTTGAACTAAAGTTAATATTCTTTGAAATTACAGCATTATTGTAGAAAAACCTGCTCAAAACAACATAATATGGAGAATTTCAACATTTTGAGTTTTTTTAAATCCATCCTTTATCATTATTCCCAAGAAAAAAAATGGCAAAAACAAATTGCACCAAGAAGGATTCGAACCCGCAACATGGGTTCCACAGTGCAAGGCTGCTAGCCACTACACCACGCCGTCTGAAGGCAGCCAGAGTTAGCCGCGGCGACACATTCCCATCCAATGCGTTTTTTTGTGCAGACTTTGAGGTGCCATAATTCGACTAGAATCGAAATTTTGCCTTTTTTTTTAAACTTCGATGGGCTCAGGGGTATCGGAAGTACCTATATACCAAGTTTCATCGAATTCCGACCTTCCGCACTTCCCTTGTAAGCAGAAGAATTAGATAAATCTCATTTTTCTTAAGCTGCATTAAGCAGGAGCAGAACTTCAGAAGAACCCCTTCTGATAGGACCAACTTCAACCTGGCCCAAGACTTCATCTGAGATCCTGTCCCTAAATAGGGCGCAGGCCAAGCCTGCGCCTAATCAGTATAACTTCCAGCACCTTTAAAATGTTCTTAGTACTATAAAACCGCTTCTAGCAAGACTAAGCAACCTTCAGAATAAATTTAAAACTCCAGGACCAAAATCCTATAACTTTAGGACCGTTAGAGCCTTCAGAACCACTTCCAGCAGGACCAGGTATCTCTCCATCAATAAGAAGAATTTGCCAGGACCATCAAAACCGACACGAAATCATACGTTTTTATTAGCACATGGCCTTCATGACAGAACGAGCACGGACGGCGGCGGCACGAGGTCTGCGGCCACTGGCAGACTTGCTCGACTTCACAGATCGAACCGAGTTCTTGCTGGTTGATCGCTTCACCGACCTCCTCTTGACAGACTTGGCCGACTTCTTGGCCGACTTATCAACCTTCGGAACGGTCCTGAAGACTTGACTGTTTCAAAAATCCAACCTTAAGAGACATACCTCTTCTTGGCAACCTTGACCGACTCGTCAAATTTGAGCGAGGCGACGTGACCAGAAGGCGAGGCCGAGCGAGAAGACTTCACAGGCTTGCGCTGTCCCCGCGGCGTCGTCTGGTACTTCTTCGTGACCTTCTTCTCCTCGAGGGGCACGGCAAAGCTGACGGACACCCTGCGAACCGAGGAGCTGCGAATGGAAGAACGGCGGCGCGAAGTAGAGCGACGCGACGGGGAGCGGCTGCTGCGAGAGGCAGATCGGCTGCGGAGCTGCGAAGAGCGACGGATCGAGATCGGCTTGCGGGTGCTGGACCGGCGGCGAGAGCTCGAGCCTGCAAGTTTTGAAGAATTATGATAGGATGTCTACCACCTCTAGGACCTTGAAGTCTCACTCCAGGATGTTATGAACCGTATCTAAGACTATTCCAATCAGCTCTAGGACTTATAGGACCAGCTCTAGGATCTTCAGGCCAGCTCTAGGATCTTTAGGACCAGCTCTAGGATCTTTAGGACCAGCTCTAAGATCTTTAGGACCAGGTCTAGAATCTTTAGGACCAGGTCTAGAATCTTTAGGACCAGGTCTAGAATCTTTAGGACAAGGTCTAGAATCTTTAGGACCAGCTCTAGGGTGCTTAGGACCAGCTCTAGGGTGCTTAGGACCAGCTCTAGGGTGCTTAGGACCAGGTCTAGGGTTCTTAGGAGTAGCTCTAGGGTGCTTAGGAGTAACTCTAGGGTGCTTAGGACCAGCTTTAGGGTGCTTAGGACCAGCTCTAGGATCTTTAGGACCGGCTCTAGGATCTCTAGGACCTACTCTGGGATTATCAGGAGTAGCTCTAGGGTGCTTGGGAGTAGCTCTAGGGTGCTTGGGAGTAGCTCTAGGGTGCTTGGGAGTAGCTCTAGGGTGCTTGGGAGTAGCTCTAGGGGTGCTTGGGAGTAGCTCTAGGGTGCTTGGGAGTAGATCTAGGATGGTCAGAAGTAGCTCTAGGATGGTCAGGAGTATCTCTAAAATCTTCAGGAGCAACTCTAGATTTTCCAGGACCAGCTCCAGATTCTTTAGAACCATCTCTAGGAACTTAGGGACTTACTCCAGAAGCAGTCTCGTTCTTAACTTGAAAACAATGATCGAAACTCACGCCGACGGGTGCTTGAAGAGCGGATGGCGCGACGGCTGCGCTCACTGGATTGGCTACGGCGGGAGCGGGAACGGCGAGCGACGGTCATTGTCGTGTTAGTTAGACGAGTGTGGTAAAACTAGTCGGAATCGACGTCATTTCCTCTTTTAAATGATTTCTTATCAGCACGTGTCACGTTTTTTATCGTTTTTGGAATTTCTGAAGGTCATTTTGAGATTTTCTTCTGTAGTTCTGAAGCTGCTGGATCTTTTTTGAGGCTCTGATTTCTTGAGATCTGCTTTGAAAATCTTGGATCAATGCTTGTATTTTTTAAAATCCAGTCTGAAAATCTTGGATTCGCCTATGCGCTTCTCAAAAATGATGATGAAAATCGCTGAACTGATCAAAATTTTCATCTTTGAAAATGGTTTGAAATTCGAAATTCGAGCTAAAAAAATCCTTTTTTGAAGTTTTTCAGTGCGATCTTAACCAAAAATGACCCAATTTTTTGTCCTTTCAAAATTTAGCTTTATGATGCAAAGATGAGATCATTACTTTTTTTTGAACTATACGGATTAGTGGGGTCTAGTCAATGGCTCTAATCTCAAGAATAGCCTTGAATACGCCAAAGTTTCGTAGATTGAGTAGGAGGCGCGGATTTTTTGATCTGACCGGGAAAATTTGAAGATTTTCTGATTTTGGGCACCTTCTGAAAATAATTCTCGTCAAAAAAGTTCGATTATTTTCAATTTTTGCCATTTTAACCATTATTGAACTTTTTTCCTCTCAGAAGGATTCGAACCAGTGATCCTTTGGACAATAACGCAACTCCTTAGCCACTTGACTATCAGTTCGATCTAGTTTCGGTCCTATTTCAACGCGAAAAAGTGGATTTTGAAGTTGCAAAAAATAGAAATTGTCCAGGAATCGAACCAGAAACCTATTTTATAGTGTTTGAGCTCTTTAGCCACTTGACCAAGTTGCCCAACTCCATTTTTCTTTAACTTCACTGAGAAAAGTTAATTTTTTCAGTGTTCCTTCTTATTTTTACTCTTCTTTCTCAGTTTCAAATCTTCAGATCAGAACAGGAATCGATCCAACCACCCTTGGAGTGGGATCCAGGCTCCTTAGCCACTTGGCCAACCTACCAGACTTCATTTTTCAAATCAAATCAAATCAAAATGTTTTATTTCTCACACACAAGTACTAAATTTCACGAAATAGATGTAGGGAGAGTTTGGGAACATATGTGTCGGAACTTGTGGTGATGGAGGGAAGAGGACTCGCGGTCGTGTTAACCCCCACTTGAGTAAATTGGAATAACCATGAAGTTATTCTTTTTAAATATCGATTATGTAGCTTTCATATTTTTTTGTTGGATCAAGTGTGTTTAGTTCTGTAATGTTGTTTTCAAACCATTTCTCAAGTTTAGATCTGAACTTATTTTTTTCATATTCAAACACTATGTTTCTATCCATATGATTCCAATGATTGAATACTCTTTGATTAATGAACCGGTAGTGTATGTCAGAAAGTAGAGGCCGCTCTATTTTGAGACCATTTCCTCGCAGTTGATCCAACTTTTCTTGAAAAAAAGTTTATTTTTTCAGTTTTCGGCCTTATTTTTTATCTTTGTTCTTAGCTTCCAATCTTCAGACCAGAACAGGAATCGATCCAACGACCCTTTGAGTGAAACCCAGGCTTCTTAGCCACTTGGCCAACCTACCAAACTTCCTTTTTCTTGGAAAAAAGAGCTTTTCTCAGGGCTCTTCGCCTTTTTTATTCAGCTCATTGGTCGTGTTTTTCGCGTTCGGTTCCTCATTTATTTTCCTTCAAAACATTGCTAATCTCATTTTGTTCTCCCGTTTTTTTTTCTGTTTTCCCCCTGGTGAATTTCAAAAAAAGGCCTTGTTTTTTGGGTTGAAGATTTTGTTCTTCTCTCGTTAAGAGTCTGAAGGGGATTCTTACCAAAGGATCTCTTTTATACCAATTCTTTAACTAAAGCATTTTCTCACAATATTTAACGAATTAATCGCTGATAACTGCCCTTTTTTCCCTTTTCCTCTCCTTAACCGCAACCCTTTTAATTCCGATCGTAGGATTCGTAGACTGTTACGTAGAAGATATCTTTTAATTAGACTTGGTCTTTTTTCCCATGCTACTCGCAGTTCTTTCAATATGATTGTTAAAAAATCCGAAAAACGTGCAGCTTTGATTCTTCGCAAACAACATATTAAAAATTTCTAATACTTTCAACTGCTCCAAACTCTCTAAATTCATATCTCGATCGCTCAAAAACTGACTCTGGCATCCCTAACTTATATTATAATGATAACTTTGTCACGGAAGATGTATCTAAAGCCGATCTCTTCTCATCTGTTTTCTCCTCTAACTTTTTCACATTTGATTCACCCAACATTTCCTGTTTTACCCTCACCTCGTCCTACCGATTGTTCTATCAACTTCACACCTGAAACGATTTTTTTAAAAACTCTTTCTAATCTTCCACCTAAATGCGGTTATTCTTCTGATAATATCAACTATTTTTGTCCTAAAAAAAGTGCTCTGTTTCTATTTCTCTTCCACTTTCTATTATTTTCCAGGAATCTTATCTAACCGGTATCACTCCTTCATTATTTAAGTCTACTATAGTTATTCCTGTGCATAAAAAAAGGTAGTCTTTCTGATCCAAATAACTTTCGCCCCATATCTCTCACTCATCCAATTTCTCGTGTATTTGAACGCATCATTACTCAAATGATAAGATCTCGTTTTTTTCTGAAAAAAATTCTCTCAATTCCAATTCGGCTTTCTCAATCGTAGGTCATGCAAACTTTCTCTAATCAGCTCCCTTTCCTCCATTCAAAAAAATCCTTGGCATCTAATCTTCCTATCGATGCTGTTTATTTCGATTTTTTTCCAAAGCCTTCGATAAAGTAGATCATAACCTTTTTAGGCCTAAAGATGTCCAATTTCGGCTTTAATGATACTCTCTGTCGCTGGTTCTCCAATTTTTTTATCTAACCGTTCCTCCATTGTAAAAGTTAACAACTCGTTTTCTAACAATTCTTTTTTTCTAATCCTTCGGGTGTACTTCAAGGGACGGTCAGCGGCCCCCTTCTCTTTCTCGTTTTCATCAATGATATTGAAAATTTTATTGATCCTCAATCCTCGATCTCTATCTTTGCTGATGACCTCAAGGTTTATAGCTCTTGCCCTGATTCGCTTCAAAGAAGCATAAATGGTATTTTCCAATGGTCAGAACTTTGGTCTCTTCCACTTGCTGTTGAAAAGACTTTTTCTCTTCACTTTGGCTCTAACAATCCTCAAACGGTCTATTTTTCTTGATCAATTTCAAATCCCACAAAGATCAATTGTTCGTGATCTAGGCCTTCAAATTGATGAGAAGCTCTCCTTCAAAGACCATATTTCCCGTATCTCTGCCTTTTGCTACATTACGGTCTAATCAAATACTAAATACCTTTAAGTTTTTCTTCCCCCTGCACTACCTCAGAATGTTTCAAACCTACGTGACGCCTATTCTCGAATATTGTAGTGAAATCTTTTTCTCCCTCTATCTCGTCTGAGGAATGCTTCAAACTCGAGTCTTCTCTACGCCAATTCAGTAGAAAAGTTTTTATAAGATGCAATGTTCGCTTCAGTTCTTATTCTGATCGTCTCAGCCAATTTGGCTTTAAACCTCTCTTTGTACGTCGTTGTATTAACGACATTATTTCTCTTCATAAAATAATTTGCGGCTCTGACCACTTTCTCAATCGCAATGACTTCTTCACTATTTCTCCTTTACAGAGGAATCCACTTCGACTTCGCACTTCCGGTCAGTTCTCTAAAGATTTTTTTCCAAAAACTATTCCATTATGGAATAAACTTACCTCTAGAATAAATTTTAACGTCTCTACGGATGCGCTACGGGTTAAACTTAATGATCTCCCTAACTCTGCCTTTTTCGAATCCATTCCTTCCCGTTTGCTCTGACTTCCTTTCTATCCCCGGGTCATAGTCTACTCGTTAGGGTGGACTAATTCCCGTTTTGGTTATTCTGCTGCTTTCGTATTCTGAACTATTTTATTTATTATTTTCCAACAGTATGCAGTGAATAAACCTATTATTATTATTATTAAGCTCATAAGTTCATTTTCCATTGGTTTCTGGACCTTTTCTCGCATACCTAATGAAGATCTAACCGATTCCCGCAACCTTTTCGAGTTTCACGTCATTTATTAATAATGAAACCTTTTTTTCATTCGATCAGATGGTTTTTTTCAGAAGAGAGTCCATAGTCGATTCACCTCTAGCTTTTGAAAAATTGCTGAAAATCTCTAAATCTCTCTTTTTCTCGCACTATCTCGCCAAGTCTCACTCCAAGTCAAGTATGAATGAACTATTGTTTTGCTCTACAGATTCCAAAGAAAATGTCCGCATTTGGAATGGCTCAAAAAGTCGAAGTCCTTTTTCCAACTCAATCAAGTGTTTTAAAGTATCATTAAGCGCAAGCCGTTTTTGGTCGAGTGCAGAAAGCCATTCCAAATGCCACCCGACGTTCTTGAAAGATTTCCATAGTTGATTCACCTCTAGCTTTTGAAAAATTGCTGAAAAATCTCTAAATCTCTCATTTTTACACACTATCTCGCTAGGTTTTGCTTTAAGATAGTGATGAATGAACTATCGTTTTGTTTTACAGATTTCAAAGAAAATGTCGGCATTTGGAATGGCTCAAAGGGTCGAACGAACTACTTCCTCTGACTCAATCAAGTGTTTTAAAGTGTCCTTAGTCGCAAGTCGTTTTTGATCGGGTGCATACCCTGAGCCATTTTTGAATACCAGAAGTACACTTTTTTTCATTTTCAGAAGTTTGAGATTTATAGAAACAGGTGAAATTGACACGTGATCTTAGGTTTCTATTAGTCATTTTCAAGGAAAATTGAAGATTTACTTTTTTTGTTATTAAAGGTTACCATTAGGAGGAGCTTTGAACTTTTAAAATTTTGGAAAAATGCTTCTACTTTGGTCGGGTTTATTTGTGAAACCGAAAAAAATCCCTTTCGGAGTGAAATTTAATATTCATAATTTTTTTATTTACTCAGCTTTCGAGACATTTTTTCACATCGTCCTTTTTCAATAGGTTTTTTTATTTCTCTGCTCTGAAAAAAATTTAAGATTTTTTTCAGAATTTAGAAAACGTTGCGGTCGCGTCGCGGTTTCCTCAGAGAAAAACGGATTTTTTTGATATATCTTTCTCAAACTAGAGAAAAGTTTCTGAAACTTGACACCTCTCCTCATTTTTTTCTCAAAGGAAAGGAACCAATCAGGAAAAAAAAAACGAAGTTCAAAGGCATCATTAAAATCCGTCTGCGGTGGCGAGCAAAAGCTCCAATTTCAACGGAGCAATTCGAATCTCTCTCTTTTTTTCCAAACCACTTAACTTTGTCTGGGTTCTTTTTTAATTAAAAGTTGAAACTTAGAGAGTATTTTTCCTGGCCACGCCTCCCACGCGGTTCTGATTTTTTTCCACCTGCTTTTCATAATTTTGGCTACTGTGGCTCGAATTTCATTTTATTCCTCATTTTACTGATTTTTAGTCTATGTTTTATTTTTTACAGGTTTTTTCAAGTTTATAATAGCCAAGGAAGAAAATCTTCTTCATTTTGAATTTATAGAAAAATGGCAAAAATGATTTAACCCGGACTGGGATCGAACCTTTGGCCTCCAGCTCAGAGTGCGGGCTTCTAACCATCTGAACCAAACTCCCTTCTTCCTCTACGTGTTACAAGACTGCAGGAAATCGGAAAAATCAAGCCTTTTTGAGCTGGAATCGAAACTTTAGCTTAGGATAAAGTTTCAAAGCCGTCTTAAGAAACCACCTTTCCTTTAGTGGTAGTAAAATTTTGAAAAATGGCAAAAATCATGTTTCCCTGGCCTGGAATCGAACCCTCGACCTCACAATCGTATCGATTTTCAATCTTTTTATTTTTTTAAACTCTTTTTTTTTAAGTTCAACACAGCCAGGGATAAGAACACATTTTCATATTGAACTTGAAAAAAAATGGCAAAAATTAAGTCTACCTGAACCGGCACCCAACCTTTGACCTCTAGGTCAGAGTGTGGGCTTCTAACCATCTGAGCCAGACTTGCTTCTTCCTCTACGTGTTACAAGACTTCAAGAAATCCCGAAAATCAAGTCTTACCGAGCAAGTTTTCGATAATGGCAAAAATCATGCTCCCCTGACCGGGAATCGAACCCTTGACCTCACAATAGTACCTATTTTCAGTCTTTTTCTTTTTTTTTAAATTGGTTTTTCAAGTTCAGATAGCCAGGGAAGAGTACCTTTTCATTTTGAACTTAAAGAATAATGGCAAAAATTAAGTCTTCCTGGACCGGAACCGAACCTTTGACCTCTAGGTCATAGTACAGGCTTCTTACCATCTGAGCCAAACTCCCTTCTTCCTCCACGTGTTGCAAGACTGCAGGAAAACAGAAAATAAGCCTTTTTTAGCTGGAATCAAACCTTTAGCTCAGAAGATCTCTCATTTAGTGGTAGTACAATTTTGAAAAATGGCAAAAATCATGCTCCCCTGACCTGGAATCGAACCCTTAACCTCTCAATCTTCATCCAATCACCTAACCAATTGAGCCAAAAATCTTCGCTTCCTACATTACTCATAACTCCAGATCCAATTTTAGCCCTCCACCCCCAACAATTTCCAAGAAATCTTTTCAAAAATATCAATTCCTCAAGAATCGTGACACATTTTTTTCCCGCAGAATCGAATTATCAGGTGTTGAAAAGCGAACATTTTTCAAAGAACTCAATTTTTCGAAAAAGGCGGAACAAAAAAGGAAAGAACGTAGGTAGGTATTTGCTCTTCGGCGGGCTTTCCCAGAGGATATCAGGTTTGGCTTTTCCTTTGTCCTTTAATGGTCAAAGTGACGTTTTTTCGACTGTTTTAAGGTTCTTGATGCTCCAGGCTATAAAATTGTGAATTCCTGTCCTTCCATAGTTCATTTTATGGTCCATCAAGTCCAATTGTAGCCAAATGAGTCATAAAATACTTTTTATAGTAGGTTTTCATGACCTTTTAGGACTTCATTTTTTGGCCCTTTTGGTCTTTTGTAGTCTTATTCTATCCCATTTTCAAGAACTTTTCATTTTTGAACTCATCATGTTATTCAGAGCAAATTTCACTGCGCATCAACTTGAGATTTGAAGATTATAGTGTCTAGGAGCCTACCCCATAATTTGCAAGAATTTACACTGTAATTATCAATTTCGCTGCGCATCAACTTGCCCTTTTCAACAAGACAAGGAAGTTCTCATATCATCTGATTTCGCTCACTTATTCGTTCCGTTTCTCCGTTTCTTTCAATTCTTTAATTCTGATTAATTCCATGGAGCAATTTTATATTTATTAAATTGAGTTGTACCGTAAAAAGGGAGAAGAAGGGAAGTTTCTCGAAGAAAAATTGAACCCTTGACCTTTTTTTCCGTCGTTTTGACGCTTGGACAAAATTTTTGAGCCTCATTTATGATTTTTAAATTCAAATGTAGAAAAAAATTCATATTTTAATCAACCGGTCTTGGAATCAAACCTCCTTTAGCCTCATTTTTTTTGGTTTTTTTGAAAAAAATTCAAGTATAGTTTTTTTATGTCAATCAACCCACCTTGGGATTGATCTTTCAACCTTTTTACTTCCATTCTGACGATTTAGCCACTTGGCCAAGTGGTATTTCTCATTTTCCATATAGATACAAAATAAGGTAAAGAAGGCTTACAAAAAACAAGCTTCAGAAAAAGTTCAAAAAACTCCGAATTTTCTTCGGGATTGATCTCTTGACCTTTTTATTATCAGTCTGAAGCGTTAGCCACTCGGCCAAGTTGCAATTTGCTTTTTTTTTTGATTATGATTTGACAGAGAATTTTTTGTTGGACAGTTCAAATTGGAACGGTTTTTTGAAGTTTCTGGATTTGACCGGGATCGATCCCTTGACCTTCTCATTGCCATTCTAAGCTTTAATCCACTCGACCAAAGTTACAATTTTTTTAGATAGACTATGAATATTTTTTTACTGAGCAAAAAAAGTTATTAAAAAGAATGTGAAAAAAATAAAAAAATCGGGGTCGTTTTTTTAAGGTCTGTATTTCACCGGATTCGATCCCTTGACCTTCTTACCATCATTCTAAGCCTCGATCCACTCGGCCAGAGGTTCAATTTTTTTTTTTGTAAACAAATGAATCATTTTTCAGCAAGACCAAAGCATTAGAAAAAACGAGCAAAATCCAACTCAGAGTGTTTTTTCGAAATTTTTGTATTTCACCGGGCTAAAAAGGTCGATCCTTTGACCTTTTTAGTGCCACTCAAAGACTTAAGCCACTCGGCCAAACTGCCATTTTTTTCAGGTTGACGTAGATGCTGTTTTTTTACTGAGCAAAAAGTTACTAGAGAAATGTGCAAACCAGATTCTCAAAATATTTGTACTCTAACGGGTTCGATCTCTTGACCTTCTTACCGTCATTCTAAGCCTCAACCCACTCGGCCAAAGCTGCAACCTATAAGCTCGTGAAAAAAGGGGAGCATCGCCTGAGACGATTAAAAATTCAGTGGAATGGGAAGCATTTGAAACACGAAAACCATGGGAATCTAGAGAATTTCATCAATTTTTAAATTCTTTTCGCGCCTCGTCTTGTTTTGTTCCTCTTTTTCGATGAAAAAATACATTAAACTACATTTTTTTTTCGAAAAAAAAACGATTATTTTCGAATTTCGAGGCAAAGTGCGAGGGCCCGAAAGGTCATGGGTTCAGCTTCCGATGACGCACTTTTTTTGCCACCCAATTTATTTTCTAATTGACTTTTTTTTTTTCGCGCACTGCTCACTGGAATTACCCTTCAAAACCACGCGATTTATGTTGAAAGAATTATTATTTTTTTTCCGCGGAAGTATCAATTATTTTCTGCTGAGCGAGCCAAACAAATTGCTCCTTGCGGAAGAAAAAAATTTTATTTTTTTCATTTTTTGCCGTTTCAAACAACACTGTTTGTACTTTTAAGGCTTTCTTTTGAAAATCGAAAAATTGCGGCAAAAAACTTAAATTTTGAGGTTTTTAAAACCGTCCGCATTTCAAAAGCGTCCGATTTTCCAACTCTTCGGCTCAATTTTGAATATATCAGATAGTAAATTCATTCATAGAGCTGAAAATCAGAAAATTCAGCTTAATTTTCCAAAGGTTTTTTGTTTTTTGAAACTGGTCGCACTTTAAAAAAACGTCCGCTTTTCCAACTCTTCAGCTCAAACTTGAATATTTCAGATAGTAAATTCATTCATAGAGCTAAAAATCAGAAAATTCAGCTTAATTTTCCAAGGATTTGTATATGTTTTGAAACTGGTCGCACTTTAAAAACATCCTTTTTTCAATTCCTCTCCTCTATTTTGAGTTTTCATAGTACCACGATCAGTAGAAATACAAAAAGAGGACTGAAAGAAGTTTTTCGATATGACTTTTCGAAACTGTTCGCACTTTAAAGACGTCCGAATCTATTTTTATTCAGATTCTCATTCTTTCCGCTCCGAGACTTCTTCCAATTGTCCAAACTACAAATTTTTCTCGAAATTTTTTAATCTTTGCAAGTATTACAGTACTATGAAACGTTCGTACTTTCAAAGCGTCATTATTTTTTTCGACACAGTTAGATCATTTCCGCGTCAAGACCCATTTCAAAAATCCAAGGTACAAAATGCTCGCATTTTACAGACATGGACGAACCGCCACCCGCGTCCAATCATTCAGAGGCCTCGGCTGCCGCCGACCCTTTTGAACAATTTCAGAGTTGGTTTTCTATTCTGTTTTGATTTTTGGCCGCATTTGGAATGGCTTGAGGTGTCGCGCTGACATTTTCATGTCATCTTGCGTAAACCGTTTTAGGTCGGGTGCAACTTCAAGGAACGGGATTGTGTCGCTTTGAGTCATTCCAAGTGCGGTCAGCATTAGTGTAAAAGTCTAAAAACAACTTTTTTTCTATTTTGATTTCTGGACGCATTTGGAATGGCTTTAGGCGTTGCGCTGATATAATAATGTCTTATCGCGCAAACCATTTCAGGTCGAACGCAAGTTCAAGAAACGAGATTGTGTCGCTTTGAGTCATTCCAAGTGCGGTCAGCATTAGTTTTCAAGTCCAAAAAACGTTTTTTTGTCTATTCTGATTTTCGGCCGCATTTGGAATGGCTTGAGGCGTCGCGATATTTTATGTCGTTTCGCGTAAACCGTTTTAGGTCGGGTGCACGTTCAAAAAGAGCCGCAACGCGACCACGTTTTTAGTAATTTTGAGTGCGGTCAGCATTAGTTTTCGAGTCCAAAAACGTAATTTTCAGTCATTTTTTGTACAGAACCAATGTTTAAAAATCCGAATTTCACAGTTTGGCTTAACCGCAACGCGACCGCGACGCCTGAGCCATTCCAAATGAACAAGCTGTTCCATTTGGAGAAAAATGAATAATTATGTCTTTTATAGGTTTGAAAAACATTAGGAAAAATGAAACTTTAGATCATTTTTTTTGTATAGAAAAAACCTAGAGAATGCCTTTTTTTTAGTAATTCAAGGATCAAAATTAAGAAAACTTCCTTATGGCGCATTTAGAAGCCGGGAAAAATCAATAATTCAAAGCTTAGTGTTCCTTTTTTCCGTCAAGGAAATGAGATTGCCAGGAATTAACCATGAAAGAAAAAAGGACGGAAAATTGGCTTCGAAACGATGGTCTTTTTGGCTTTTCCTTCTGTTTTTCGCATTAAAAATGAGATTCCAAAGTGTAGATTTTCCCATGGAAAGGTTCTTGCAAAAGTTCAAAGGGTGGGCCTTGAACTTTGGTCGTCATTTCTAACAAAGATCCGGCTAACCCACTAGACTATGTAATTAATTGGGGAGGAACGGCAATTTTTTCGCCTCTTTCTTTTTGAATATTTCTTCTCTAGTCGAGCAGAAATAATTTGGAACGAGTAATTGGGTTCTTAGAAATGGATCGAAGGTTCTAGGAATTCTTTGAAGTTTTTAATTTTTGTGATTTTTGAAAAAAAAACGTCACCTCTAGTCTTCTCTAGAAAAGGTACTCAAAAACTCCCATTGCGTCCGAAATTTGAAAAAAAAGCTCGAAGAGCCAATATTTTGAATAGTAAAGAAGCATTACGACGCTCCAAAAGACGGCTTTTCAAATTTGGCGCCACAAAAATCCAGCCTTGATTTTTTTAAGCCTGATTTTTTGAATTAGTGAAATAAAAAATACGAAGCTCCAAATGACGCTTTTTTCAACTTCGCGCCAAATTTTTCTGCTTTAAAAAGAACTGCAGAAGATAAATAATGTCACTTTGAATCCAAAAAGTCAAAGAAAGCCTAAAAAATTGTTTTTACGAAGCTCCAACTTACGCGCTTTTGAATTTGGCGCCAAATTTTTTTTTGCTCTTATTTTTTCAATATTTCTCCAGTTTTTTTTGTCATTCTCAGTACATGATATAATATAGGAGTTCAAAAAAATTTTTGAAAAAAATACAATAAAACTTGAAAAAAATTTTTATTCGGAAGGAAGTTTTACGAAGCTCCAACTTACACCATTTTGAATTTGGCTCCAAAACTTTTTTCCTCTCATTTTTTAAAAGTTCTTCAGTTTCTTTTTGTCATTTACAGTACATGGTATGAGTTCAAAAAAATTTTGCAAATTACAATAAAACCTAGAAATTTCATTCGGAAGGAAGTTTTACGAAGCTCCAACTTACACCAGTTTGAATTTGGCGCCAAATTTTTTTGCTCTTATTTTTTCAGAATTTCTCCAGTTTTTTTGTCATTCACAGTACATCATATGAATTCCAAAATGATTCAAAACACAATGAAACTTGAAAAATTTTATTCGGAAGGAAATAGTACGAAGCTCCAACTTACACCATTTTGAATTTGGCGCCATTTTTTTTTGCTCGTTTTTTGCTTATTTTTCAGTTTTTTTTTTCATTTACAGTACATGATATGATATACGAGTACAAAAATGTTGTAAAATACAAAGAGTTTGAATGAGAAGGAAGTAGTACGAAGCTCCCAATTACACCTCCTCTTCAAATTTGACGCCAAAGATGAGCTTTTGACCTTCCGCTTCCAAAAAAGGCCAAACAACAATTAAAAAAATGATCGAACGCCTCTCTTAATGGAAAAAGCGACTTTTTTTTGGAAATTTATGAAAAAGCCATTTTTGGTTCTGTTTTGACGTGCAGATGTCACTGGCAGGGTTTCCCCAATTTTTTTCGGGGTCCATTTTTTCCCGAAATTTGATCAACGGAAGCTTCTCTTGCATACTAAACTCTCAATTTTCTGGAATTTTTTTCGAATAAGTTTTTCCCAGGAAACTTCCTGGGTTAGGTCAAAGTTACAATTCATTTTGAAAATTTTCGAATTTTTCACGACAAAAAAAAATGTTCTTTGACATTTTAACACTTGTAGGTCATTTCCGGCCGAAATCACCCAGGTGGAATTTTTACCTTTCGTCACTTTTTTTTCTCGTCATTCTGAATATCCCAAGAGTTTCTTTGGCCATTTTTAAGCTTCATTAGTTATTCGTCATTTTTTGATAATTTTTTTGTGATGTTGAATCTCGTGGTAATTTGGTGTTGATTTTCATTACCAAAAAAAAAGATAATCGAAAAAAATTATCAAAGAATCACTAAATTAAGCTTTTCAAGTGCTCTTTGCGCCGCATGAGCCATTCAAAATCGGTAGAAATTCCAGAAAAAATATTTTTTTCAGTAGTGAGACTTTTTCCTGTGACGATGTTCAACAGAAAAGTGTAGTTTTCAGCTTTTTTTTTCTCATTTTTTGATCGATTTTATCATGTATTTTATAAATTTACTGTGTTTTTTTGAAGCAGAGATAGCGATGTTATTGAAGAGACGCAGACGCGTTGTTAGACCCTTTTCTGTCTAGTGCTCTCCTCTTTTTCAACACTCTCTAACCATTCAATATTTTCATTGGTCCTGAAGGGATGGAAGTGGAAATAACACTGTTTTTGAAGAGACGCAGACGCGTTGTGAAACCCTTTTCTGTCTGACGCTCTCCTCGTTTTCAACACTCTCTAACCATTCAATATTTTCATTGGTCCTGAAGGAATGGAAGTTGAAATAACACTTTTTTTGAACAGACGCAGACGCGTTGTGAAACCCTTTTCTGTCTGACACTCTCCGCGTTTTCAACACTCTCTCACCAATTCGTTTCTGAAGAGAAGAAAGATGAAATAATATTGTTTTTGAAGAGACGCAGGCACCTTCTCTGTCTGAGGCTTACTCTCTCATCATCTCTTCCACTTATTAGTAAAAATCAATACTTTTCAGACGATATGACGTTCGCCAAAGGGTTCATGACGATTGTCTACATGATCGTTTTCGTCATCGGCACGCCTGGGAACATTTGGATCATCTACAAGTTGTTGAGAACTGGGTTCCGAAGCCTTTTTCGAACTTTACCAACAAAAAAATAAATTTTCAAGGTTATGGAGCAAGACCGGAGGCCAACTGACAGTTTCACAAAGATCAAGGATCTACATTTTTGCTCTGGCTTGTTCCGACCAGATCCTGTTATTAACTCTGCCGGCAACCTCAAGCTATAATTATTATGGGACGTGGAAATTCGGATCTCTGGTGGGTTGCAGTTTTTGAACTTCTTAGGTTCAGAAAACGGGTTTTTCCTAGAAGAGATTTTCAAAATAATGTTTAGGGCTTTAGGAAAAAAATAAGAGAATTTGTCTATAGTCCATTCACAGCGACTTTTAACCGTCTGACCTGTCTGCGCCCTCTTGATCTCTCATCGGAGAGAGAGAAGAGAGCGCAGACAAGCCGGACAGGTAGCGGATGAGAGATAAAACTGTTTGAGAAGAGAAAAAGTGCTTTGAGAAAGAGAGGAAGCCCTCTTGATCTTTCAGCGGAGAGAGAGAAGAGGGCGCAGAGAGGTCGGAAAAATTCAAATTGAAGTAGATAACAGATAGAGATATTTCAGAAAGAAAGTTGAGCCTTCAAAAATGATAAAAATTGTCTATAGTCCATTCATAACGACTTGAAACCGTCTGACCTGTCTGAGCCCTCTTCATCTTTCAGAGGTGAGAGAGAAGAGAGCGCAGACAAGTCGGAAAGGTTCAAATTGAAGCGGTTAATAGTAAGAGATACTTGAGAAGGAAATTTGAGTCTTCGAAATTAAGAAAAATTGTCTATAGTCCATTCATAACGACTTCGAACCGTCTGACCTATCTGCGCCCTCTTGATCTCTCACCGGGGAGAGAGAAGAGAGCGCAGAGAGGTCGGAAAAATTCAAAATGAACCAGACGAGGGCAGAAGCCATTTAAGAAGGGATATTAAAGATTGAAAATTGAGAAAGTTTGTCTATAGTTCATTCATAGCCACTTGAATCCGTCTGAGGTGTCTAAGCCCTCTTGATCTCTCATCGGCGACAGAGAAGAGAGCGCCGACAAGCCGGACAGGTAGCGGATAAGAGGAAAAGCTGTTGGAGAAGGGAAAGAGCATCTCAAGAAAAAAGATAGCTCAAAAAATGTGAAGAATTGTCTATAGTTCATTCATAGCGACTTGAAACCGTCTGACCTGTCTGAGCCCTCTTGATCTTTCATCGGTGAGAGAGAAGAGAGCGCAGACAGGTCAGAACTCAAGACCCGCTGATCCCCGTCAAATTTCCGACCAGTTGAGCCAACTAGATTCCATTTTTCCAGGCCTGCTACTCGATCAGATCCGTCGAAATCTTCGCCAAACTGTTCTCAGTAGTCCTTCTAACAGTGATGAGCCTGGAGCGGTACATCATCGTCTGCACCAAGTGAGTTTTTGGCTTGAAACCGGGACGAGTCGGTACAATGGACTTTCAGGCTTCGACACATCTACCAGGCTTGGATGTCGTTGGTGCCGCTGGCCTTGGGCACACTTTTCGGTGTCGTCCTGCCGACCACCATTCATTTTTGCTATCTGCAACATTTTCGCTTTGATATGTTCGGCGAGGAGGTCGATGTTCCCGCTGAGGAGGTACCTTTTTCGATGAACTGGAAGAAAAAATCGAATTTCCTTCAAAATGACACAAAATTCATCTGGATAGGAAGGCTCTGAGAAGCCCATGAAAGCTCCAAAAAAGGCGCTTACTTTTTGGATCATCTTCCGAAGTTCTAGTAACTCGTTTAAAGCTCAATTGTTCTCATAGGTCTCTTGAAAGCTAAAAATAGCTCGGAAGCCAAGGTATAACAGTTAGCTTCAAACTACCCCCTAGAAAAAATTCATTTCAGCCAGAAACCTGGCTCTGCCTTCCCAACATGACGGACCGCATCTTCAACGCCTTCGCTCAATACACCTTCCTTGTCGGTTTCATCGTCCCGTTTGTCATCATGACGATCTGCTACATTCTTCTGGTCCGACACGTCAAACGGAAGTACAAACTTCGTCGAGGTAGAAATTCTTTTTTTTTTCTGAACTTTCGATTTTTTCTCTTTCTAGGAGATACTGGAAGCCTTGTTCTTCCGAATTTTCATCCAGATAATGATAAAAATTTTTGCAAAAAAAGTTGGTCACCTAGAGGAGTTGAACTCGGAACCTTCTGACCTGTATTTTGGGTCACAAACCACTAGACCATGACTTGATTTTTACTCTGGATTGGATTGAACTTGTTAATGTCCCTAAATTATGTCTCATTTATTTGCAAAAAAAAGTTTGGCGCCTAGTGGAATTGAACTGGACCCTCTGATTTATATTCTGGATTACTTACCACTAGACCGTGGCTTGATTTTTACTCTAGATAGTATGGAAATCGATATTTTTAGAGATTTATATTCTGGATTACTTACCACTAGACCGTGGCTTGATTTTTACTCTAGATAGTATGGAAATCGATAATTTTCTCGGATAACATCCCATTTATTTGCAAAAAAAGTTGTCGGCTAGCGGAATTGAACTCGAGACCCTTTGATCTATAGTTTGCCTCACATGCCACTAGACCGTGACTTGATTTTTACTCTAGATAATATTGGAATTCGTACTGTTCCGCTACTAGACTATGTCCCATTCGATTGCAAAAAAAAGCTGGTCGCCTAGCGGAGTCGAACTCGGGACCCTCTGAACTATATTCTAGCTCACATACGACTAGACCATGACTCTATTTTCATCCTAGATAAAAGATGAAATCGGTGATGTTCCTAGATTATGTCCCATTTATTTGCAAAAAAAGTGTTTTTCATCTAGAGGAATTGAACTGATCTATGTTCTAGACCACATACCACTAGACCATGATTTCAACTTTGTGAACTTTCAGCTCTATCCCCAGCCGCCAGTGCGAAATCTTCAAAAGAGCCTCGCTACATGAGCGAAGTCCGAAAGAGCATCTGGCGCATTGCTGTGAGTTTCTTTTCGATCATGACGTCACTATTATCTTGATGACGTCATTAGTTTCTTTGATGACGTCATTAAAGTAGTTAGAGCCTTGAGAATGGTTGGAACGTCATTGAAATAGTTAAAACGCCTAGAAAAAGCAAAAAATTAGACAATTAAACTTCTTTGTATTCTCAATTTGATTTGTGGAGTTTTTTTCCGTTATGACGTCATAAAAATAATTGTTGACGTCATTCTTCTTGAAAATCGCTTTATGACGTCACCAAATTTCCAGGTCTTTCACTTTGTGTGCTGGGCACCCTTCTGGGGCTTTACTATGCTGCCTCACTACATCTCCTGGTGGGCGCCGACGTCGCCAGAAGCCCCATCGACGGCGGCGCCGACGGAGAGCGACATGAACGACATGGTCGAGCCGTTGTGGTTCGTCTACTGTCGGCTCTTCGCCAACTGCCTGCCCTACATTAACGCCGCCGGTTAGTTGGACTTTTGGTGTACCGACTTGCGCCGGTTTGAAGCTCAAGTTGCTCAAGAACGTACCTTTAAAAAGCTCTTACTGTCAAATTTTTGATTAAATTTTTCCCTATGCTCCTTTAATTACTTCGAGAACGTGTTTTGATTTCATCTGCATCTTTAAATTTAGTGATGACGTCACTGACGTCAAAAACAAAGATCTCACTTTTGAAAATAGTGACGTCATGTTTTTCGAGTTATTTTGGTGATAATGAAGCAAATTTTTGGACTTTAATGACGTCATGAAAATCGTAACTTTCGATAGTGACGTCATGACTTTGTTTATTTTTTACTTTCCGATATAATTTCACTGAATATGACTCGATAAATTTGATAAATATGTCAAAAAGACGCTTTCCAACGATTCAAATTTTAGAGAAAAATAGTTGAAATTTACTTTTGAAGATAGTGACGTCACAAATTCATAAACTTTTTCGAGAAAGGTCAAAATTTGAAAAATTTTAGCGTCAGAATCATTTTTAGCAATGCTTAAAAATTTCAAAGGTTTATTTTTCTGTATAATTGTTGATTTTTTTCAGGAAACTGGGTACTGTATGCACTTCTCAACGTCGACGTCCGCAAACACATCTACAACCAGCCGAAAAAGAAGCGCCGCTTCACGATCAAATTCAAGCCGTCAATAATAATTCGTCTAATTATTAACTGATTAGAACTAAATTTCCTCCCCCGGGTGCCTAAATATTTACGGGTATCCATGCTTGTTCCTATTCGGGTTCAAATTTTTCATACAATGAATTTTTTTATTTTTTTTATTTCTTGGAATCAAAAAAACAAGAGAAACTACAATAAAACGATGGAATCGTGGGAAAGACGCGGGTGCATGGAAAAGTGGACCGGTGGAAGTTCTGGGGCTCTCCGGAAGATCAGCCTTCGGAGGAGGAACAACGCCGGCGGCAGGACCAGGCCCAAGGGAAGCACGATGATCAGAATCACTACCTGAATTTTTTTTTTGTTTAGAATGGCTTGGCGCGCGTCGCGGTTCGGGACACTTCGAAGCACTTGACGAAATTTTTTTTTTGGTGAGTTTCTAGAATAGCATCCGACAAGAAACTGCTTTCGCGAGATGACATCTTTTAGAAAAAGATAGAATTTGCAAAGTCAAAACTCGGTTGTTATCGGAAAAAAATCTCAATTTGACCTTAAAAAAATAGAAAAACAGAAACTCCAATTATTTGAATGTTGTTTTTTTATATGAAGTAACGGCAAGTCTTATTTCTCTGATTTCACTAGAATCTCTATGACGTCATGAATATATCATAAATGCTTGCGCAACTAGAAACTCAAATTGAAGAAAAAAAGTCTGAAGTGACATTTTTTTCAGATTTAAAAAAACCTGAAAAACTAATTTCTTGGGGGTCTTAAAAACTCTCTGATTATATCAAAAAAAGCTTTAGTGACGTAATAAAAAAATCTCTATGACATCATATTGTCTCTTTAGTCTCCAAAAAAACAAAAAAAGGTCATAAAAAAATTTCCAAGCCGCGACGCAATCTCATTATTTTTTTGTTTTTTTAAACAAGTTTAAGAAATTTCTCAATAATCGAGCGTTTATAAAAAGTAAGATATGACGAAATTACCGAAAAACTAACCCAGAGCCGAAGATGAAAAACAACAATCCTTATTGAGATGACCACAGCATTTGTAGAAAGAGAGAAGGGTGCCGTCTGAAAAAAAATTAAGTTGAAAATAAACAAATGTTCAAGAAAAAAGACGAAAAATCGATTTTATAACTTTGAAAATGTAAAAACCTGGACAAAGAGTGCCAACTTGGTGCGTTGGACACCAGAGTTCTTCCAAATTGATCGGCGGTTTTGATGACGGTAGACATGACGACGTCACCGCGTTGATTAGCTGAATTTATAGTATGAATAAAAAAACAGGATCTTTATCTGCTAGAAGAATAATATTAAACAAATGATAAAATATAAAATTCGAATAAAAATCAGAAAAAAAGAAACTTTTTTTTCATATTTTCGATTTTTCCTTATTAAAGGCGCAGGCTGCTCCACGAATAAGCACCGATTCCGCGTGAGACCGTCAGCCGAATTTTTTTACGTAACGAATTATTCATTCTATTTTTGTTTATTTTTCATCTTTTTCAATGTATTTTGTGTTTTTTTCTTTCTCAAACCTTGCTTTATTATGTTCTCAAAGTTTTACTCAATAGTTCACATCGAATAATTCGGCATTTTGTTGAAATTCACCGACTTTAAGAAAAAAATTCACAATAAATTTTCGAGGGTATTTTTTCAATTCAAATCAATTCAGTGAGGACAAACTAAAAATAAAAATTAAATTTATGTTTTTCCTATTTTTTTTTTTGGCTAGTCTACTTCTCGTTTATTACATTCATCTAGTTTCTCTTCAAACGATACCGGTCTGAAATTCGATTTTCGTTTTTGTTTTAAATGTCAATTACAATTTTCAGGAGTCTTTGAACGAAGACCAATTCTGGAAGCGCCTTTTTTAAAATTAAAACAGGGCAACGAAAATTCGAAGCGAGAATAAAATAAACAAGATAAAAACGGCTGTCGATTTGGTCAGTTATTGAATTGTTCAAAGGTTTCTTCTTTCAAAAATCTTTCCATTTTTTTGAGTTTTTCACCTTTATATTTAAATAAAAATATTCAAAAAAACATTTCTCGTTTTATAATTGAATAAACTTGTTGAAAACTCACATCTTCACTATCAGCAGCTATTGAATTGAAAATTTCTAGGAAAATAAACAATATCATAGTCGGAATTTGCAGGGAATCAATGGGGAATTCCCCGGCCGTCCATGACGAAACATCCAAATTCGGGCCAATTTACTGGAGCATTTTTGACGATTATTGAAGGTCAAATGATGGAAATTTGAGTTTCATTTTTTTTCTCTTTCATAATTCAAGTAATAAGACAGTTTATTATAAATTTTAATTTTTGAAGGGTATATTTTTTTTTAAACTGATTAAGATATTTCCCAATTATTTCAAAGAGGTTTTTTTCGAGCGCTTGAAATCATATTTACTGAGAAAAAAATGGCCTCTTTTTCAGAAATTTTATGCAGAAAAATGGAAAAAAAGACAATTTTCGAGAAAAACTCTTGAATTTGTGGTCAGAAAAAAACATAAATATAAAAAAAGATGGGTATTTATATTTTTCATGCTCTTGATATTGAAAAAAAGAGGCCGGAGAAGTCTAGTTTTATTTTTATGCAATTATTTGGTCACTGTTTCATGAAAAAGGTGAGTTTTTAGCAGATTTTTAGCTTATTACCCTTCAAGAGTTTCAAAATTAGAGAATTTTTTTGTAAAGCTTTTTTTGTAATTTCTCTCCAGAAATATTTGTCTTGAAGCTTTCAATTCAATATTTTTGGACTATGCTCCTTCTTGAAGCTTCTTTGAGAACCCAGAAGTCCACCCAATATTAAAATTTCCGATATAATGATAATCTTATAGTTTGGAGGAACGTCTTGGGTTTTTTTCCATTCATCGAAAAAAATTCCAAAAACCCTGATATTTCTTCCATGAAAGAAAAACCTTCATTTTCCTTCTTCGGCGGGTCTTTTTCATAGTAGAACTGATAGCTATGGAATCCGCCGCCTCCTCCGCCACCATAAGGATTTGGAGGAACGTTTGGGAGTTTTCGATCCATTTCTTCTGGTGGGTACATCCCGGGCGCTTGGGCGTATCCATTGGCCCAAGCTATTTGGATAGATAGGAGTATTATTGAAAATGCCCCCCAACACCTTTGACTTACCTGTCAGCAACCTTCCAGCAGCCCTCCGGAAGCCTGCTAGAAAGCTTCTGGCAAGTTGCCCAAAATTCTTCAATTTTTTAACTTCCAAGGACCTTCCAACCATACATAAATAGACCAACTATCTTCTTGAGATTGAAGATTTTGTTTTTTTGATCACCACCTCCCTTAGAAATCATTTTCAATCGATGTTTAGGTCAATTTTTGAGAGCCGACCCTTTCTCCTAGACAAAATAAGCTCTATACTCGCCCATGTACGGTTTCAACTACCTTCTGAACACTTTCCCAAGACCTTCTAGCTGCCCTTTACCTTTCCCGAATCCACCTGAGAAATATAATAAACATCTCTGCCCTTTCCTTGAAACACCCGAAGGATCCAAAAACCGACAAAAAGCCACCCAACATCAAGACCGCGACAATGATAATCGCAATGGTCGGCTAGCGAAAGGGAGAGAAGCTTCTTATTTTTCCCATCCTAAGCCTGTAGGGAATTTTTCGCCCCGATCAATCAAGTGGATTTCAAGCCACACCTTTTTTTCGTCCCATCCTTCATTGTCGTTAATTGAGACTTTTGCATCGTTTTCTGGACTTTTTAGAGCTATTTTGAGTTGAAAATGCTTCGAGAAATATGACGTATTTTGACGTTAAATGAGACTTTTGGATCTTTTTTTGACTTTTTTCTAGAAAGGACATTTCGTGAAAGCTATTTTACGGTCAATTTTAGTTACAAAAAAGCTTCGAATAAAATTTTAAACTGTTTTTTTGTTTTTAATTGACAAGTGAGTCTTTAGAACCTCATCTTGCACGTTTTTTTTTCTAAAATTTGTGGGTTTTATAACTATTTTCGGGTCAGTTTGAGTTGGAAAATGCCTCAATATGTATTCAAATTAATTTTTTTCGTGGTAATTGAGATTTTTGGACTTTTTTTTGAGCATCTTTTTGAAAATGACGGTTTCTATAGCTATTTTTAAGTCAATTTTAGTTATGAAAAATTATTTGGAAATTATTTGATTTTTTCATTTTTCTTGTCAAGATAAAATTCATATGCACATTAAAAAATCATACTGTTTTTTTTTCTTTATATTTTCAACTTTAAAACTTTTCCTAGTTCAAAAAAAAAACGTACTTTTTTTGGATTTTTTTCAAGCGTCTAAACGTGTCAGAATAAACGTAGACAAAATACCGAAATTTTTTTTGAATATGACTTTTTTTGCTGTCTTTCAAGCTACATTTTATAAAATTTACCTTAAAAAAATTTTTTTCTGTTTTTTGTACACTGTTATTTTTCAATTTCCTTCAAGAAAAGGCCCATTTTCCAATAAATTCCATCGAAAACAACAAAATGTTTCATGGAAAAGGTTGCATTTGCTTCGGTTCGGATCCCGGTCTTTCTAGTTTTTCTTCGCCGCGAGAGAAATCGAGTTTTTTGTTTCGGGGCCCCGTCTCGAGTTTCACAGACAAAAGCTGAATATAATTGATTATTCAGGCGAATGATCGACAATTTTTATTGCTCATGTTAGGGGATTGCAAAGGACTTTGATCAGCTAAAAGAGGATTTTTTGAACTGAGGAAGATCGAAACGGTTTATTGCTCATGTTAGAGGATTTTGACGGACTTTGATCAGCTAAAAGGCGATTTTTTGAACTGCGGAGTGATCGAAAAGGTTTATTGCTCATGTTAGAAGATTTTGAAAAGCTTTGATTAGCTAAAAGACGGTTTTGTTGAACTGAGGAAGAGCGAAACGGTTTATTGCTCATGTTAGAGAATTTTAACGGATTTTGATCAATTAAAAAAAGGATTTTTTGAACTGAGGAAGATCGAAACGGTTTATTGCTCATGTTAGAGGATTTTGACGGACTTTGATCAGCTAAAAGGCGATTTTTTGAACTGCGGAGTGATCGAAAAGGTTTATTGCTCATGTTAGAAGATTTTGAAAAGCTTTGATTAGCTAAAAGACGGTTTTGTTGAACTGAGGAAGAGCGAAACGGTTTATTGCTCATGTTAGAGAATTTTAACGGATTTTGATCAATTAAAAAAAGGATTTTTTGAACTGAGGAAGATCGAAACGGTTTATTGCTCATGTTAGAGGATTTTGACGGACTTTGATCAGCTAAAAGGCGATTTTTTGAACTGAGGAACGATCGAAAAGGTTTATTGCTCACGTTAGGTGATTTTGAAGAGCTTTGATCAGCTAAAAGACGGTTTTGTTGAACTGAGGAAGAGCGAAACGGTTTATTGCTCATGTTAGAGAATTTTAACGGATTTTGATCAATTAAAAAAAGGATTTTTTGAACTGAGGAATGATCCAAATTTTTATTGCTCATATTAGAGGACTTTGAAAGACTTTGACCAACTGAAAGATGATTTTTTCAAGGAAAAAATCAAGTAGAGACGATTTTTGAAGGTGACGTCACTGTAAAAAATATTCGTTTGAAGTTTTATGATTTTTTTTTGATTATTTTTTTTCAAACGCTTTTCTGCAGAAAATCGATGCATTTTTGTTAGATTTTGTGAAATTTTCATTTTTCGAACTCATCTCACTGTAAATTTTCACTTAAGGGATCATCTTTCCCCCATAATCTTTCCTAAAAAGCGAGGCGACACGGATGTCTCGAAAAAAAGTGGAGAAACTTGCTTAAAGCGAAATTTTCTTGGCGGGAAAACAAAAAAAGAAGATTTGACCCTTCTGATATCGTCAGGAACCCGTGTCGAATCGCCTTTGAAACGCCCTTTTCTTTCACTTTCTCGGCTTCTCCTTAAGCTTTTCCTTATTGATAATTATGATTTGTTAATGGAAATGTTTTTGGAAACTTGGATAGGCTCTTGTAAAAATTTGGGGAAGACAGGAGAAGCTGAAGCCTTTTTTCTGTGAATAGACTATAGTTTTTTTTTTGGAAAATTGGCCTTTTTTCAGCTTTTCTCAAGTTTTCTTCATGAAAGGGTTGTACTTTCATTTTTATTCATTTTTTTCAATTTTTCGAAAGTTCCTGACAACTTTTATCAGAAAAATGAACTAAAATAAGTTTCGAACTTTATTTTTATGTCTAGTTTTTCAATTCTTACAAGAAAGGTCATTTCAATTTTTTCTTAAGAACTTCCTGAAAATTTACCAGAAAACTCCTTGAAGTACCAGAAGCAGGTCCTGGGAGTTCTAACCTGTACAACTTTTTAGTTTTTAAAAAACGACACCCTGAAGTCTGGGAAGACCCTTAAAATCCGTAAAGGAGGCCTTGAGCTCTTTTTTTCTTGAAAACGAGGAAGTTGTACAGTTTGAGGCTTCCAGAATGGTTTTTTGGTACATCAAGGAGTATTCTGGCCGTTTTTCAGAAATTTCCCGAGTAAAATGACCTCCCTTGACAGGCCATAGAACCCTTATTGATTTTTCAGCTCCTTGAAAAGTTAATATTTATCAAAAATATCAGTTTTGTCTCATCTGATCTTTTTTTGAGATGTTAGAAGGACATTGGCGGCTCAAGAAAAAAAGTCGAAAATTTTTTTTAAATTTATCAATTTTTTTCGTATTTCGTATATTCAGCTCGTTCAAAATCCTTCCCATTTGTTTTTAAGTTCAAACTCGATCAAATTCTTCCTTTCATGAATATTTGATATCAAAAAGTTCTACATATTGTGATTTTTTTCGTCGAAAAATCGTCTTCTGAAAGTTCCAATATTTTTCAGTCATTTTCTGTTTTTCTACTTTTTCTTCTATTGGTGTTAAAAGCACTGTTTCTCTAGATAAAACTTGAAATTGTTCGAATCTTTCCTAAAATATCATCCTCATTTTCAGCTCAATATGGGTGCCAGAAGTTGGGGCTCATTAATAATACTCCTATCCATCCAAATAGCTTGGGCCAATGGATACGCCCAAGCGCCCGGGATGTACCCACCAGAAGAAATGGATCGAAAACTCCCAAACGTTCCTCCAAATCCTTATGGTGGCGGAGGAGGCGGCGGATTCCATAGTTATCAGTTCTACTATGAAAAAGACCCGCCGAAGAAGGAAAATGAAGGTTTTTCTTGGATTTTTTTGTTGAATTTTTCGAGGCTGGGGGGCAAATTTTTTTCGCCACATATAATAGTTAGACAGTTGTTTTAGGGGAATTTTTTTGAATTTAGAGATTTTTTTTATTGATTTTTTTAAAGGTTTAAATATATGGAATGATTCGACAGAGAAGGGTTATCAAGGGTTTTTCTTGAATTTTTTGAAAAAATGTTGGGTTTTGTTAAACTTTTCGAAATAAATGAGTTGAGGAAGTCTGCAAAAGACGTTTTACATAGACAAAGAGTTGGCTTTTTCGAAAATGTCCCCAAAAATTTAGAAAAAAAGGCTCCTTTATACTGGATTTCTGCGTTCTTTCCCTTCTTTTCACACCTTTCTTGAGCCTTCGAAGTCCTAGAAAAAGAATAGGAGGCTTGATGAAAAGCTCAAAAACGGGGGACTTTCTGCGGTTTTTTAAGGCTTTTTTGCTCTTTATGATTGCTCCAGAGTATAAAGTCTATCACGTTGAACTATTTTCCAATTCAAAAATTTTAGGATCTGATCCAAACTCGGCTTTCAAAGCACCCAAACTTCCCTCTTTCCGGCCTGGTTCTAGGCCTGAAGATCCTTCAGAACAACCGGCTCAAGCTGGAACCGACCAGGACGATGGATATGGTGAGGAATTTTTCAGAAAGGGGAATTTTTTAAATGAGAATGGGTCTCACAGATGCACTCATTTTTATTCATTCACAAATATTTTCAACCAAACCGGTATAAACATCGGCAAAATGGCTTTGAAAAGTGTTCCCTCTAGTGACTACTTCAATCAAGTTGAGTGATTTTGGTGATCTTCAAGTAGATGGCATGACCAAGGGGATATACTTACTTACTTACTTAGATGGTCCATCTTCGCTTTCGATCTTTTATTGCCTTTTATTGATCGAAGCGTGGACCACACGTTTTCCAGGAGGTCTTATGCAATCGGTCATCCAGTGTTGTCGTCCTGGTTGACTGGTATTCTTGCGAAAAAGTTCCATCCGTGGTGTTGAACGTGTTATAGCATAATTTTGGTCTGATTATCCTTTTTGCCTTGCCAGGGCTAAAAAAGACCGCCCATTCTGTTAACAGAAGCAAGCCGAACTGCGTGACCGGTGTACCGTTAGCCGCCATAAATGGCGTTGCCTCCCCATCACCGCGTAGAGGTGGTACTTGAAGGGGCAAGGGGATATATCACAAGAAACTCTGTTTTTTTTTTGCAGGAAAATTTTGAGACCTTAAAGATGACGTAAAATCATTTTCTGCTGGTTAAATTTGAAGTTTTGGGTCATAACTCTTCTAAAAAGCAAAATACACAGTTAATTCCAACTTTTTGAACTTCGCCATGTCTTAAAGTAACTTCCAGCCGAGAATTATCGAATTTGGCTTTTTTTTGACATGTTTTCGCAACGAAGAGACGAATTTTCTAAATTTTGAGATTTCAGAACTTTCTTTAAAAAAAGAAAAATGGCTCCATAGAAATTTTCTTATTTTGCTGCTTTTCTGCGCCAATTCATAGGCTTTTATGCACCATTTTTGCTGCCTCTCCCTTTTTCCACCATCTCTTGAGTCTTTAAAATCCCGAAAAAGTGGAAGGCTCGATAAAGGGACTCTTTTTGCTGCCTTTTTTGAGCCTCTCGTTTTTAGCAGCCATTATCCACCATTCCGAATCTGCCCTATAAGACTCTTTTTCCAGTTTTTTAACAAAAATTCGGATTCAGCTTGAGAAATTGTTCCTGAAACTCTCATTTGAAAGTCTCATTTAAAAGTCTCATTGTATTTGACCCTTTTTCCTGATCAGAAAAATACCAATTTTCCTATTTTTAGATGGAAAATCTTCCCAAGCCCCCGGTAGCTCTGGAAAGTACGAAAAGTCGAAAATAACAGCTCCCAAAAAAAGACCCGATGATCAGAATGGCTATGATGGTGGTTATGGTAGAAATGCATCACTTGGAAAATTTCATATAATCTCGATTTTTAGGCGAATCTCCTGATTCGAACTTGTATGAAGAAAATGGGAAGTCAAGCCAATCCAAAGGTAATTTTGACTGAAAAAAAAATTATTCCAATTTTTAGGTTCTGAGGCTGAAAATCCATATGAAAGCGAATCTTCTTATGGAAAAAGGTATAGTTTTTTTACAGTATTTTTTTAATATTTCAGTGAAAAAAAGGAACCTTAGAATTTTCTTATTCTCATGGAAATTTTTTTAGAGAACTTGGAAAAATTTCTCTTGCTTTTTATGTGAAAGTTTGACACATAGGGCTTCGCTCAAAATTTAGTGCGAATTTTTTTGAAAAAAATACGTTTTCCGAAAGTCTGAAGAGAAAAATTTAAAATATGGACGATTTTTTTGTTTTTCTTGAAAAATACGAAAAAACAGTTTTGAGAGATTTGAAATTTTTTTCTGTGGGATCTACATCGAAACAGAAATTCAGTAGTATTACGAATTATCCATGGAGCGCACTTTCTGGAAAATTGAGTTTTTAGAAGCTGTGCTCGATATGGCCTTAGGCTCTAAACGCACCCGACCAAAAACGGCTTGCGCCACAAGATGTAGTACTCTTTTAATGCTTTAAGACGTTCTATTTTTGACCACGAAGTTCAAATTTTTCCGGTTTCAGAAAATTTTTTGTCTTGAAGCCCACTTTTTGAGAGCTCGGAGTAGTTTTATGCGAACTTTTTTAAACAAATTTTTGAAAATTCTTGGTGTCCTTTTTAAATTGAGTTCCACTCAGAAAATCAGGATATGGTTAAGCCTACAAACGCATCCGACCAAAAACGGCTTTCGCTAAAAGGTGTAGGGAAAACCTTAGAGCATGTTTTTCTAGAGGCCTCTCGAATCTGCCACCAATACAGTTTTTTTCCTGTTCTAGAAGACGCTTTTTTCCTTGAAGCGCAACTTCTGAGAGCTCGTAGTAGCTTTTTTTCAAAGTTGTTTGAGAATCTGTTTGAAAAAATGAGATATAATTTTTCAAATGCTCATGATATGGTTTAGCCCATCCGACCAGAAACTGTTTGCGCTAGAAAATATAGAGAATGCTTTTTAGTTTCCCTGGTCTTAAAGCATCCCAAAAAATAGTACCAACCCAAAAAGATTATTCGAGTTTTTCCCGTTTCAGAAGACGGCTCTTCCAGCAAGTCTTCGAAATCGAAAAAAGGTGATAACCCCTCCAAAAGCACTGCACCCTATGCCGATCCGCACGGCGCACTGGCACGGTCTATCGATGAAAATATCAAAAAAGAGCTTGTCGAAACGATGAACAAGCTTTTCGCCGCGATCCCCAAGGATCCTGGTAAGAAACCGGAGAAAAGAAGTTCCTACTCGGGTTTAAGGATCCTCTGGCACGAGCACTTTTGCCGGTCTTGCACACCCCACCAAGCCAGCGACTTTCATGACTCCGGAAGGAGGAGCACCAGATTTGCGGGTCGATCCTGACCTTGTCAGCACTGATAATAATAGAAATCGAGTCGCACCTCCGCAAAGGAAACCACTGAAAAATGCGGGTGAATTCTCACCGGAAGACCCGGAAACAGGTAGGATCTGTTGTCACAGAAATGACCACTAAGCACACTGTTTAACTTTTGAACCAGATGTTGAAATTCACACACATTCTGAATCGGCACCTGAGAGTTACCTAGAAGGCCTTTGGGAAAAGTTCTGAGAGCTTAAAATCTATAAAAAATCGGTTTGAGATGATTTTTGAATGATAGAGATGGTCCACGAAACTTTTTTTCTGCTTTACGAGAAAATTCCAAGCCTGTACTAGTACTGGTCTTCAGTCAATCCGGAGCTTTCTCTAAAAGCTTTCTGGAAAGTTTTTAAGCCTAGATTCGGATTCAGCATGAAAAAATGCACCCTATAGTCCCACTGTGAGCTGATTCCGATCTTTGATTAATTTATGAACCTGTTTTTAAAATTTTTGCACTCTTTCATGTTTTGCTAGCGTCTTCGGAATGATTTCGCGAATAGAAAGTTGAAAATTGCGGATCAGTTTGAGATAAAATGTTAAGTATGCTCTATTGATAACTTGATAATTATTTCGAGCTTTGGTAAAGCTCCGTTTCTGAGCATTTCTAATGATCACTAGCGGCTTCAGGGCCCTTAATTTATCCCAGAAAGTTTTCTAGCATTCCAAGTTATCATTTTAGCGGATTCAGAACCCTTAAGGCATCCCCGGACGTTTCTGAGCACTTCTAGGAATCCCTTTAGCGGAGTCTCTATTCTTGAGTCATCCCCCGACCTTTCTTAGCATCCCTAGTTATCACTAGCGGCTTCAAGGTCCTTTATTATCCCAGGACATTCCTAGTTATCACTTTAGCGGAGTCAGAACCCTTAAGTGATTCCTACACCTGCTCCAAAATGTCCGAGACGCGAAATACCTTCAAGGTGTCATAAGTTAAGTTTTTTTGAAGCTTTTTTTTCGCTTTTTTGAGACCGAACTTTGACTTGAAGCACTATTCAAAACCCTTCAGAGCACGGCCAATCAAATCACCAATCACCACAAAAAACCACAGAAGATCCATCACAGAATCCGCACAAAATCACCGAAAATCTGTCCACACCAGCACGACCAGAAGGTCAGCCTGAAAAAAAATTTGATAATGTTATAGAAGCCTGTGATGAACTATGTAGTCTGTTTCAAACACACGCATATTTTTTAGTCAAACTTTTCAAAATAGAACTTTTTTTTCGATAACATTTTTCATTCACACATACACAGCTTGATCACAACGATTCAGAGCACGGAAAATCAGAATTTGAAGCACCAAAAAAACTGGAAACTGATCTTCACCCAAAGATTCACCAAGACCCACCAGAGCACGACAAATCAGAATCAGAAGCACCAAAAATCCCACAGAAAAGCTTGAGAGAATCACCCGCACATGGTCAGTTGGGCCAAGTTTGAAGCACGTCTTCTGTTTTAGAATCCACCGCGATTCTGAAGGCACCAAGAATTTCTGCCGTTGAAGAGCATGACTTAGGTAATTTCTGAGCTCCTGGCGTTTTTCCAGAGCCAATCATCACCCCCATAAGCATTCATAAGCGTTTTTTCGTCATCCTCACAATTCAGAGCACGAAAAATCACATTCCGAAGCACCAAAAGAACAAGCTGACCTTCCTCGAAAGTCAGACCAGCTTGAGGATCCACAAAACTTACTAAAAAACACGAAAAATCCATCACCTTCAGCACTATCACAAGGTCAGTCTTGTCACTTGCTGAGCACGTATTTTCCTTCAAATCACTAGAAGTTGAGCTTCTACTTAGAGAAAAGGGTTAGCTTCACCAAGACTCTGAGTGTCAAATTTGCACTTTTTAGTTCAGCAGAACCTATTAGAACACAGCAAAAGTCAGAATTACAGTTGATTGCTTAGCTCGCCCATTTCTTCAAAATTATCAAAAAATCTGAGCTTCTTCTTGAAGAAAAAAATAGTAAAATATTGAGCTTCTTCAAGAAAAATTTTGAGCTTCTTTTTTTAAAGAAAAAAATGTCAAAAATAGCTTCTCTAAGCGTTTTCCTCACTTCCGACATCAGATTTCTCCTTTTAAGCTCAAAAAAAGTATTCAAATCAGAATTTGATTCGCTAGCTTTTTTTCAAAACCATGGAAACTAGACTCGATAAAAAATGTCAGCCTAGCTCTCTCAAGCCTTTATTTCACTTTTAGCTTCACCAAAAACCTTCAAAACACGAAGAAATACTTAAAAACAACATTTTTATTATCATATATTTAACAAAAAAATCACACTAAAAACCCTTCAGAGCACAGCGAATCACAGTTTGAAGCACCACACAAGCCACCAAGCACACAATCGAACACGAAGCTTCATGAAAATTTTTCACAAAAACCACCACCAGACCTACACAAATCCGAACTCGGAGCACCTCACAACAAACTGAAAATCACTAAAAGACCACTTCCACCAGCAGAATCTGAAGGTCAGTCACTGGGAATTCCGGTTGAGAGAGTCTTTAGAACGCCCTGATTTTGAAACAGTCGAAAAAACTGCGCCTTTCGATTTTTAATGTAGTTCTGGAGCTTAAGAGACGCCAAAACCACACAGAAATGATAGGTTAGGGTTGGTGAATTTAAAAATTCGGAAAAGAAATGTTTTTTTCGACTGATTTTGAAGCGGTTTGTTTGAAAGTACCTCTGGGCCAAGTATAACCAATTTTTCAACCGGAAAAATTCGCCCTTCACATTTTGGGTCTTCCGATTCGAGCTAGACCTCGAACTCAGAACCATAGCAATCCTAGAAGTCCTCCAAAACTCGCACCTTTGCACGAAATCCACACTTTTAAACAGCACTTCTTTAAAAAATTTTCAATTTTAACTGCACTCCAAATTCGCAACCCTATTTTCCTCTCAAAAACGCGCACCCTGGCACAAAGTCCTTTCAGAATCGGCTGAAATCGTGATGAACGTCCAGAAAATCGACGACGATGATAAAATCAATAATCCACTCGGCGCCCCTCCACCACCACAACCACCCAAATTCCTGGCATCTTCACTGAGAGTCAACTCGACGGCGACGTTGAAGTTGAACGGCGCCGTCAGCACCCAAGTTGCACCCCCTTTGCACGTCTCCAAGAACCAATGGAGCCATCCTGATGTTGATCATGGTGTTGAAGTTGAAGATCGGGCTTCTGAAGGCGCCGAGCCGTTGACGTCCCTGGAGAGCGAGTATGATGATGTCATTAGTGAGGTGAGCATCTTCGAGGGGTTTAGGGCCTGGAGAAGTTTGAAAGAGGCTTCGGAAGCTTTTGAGAACTTTTGGGTACATAGATTTTGTCTGAGAAGTAGATGAGGACCTTCAGAAATTGAAAAAGCTTCTGAAAATTCTAAGAACTTCTACATTGATTAAAATTATCGGAGAAGTTGTATAGGAACTCTAGAAGTTGGAAACCGGCTTCAGAAAGTTCACGGGAATTGGAAAGTTGATGAAATTTTCCCAATAGCTCAGGACCTCCAGAAGTTGAAAAAGTTGAGAACTTCCTAATTCACAGAATACTCCCGAGAGGTAGTTCAAGATCTACAGAAGTCGATAAAGGTTACAGAAAAATCCTTGAAAGCTTCTAAATGCATAAATTTCGTCAGAGGGGTATTTCCTCCTGAAGTTGGAAAAGGCTTCTGAAAGTTCTGGAGAACTTCTAAATTGATAAAACTTTGTTTGAGAGGTAGTTTAAGCCGTCCTGATACCAATCAGAGACCAAAAACGGCATGAAATGTTCATTTAAAAATCGGGAATCTTCAAAATTTTCTTGATTGATCAAATTTCAAAGAATTAGTTCAGAAAACCTTCTGAAGTATGTTTAAAAGCTCTAGGACTCTGAAAATTGTTTGGTAAGTTTATAGAATCATAAAAAATGAAGTAGACAAAGCCAGAAACTTTAAAATTCGTCCAGAAAGCTCAGAGAGTTCTGAAGTTGATCCCACAGAATCTTGAGCCTTAAGGATTTTTTTTTTTCGAAGACTTGGAATTTTTTAAGTTGATGAGAAACCTCTAGAAACTGCAAATAATTCTAAAGAAACACTTCTGAAGGTCCTTAAGTTTTCAAATTCATTGGGAAATCTTTGATTTCATTCATGTTTGAATTTTAAAAGCTCTAGAATATTAAAATCGAGAAATTCGTGAAGCCTTCTAAAATCTGCATTAAACGATTTTTGAAATTATCAGGAAAAGTTTTTGAAAAGTCTCCTTTTTAAAAATTTTTCATCGAATTTCTCAGAAAGAAAGTCAATTTTATAGAATTTGAACTATACAAAAATTTTTTTTTGTTTTTGTTTGCCGTCACATTTGCCACATTTCAGTCGATTTCACAACCCTCACTGCCCACGCACAAAACTTTGGATTTAAAGCCACAAAAGCAAAAATCTTTTACCGATTTCAATGCGAACACTCACGACGGTGAAATGCACGGCATACCACAAAATTTCGATCACAGTGAGCTTCAAAATGAGCCGAAATACTCAATTTTCCGACGTTTCCAGCCAAATTCGGAAAGAAGGCCCGGGAATCGTCGGTTTTTGAGGAAAATATCGCGCCGGACACGACGAAAGTCTACCAAAGCAGTGATAAATTTGGGGTACCATCATTATTTTATGAAAATATGATGGAAAAACTGAAAATATTCAGAAAAATACTCTGAAAAGTGGGAAATCTTGCTGCTCTTGCTGCAAGAAACTCGGCCGGCAAGCCGCTACAAAGGTATTTTTACCTGATTTTTCCAAAAATCTCTAATTTTCATGTATTTCAAGGTGGAACCATCGGCGGCGGTCGAAGAATCCACGGACACGGGTAAATTTTTCAGTGTAATATGTGGGGAGGGTAGAGCGCGCGCATTTGGGTGAAATCCACCGCTTAGCCATGCAACTGGCCGCGTGGCGCAATGGATAACGCGTCTGCCTACGGAGCAGAAGATTGCAGGTTCGAATCCTGCCGTGGTCGAAAATTTTTGCCATTTTTTTCTTAAAGTTTTCATTCAGAATTCTTCCCATCTGAAGGCGAACATGCTACGTACAATGGCGAGGCTCAACCTCAAGTCGGTCAGCAGCAGAAACAGGGGTTTGTTTTAGAGATTTCAGCGCTAGTTCGTCAAAAAATCGATTTTGTAAGTTTAATAGGACCGAAGGAATTTTTGAGAAGGTCTTAAAGCAAAAAGTGTTTATTTTGAAACATTTGGAAGCTCTTTCGCCATCAAAAACTATAGCAAAGAGTTTTTTTTTAAAGCTGGATTTTGTCATTTTCAGAAGAAAAGTTGCTTTCTAGTTGTATTTTTGATTTTATTTCAATTCTTAATATTTCATCAATATTTCGAGCTTCTCTGACCAATGTCTAATCAAATCCGAGCTAAAAAAAAGTTTTATCGGAAATTTTCCAGAGAATCCTACGCTTCTCTGAACCCCCAACCTTATTCTCCAAGTCAAGGTCAAGCTCAGCAACCAACTTTTTCTCAGCCTCAACAGTTCCAACCTCAACAACCAGTGTAAGTTTCAAGAAGAACCGAACTAAGCTTTCACAAAAATCAAGTTTTTATTCGAGAAAGGAATCGTCAGACCTTCTTTTCCCTTTCGTCCTTCTAGGCCTTTTTTTGACGGGAAAAATCCCGAAGCTAGAACTTCTTAAAAACGAGTATCTAACCGAAAAAAGTTATCTACCAGAAATTCTTCCCATTTTTCCAATCTTTCTGGGGCCATTTTTAACGGGAAAAACTCGAAACGACGAGGAGATTCAGGAGCTACGCCCAACAGCCATTCCAGCAGTTCCAACAGGTCGGACAGGCTTACAGCCCTGTCCAGCAATACGTCCAACCTCAACAGTCTTGCGGATGTGCCCCTCCGCCGCAACAGCCCTGCTGTCCACCGCCGCAGCCTTGCTGCATGCGTTAGTTTTTATTTTGATAAGAGGTGAAGAAAATATTGGATGGCTCAACTGGTTGGAGTTTCTTTATTGGTACAAAGGTCGCTGGTTAGAGTCCCTAGAAGTTGAACTTAGAAAAGGCAGAAAAATAGTTCTGAAACCTGACAGAAGGGAGCCAAGATTCTTGATGTTTTTTTTACTCTAGATCTAGGAATTTTTTGTAACTCTCATTTGTGAAGTAGCATAGGAGCTCTGAAATTTTGGAAATTATCACTTTATGCAAGCTTAAGTTGTTTTTATTGTGTAACTCTGGGATATTACAAAAAAAACAGCGAGATTTGTCTACTTTTTCATGATTTTGACACTACAAAGCGTGATTTCCAGTCGTAAATTAGCAACGGAAATGATTTCAATCAATCAATCAATTATTTTTTATTTTTTTAGTCATAGATGTAATTGACTAGGCGTTGAGCAAGAATTTTCAAATCCTTTGTCTAGCTAGAAGTCTTAACCCGTAGTTGAACAAGCTGAAACAGGATCTTACGGTTCTTGGCTTTGTTCTCCTGCGCGTAGTTGATCTCGTTGCGCCTTGACGAGCTCAGAATGTAGCTTAGTAATCGACTAGGCGGTGAGCAAGGACTTTCAAAGTCCTTGGCGTACTAGAAGCCGAAACTTGTAGTTGATCAAGTTGGAAGACATGGTCTTACGGCTCTTCTGCGCGTAGTTGGTCTCGTTGCGCCTTGACGGGCTTGGAATGTACAGTACCGCTCAAAAAGTCTATTAAGTTTTTGGTTTTTTTGGGGATAAATTTTTTGAAATGCGATATCGATTCAAATTTTTTTTCATAGTTTTTCTGAGAGAGACATACGTGTTCTGGCAAAAATTTCAAGTTGCTAGCTCAAAGAATAATAATTTTTTTCGAGAAAAAAACGAATTTTTCGAAAAAAATCGAATTTTTTTGCTATTTTCAATTAAAAAAATCATAGCTCAACAAAAAAATTTTTTTATCAACCCAAAACATTGTTAAAACAATATTCGGGACCTAGTACTTGGTTGCGAAGCCCCTGGCGTCAATCACTGCCTGGCATCTTCTCTGCATAGAATTGAGCAAAGTGTCGATGGTAGACATGGGGATCTGATTCCATTCAGACAGCAGTTGAGCAAACTTCTCGTTGCAATTCTTGGCTCTTTTTGTTGGCACAACGTCGCTCCAACTCTTCCCAGAGATGTTCGATCGGGTTCAGGTCCGGAGATTGACTTGGCCACCCCATGACATTGACCCGACGGCTCTTGAACCAGTCCTGAGTTTCAAAACCATACGAATTACTTGTCAATTTTTCTCACCTTGACGAACAGTGAAGTGTGCTTGGGATCGTTATCCTGTTGATAAACACTCCCACGGCCCATGGCTCTCAAGTGCGGCAACATCTGGTTCTGGAGAATGTCTTTGTAGACGTGCTTGTCCATGATGCCGTTCACGCGATGAAGCGGTCCGATGCCACTTCCAGAGAAGGCGCCCCACACCATGCAAGAACCTCCACCATGTTTCACGGTGGGTAATTGGTATTTCGGATGATATCTGGACCCAATTGGTCTACGAACCCACTGAATTCCGTCACTCCCGAAGAGGAGGAACTTGCTTTCGTCGGACCACAGAATCTTGTTCCAGTCTTGACGGGTCCAGTTGAGATGCTCCTTCGCCCACTTCACCCTGGCGGCTCGATTCTTTTCAGAAATCAGCGGTTTCTTCACTGCACGTCTTCCCATGATTCCAGCAGCATTCAGACGTCGTTTCACGGTCGAGACGAATGGCGGAGATGGCGAATTCAAGAAAACTTCCCGTGTGATCGCAGGGGCGGTGAGTCTTGGATTGGTTCTAGACGTCTTCAAAATGTTCCTATCGTCATTACGATCAGTGACACGTGGTCTTCCAGTGCGTTGGCTGTTAGTAGAGCCATCTTGAGCTTTCTGACGCTTTAGGAACTGAGAAATGCCCGCCTCTGTCACGCCGAACATTCCTGCCAACGTCATCATGGTCAGTCCATTTTGACGACCCACAACGATGGCTCTTTTGTCGTTATCAGTCAAATTCTTATTTCCAAAGGTTCTTCCCATGTCTGAAAAACATGAAAAAAATCATATGGCAACATTATTAATTTTAAAAAAATTTAATAAAAAAATAAATAAAAAAATAAAAAGCATAAAAAAACAAAAATGGAATTCAATAAAAAAATGCCTAAAAACGCGTCACAGTCATTGCGGACATGTCTTTGTATACCGTATATGTTTCAAAGTATATTTTACATTATCCCTGAAAGTTATATATAAATCGGATAAGTACTCGCTGAGATATCCCCAAAAAACCAAAACTTAATAGACTTTTGAGCGGTACTGTAGCTCAGAAATCGACTAGGCGAAGAACTTTCAAAGCCTTTGGCAAACTAGAAGCCGAAACTAGTAGTTGAGCAAGCTGAAACATGGCCCTACGGTTTTTCTGCGAGTAGTTGATCTCGTTGCGCCTTAGTAGCTGACTGGAGACCGTTCTCTATGTGGAAGCTTTGAAATGAGAGCAACCACTTCGAGTGAAGAATTTTCAAACTTGCTTACTGCTCTGAAGATTTTTTTTTCAAGCAACGATCCAATGCTGCCCTCCACCACCCCCGATGCCTTGCTGCCCTCAGCCAAGGCTTTGCTGCCTCCAACTGCCCCCGATCTGCCTCCCACCACCGCCGCCACTCAGTTGCTGCACCATTTCGGTCGGTTTCAAGCTGAGGACGATTAAAAGTGAAAGAAAAACTAGAAATAGATGTACAGAATCGAAGGTGTTTGCTACGAGAGAATTTTGAAACATGAGTCAAAATCTTGACCTTGATGATTAGACATCTTGATTTTTTCTTTAATTCACTTTTTCGATCATTTTCCAGAGAATGATCCCTATTTCCTTTCTAAAAATCATTCTCGACTATTGTCTTATCTCATTTGAATCTCGATTCAGAAAGTAATCTTCGGCTGGAAGCTTGAAAAAATCGGAATCCTACTTTGTGAGAAAAAAAACCTTCAAAGTTTTCTTCCCTTTTTTATGCTTAAAGTTATTCTGAAGGTGAAAAATCTAACAATTTTGAACTAAAAGCTTCAAGTTTTTATGCGATTTCAAGCCAAAAGTTCACCTAAAAATGAGTTTTTTAGTTCAAAGTACCAACTATTCCAATCTGCATGCGATCCTGCCCAGTTTGCCCTTGCCGACGTCGTGTCCATCGATCCCATCGACTTAAGAGAAGCGCTCTAGGTTTGTTTAGGCTTGTTGTAACTTTCAAGGTTTCCGAAAATTATTTTTTCTGCTTTCAGGAGGCTTCTGTACCCAGTGCTCACAATCCGGTGAGCCTTGGCGAGCTCACCGCCAGAAGAGACATGCTCCACGAGCCGGCTCCTGCTCTTCCCCGGCTCCAGTTTTCCCGGTTTTTTTTTGGAAGGAAATACACAAAAAATGTTGAAATTTAGTTTATTTTCCTTCTTAAGGAATCATTATGACTTTTGATATATTTCTCATACTTTTTTTGGTTGAGTTAAAGGCCGAATGTCTCTGGGAAATTTTTTTCTCAAATTTTTTTGAAAAATTGAAAGAAAAAAATCTTGGAGACATTCTTTACTTTCTATTGGCTACTATAACTGATCAAAATGACTCTTTCACGAGTTTTTAAGCTTTCTTGGAGGAATAAAAGAACATTGTCAGGGGTTTCGGAACCTTTTTTTTCGAAATTCATGTATATATCATTTTTGTAAGTTTTCAGCCCCAAACCGGATGTAACCAATGTGGAGCTTCACACTTGAGGTCGACTCGGGTCAAGAGAATGGTTAGATCGAAAATAAACTTCTGCACAACTTCCAGTGGTCACTTTAGGGCTGCTTGCCGTGTCTGGGAAGGAAAAAGAGAGAGGTCGACGCCGCTCACGAAAAACACACCAGAGTGAAGAGAATGGTGGGGTTTTTATTCAGTTTTTGAAATAACTCAAGTGGCCACTCAAGAGGTTCCTCAAGGAATTCTTGGAGAGGACACAAAAATTGCCACGTCCATAGAAGCCACTGTCTTGCGTCTTAGTGGCCACTTCAGTAGTTTGTATTAGTCTAGTAGTACCAATTAGACTCCTAGAGAGGCCACAAAACTTTAGCCCCTTGAGTGGCCTCTAATTCAACCATTATAGCTCACTTTTTTATGTCTTAGACTCTATAGAGGTTCTCTTTTTACTATTCATTCATTTTTAGGGATGCTTGCCTTGCCTTGGAAGGAAGAAACGAAGTGTTGTAAGTTTCCTTTTTTTTTTTTGAAGTTCTCGAAAAATACGTTTTTTTAACTGGTCATAACTTTAGTACCTTATAATGATTTTGAAAGAAGGTCCAAAGCGTCATTTTTCCAGCCGAACAATGGAAATTGCCAAAAATGCTCGAATATGGGACAGCTCTTCCAACGGTACAAGAGGAGTCTTGTGAGTTTACTTTTTTCATTTTTTTGTAAAAACAAATTGAATTTATTTTACTTCAGCTTGAAAGGGGGGATTCCATGAATTTTAGCTTTTTTGACCTTGCACCCGACTTTTTTTTTGGCTTTATCTTCGACCACAGGCTTTAGGAAGTTTTTAGACCATTAGAGAACTATTATCGGATATGTTTGAAGAATAGCTCAAAGCGAAAGTCGAAAATGGTCGGGTGCACTTTAAAATAAGCATCAGACTTCTGAAGTTCGAAAATTTAAGTTTCTAGCTTTGCGCCCGACTTCTCCTGACTTTGTCAGGAGCGAGTGACGACAGTAAGACTAGAGAAAGATAAAAAATGTCAGGTGTAAACATAGCTTACGATGGAATGTCATGAACGGTCGGGTGCATTGAAAAAAGAGGCTTCTAGTCTCTTCGAACCTTTTTTACGTCGTTAAGGCTCCAATATTTGAAAATTCAAGTTTTTAACTTTGCGCCCGACTTTTCCCGGCTCCGCCAAGAGCGAGAGACGACAGTAAGACGAGAGAGAATGAGAAGTTTCACGGTTAAACACAGCTCAAAGCAAAAGTCCCAAATGGTCGGGTACCCGAAAAAGAGCGATTTATCAGCCTCGACGCTAAGTCTCCCTTATTCACAAATTAGAGTTTCGAACTTTGCGCCCGACTTTTCTTTACTTTACTAGGAGTGATAGACGAAATTGAGACCAGAGAGTCAAGGAAAATTTGAAAAAAAAAGAGGCATCTCATTGGAACCTTTTGATATCAGTCGTCCTTCAAATTCTTTCTCTTTTTTCTCGAACTTTCCTGAGCCATCCTCTTTGCGATCTTTGTTCAAGGATCGGCTATTAAATGTTTGAAAACAATTTTGAATCTCAGGGCTGCTCCCCATGTAACGGAAGGAAGAAGCGACAAGTTCCGACCACTCAGGTACAAATGCTCATTGATTTATCGCTAATATAATCAATAATTTCCAGAGCTGCGCCTGTCAATCTGCGAGGCAGAAACGGCAGGCTCAAGTCCAACCGAAAATTGTCCGAAAAGTGCGGCTGGAACGGTCCTGTGACGCTTCTTGTTGTGATTATTCGAGGTAATTTGCATTTCGTGAAGCGTTAGGATGAGCTAGAATGAGCAATAAACAACAGGGTTTGTTAGTAATTGACAGAAAACGGCCTTATATAATTAATAAGTTGAGCTAAAATGAGCAATAATTCTCTGAGGGAAATGAGAACTCGAAATTGGCAGAAAATCGCCTGAGAAAATGAATAAGATGAGCTAGAATGAGGAATATAATTCCTAGTCTGCTCATTTAGGAGTGAATTTCAACAGAAACGTCTTTAAAAATAATGAGGGGTAAGCTGGGATAAAAATTGGAATTTCTAATTTTTTTCATTGATGGTTTCTCACAGAAAAAGCTTGAAAAACTGCTTCAGAATGAGCTAGAATGAGCAATACAATTTTTGAGTTCCACTTGAAATTTTCTAAATGACAGCACCTTCTCTCTTTTCTTCCGAGTCATAGAAAAATGAAAATAGCACGTAAACGTGAGAGAGAGCGTGAGAAAAAGAAAACAGGTTAGATTGTTTCATGACGTAGTGAATAAGGCTACGATATGATGAGAAAAGGTAACAATAATATGAGTTAAGATGAGCAATATGTCTGATCGCTTTTTGAAAGAGAAAATTCTTGGCGTGACATTGGAAAATTTATAATTTTTTCGAAGGTTAAGAGGGGAGTAACGGGAAAAATAAATGGCTAATATGAGCAACATATGACTTGGAAGATCTATGACAAAAGTTTGGTAAACTTGAGAAATTTTCGTATAAAATGAGCAATATTTTCAGTTGTCCGGATGAAAGACTGGCGGCGTTCTCAATCTTCATGTAAACCTTGTATCGATTTTTGAATTTTTGAATTTTTTGCTGTGCAATTAATAATTATTTTCTGTATTTATTCTTAACTTTGTCTTTCTCTCTACTTCTCATGACGTTGATTCGACTGTTTTTGAGTCCTCCTTTTGCAATATTCAATAATCATCGATGATTACCTCAGAAATTCCATTGTGATGCAATATTTTTTTTCATTTTTTTTTAAATTCTAATTTTTTTGTGGTATACAGTTCCCATTATTTTTTTGTGATTTTTTTCATTGAACTTATCGACTTTTTTTCCCATTTTTTTGTGATTTTTTTATTGAATTTATCGATTTTTTTCCCATTTTTTTTGGTGATTCATTGAAATTATCGATTCTTCCTGTTTTTGAAAGACTCAAAACATCAAAATGTTAAATTTGCACAGAATTCCGAAGATAATTCATTTGGTGTCCGCATTTGGAATGGCTCGCCCTCCACATTGGTCATTTAGAGCATTATTTCAATGTTTTGGACTTTCAGGACTTCATTTGTCTTTGAATCCCCCATGGGAAAACTAGAAAGTAACTCTACTTTTCACGAAAAACCCCCTTTTTCCTGATCTTTTGCTTCGCATGAACCCTCAAAAACTAGGTAAAACTAGCAAAAGACGCTTGCTCCTACAAGTAGAAAAAAGCGACAAAAGCAGTGCAAACAAATCTTCAAAGGGCGGACGCGGAACGGCCACAACGGCGGCAGATCTTTGGAGCCACTTGGCGCTTGAGTAACTCTATTTTTATGGCTTTACAAAACTCAAAGACAGTTTTTGAGCTGATAGCGATTTATCAATGCAGTACGAAAGCTTCTGTTTTTTTTTATCAAAATGTAATGGCAAGACTGAAGCTTCTGGATGGAGCTCAATCCTTTGATGACTACCATTGAAAAGCTGACGATGAGACGAATCGACAGATATGATCAGATAAGCTGTAGCTACTCTGGCAGCAGAGATATAGGCGTTCAAAGTTCACCATTAAAATTCCGACATTCGTCGGATAAAATGCATTCGGTGGGCTGCACCGCGGTGTACTTTTCTGGCGAAAAAACAGAAGCTCAAAAAAAAGTTAGTTTTTTTCAAGTTTTTTCTAGTGTAATCGATAGAGCAGCTTTCATTTAGTACTGTTATCATATCAGATTGGAGGGAAATGTTCAAAAATTGGCTGAAAAATGGGTCCAAAAAGCCGCATTTTTCAAACTTTGAAGCTTCACAACTTTGTTCATATTGGAGATACAGAAGAACTGATCATATCAATCGATTCATCTCGTTATCAGCTTTCCAATGAAATAGATTATCAATAGATCGAGCTTCATCCAGAATATTCAGACTTGCCTCAGCTTTTAACTCGATGTGGTGATACGTTATCAGTGATTGAAATATCTGATTGATGATGATTTCGACTTGAGAGAAGGAGAAGCTGAGATGTAAGCTGGAGTTTTCCGTGACGACATTCAAATTGATGAAATCTCTTGAAAACCTATATCATTAGAAAGCTGATAAAATGATAAATCGATTGATATAATCAGTTGTTCTGTATCTTCGAAATGAACAAAGTTACGAAGCTCCAAAATCCTAAAAATACGACTTTTCGGACCCATTTCTCACCCGATTTTTGAGCTTTTTCCGTCGATCTGATATGATATCAGAAGTAAATGAAAGCTGCTCTATCGATTACACTAGAAAAAACTTGAAAAAACCAAACTTTTTTTTGAGCTTCTGCTTTTTCGCCAGAAAAGTACACCGCGGTGCAGCCCACCAAATGCATTTTATCTGACGCCTATTGAAATTTTAATGGTGAACTTCAAACGCTTTTTTCTCGGCTCCTAGAGCAGCTACAGCTTATCTAATCATATCAGTCGATTCGTCTCATCGTCGGCTTTTCAATGGTATAGGTTATCAATAACCAAAGCTTCATCCAAAAGCTCAATATTCAACACTTTGAAAATTCATAACCTTGTTCCTATGAAGTTAGGGACTTCAAGACCTAGTTTTTCTTGCTCCTCGTGATCTCCCCTATCGACGGATAATAATTTCGACCCATTTCGAAATTCGACACCAAAGTTCGATCGCCTCTAACTAAGTTCCTATTTGACCTACGGGGGTCAAACCTGGCCTCAGGTCATTTTCTCGACGAGATCTATCGATTGATGTAGGTTTCGTCCGGATCGGCTTCCATGACCTCAGAAGCTCGAAAAAAACGTAAGGGGTTAGACTGTACTTTTTTCGATTTTCCCGAAAACCAAAGTTTCCGAGATTTCTACATCAATCGATAGGAAATGACGTCAGAAATCGGAAACTCTGAGTTAAAAAGTTCTTGGGCGCTTAAAAAAAAAGTTATGATTTTTCAAAGATGGTCACTCTCCTTAATAGTGCTCGAAACTCCTTAGGATTAAGATCGCTAGAAAGCTCATAATGAGACAAATCGATTGATATATTCAGTTTCTGTCAAACTTAAAAATTTACGGAGATATGGATCTCCAAAAACCGAAAAATACGTCTTTTTGGACCCATTTTTGGCCCGATTTTTAAGCTTTTTCCGTCAATCTGATATGATAACAGTACTATATAGGAGCTGCTTTATCGATTACACTAGAAAAAACTTGAAAAAAACTAACTTTTTTTGAGCTTCTGCTTTTTCGCCAGAAAAGTACACCGCGGTGCAGCCCACCAAATGCATTTTATCCGACGCCTATCGGAATTTTAATGGTGAACTTCAAACGCTTATATCTCGGCTCCCAGAGCAGCTACAGCTTAACTAATCATATCAATCGATTCGTCTCATCGTCAGCTTTCTAGTGGTATAAATTATCAATAGACTGAGCTTCATCCAGATGCTTCAGGCTTGCCTCAGCTTTTAACTCGGTTTTAGTCTTTTTCAGGACATTTTTTTCATCACATTCATGCTCATTATTTTTAAAAATTTTTATAACATAATAAAAAAACCATACAAAAGCATCATTGCATAAAAAAAGATAGAGCGATCTCTTCAGGGAATATTTCTTATGAGAAATTGAAATAAATACATCGCAAAAATATAAGAAAAAGGAGAAGGATATTGAAACGATTTGAAGTTCTTTGAACCGGGAAATAATCGAACGTTGTACAAAAATTCAAGAAACCCTCAAGTGGTTATTTAAAGGGGGGGGGGTGCTAATTTGTTGGAAGCAAGGGTCGAAGTCGGTGGAACACTGCGCGTACGTCATTTCGAAGCCTGAAATATCAAGATTTCGAACATATGTGTTTTTTTTCGATTCGGAAAGGATTTCAGAAAAGAAGCAAAAAATTGTTTTAAAATTCTCAGAGTTACTGAAAGGAAAACTGGATTAAAAACTACTGAAGTGGCCATTTGGGGCTTGCCTCTTGCTGCGCACAAAACTTTTGCTATCAACCTTGGTCCCCTCAATCCCAAAACAACTTATTTAATCAATGGTCTGTCTATTCCCAGAAAAACCATTATCCGTGATCTAGGTGTTCTTATCGATGATAAACTAACTCTCGCTCCTCACATTAACAATATCGTTTCTTTAGCAACTCTTCGTTCCAATCAGATACTCAACTGTTTTCGTTCCAAATCACCTGATCTATTGTTCAAAAATTTTTTTAACACCTATGTAAGGCCTATTCTAGAATACTGCTCCGAAGTTTTTTTAACCCTCCCCTTAACTCTGATCTCTGCTACAAACTGGAATCTCCTCTCAGAATTTTTTCTCGTAAAATTTTTATTAGGTCCAACTTATCCTTTGAGTCTTACTCTGATCGCCTTGAACAATTTGATATCTCTCCACTTTACCTCAGACGAGCTATATCTGACATTCTGACCCTTCATAAAATTGTCTTCGGTATCGATCATTTTCCCCAGTTCGAACTTTTTGCCCTCAGGTCCAATTTAAGGCGAAATCCACTTCGACTGCGTTCTCAAGGTCAGTTTTCTAATGATTTTTTCTTTAAAACAATTCCTACTTGGAACAAACTCACTTCCAAATTTCAATTCAGCCACCACCCCAAGTCTTTAAAAAATTTACTGGTCAATCTACCATTGCACGAGATCTTCTTGTCTATTCCTCCACGACTCAAATGATGTTTAACTGTATAATGTATTCTCTCAAATTCTAGATCCAAGTGAACTCGTTAGGGTTCACGCTGATCTGTCAATAAATTATTATTATTAGAAGTGGCCACTAGATAGAGAACCTCTACAGTGGCCACTAAAACGGAAAATAGTGGTGGCCACTAAACATTTTCCCAGTATATCGAAATTCATACAAGCCACAAGCCACAGAAGGGATAAGAAAGGAACCTCAAAGTATCGATTCTCAGTGTTTTGATCAAATTTATCATGTCTCATCGGCTCGAAATGCTGGATAAATTCAACTTTTTGAGCTTTTGAGAGAGTCCTCTTTCATATAGAACCATCTGGAACCCTCAGAAACCAATAGGGAAATCGAAATATCGGTTTTAAAAAGTTATAATATTCTAACCTCAAAAAAAGTCTCAATTCCCAGTCACTCTCTATCGAAAGCCATTCCAAATGCGGCCCTCGGATCATAGATCTACTGTACTTTTTAAAAATCTTTGTTTTTCTTTGAGCGAAAAATTAATGCATATCTAGAAGGAAATTGGTCTGATTTTAATAAAGTCAACTAAAGGCCGCATTTGGAATGGGTTTTTTTTTCTTTATAGTGAATTTTTTTTTCCAAGCTTCAAATTTGATCAAACCAAAGGAACAGTGATCTCTGGCCAATCAACTAGTACAAAACATATAAGAAACCGCAAAAGAAAGAAAAGTGGGAAAAGGGGTTTTTGGCGAGTTGTGCAAACTTGTACTTGGGGCAGCCGTTTGTCGGACCTATTTTTAGAAGGCGCAAAAATAACTCCGGCGGCCGAAATGTGACCAAAAAACTCTTTGGCAGAAGATTTTTCGTTCGGAATTTGATTTGAGGGTATCTTTTGGTTGTATTGCTTAGGAATTTCAGAGTGGTCCCTATAGGGGTTCGGGGGGAGAACAGCCGCTACAGGGGCCGAAAAAGTGGTCAATATATGGGTAAAATTAAGGTGGTTCCTATAGGAGTTTAGGGTCTGACCTCTTATCGCTTATAGCTCAAGTGGTCCCTATAGGGGTCAATTATTATCGACCAGAATTTTCCTATAAGGTCCACTATTGGAAGTCCCTTTAGGGGTTGGTAAAGTGGTCCCTAGAGTGGACCTTCCAAGGGCCCTTCTGATTGCCCCTATAGGGACCACTCTGGAGTTCCTAAGTAGTATAGATTGTGTAAGAAGGCTACGGTAAATAGAAAATATAAAAAAACCAATTTAATTTAACCCAGACTCTAAGATAAAGTTCAATACTAGGTAAAAAACTTTATTGAAACTTGATGATCATGAAAATTAATTTTCGAAGTTGCGAACTCAAAATTCTGGCTCAAGACACCATGGCGCAACGCAACCGCGAAGCGTCGAGACATTCCAAATGCGGTCGCCAATTTCTACGAACTGAGTCGCTCTTCAGTTATATTTTTGAAAAATCTCACGAAGAGGTTCGGAAAATGATCCTCTACGGTACTCTCTTTCTTTTCTAATTTCATTCTAGGTCCTGAACTTCTTCAGACTAAAAATAGACTTTTTCAAATTTCAGCATTAATCGAAAGCCATTCCAAATGCGGCCAATACCTCAAGTAAAAAATGGTATCTTAGAAAATTGAGCTTGTGAATGTTCACAGGGGCGAAAAACGTGTACTTAATGGTTCAACATCGTATTCTACAGTAATAAACATTTTGAAGGTTTGAGGCCGCATTTATCTCAAGTCATTATCTCATTTCTACCTTCCGAGTGGTCGCTCTTCATTTCCGCTCTCGCCTGAGATATAATCCGACGCCCGCCAGCCCTGGACAAGCTGGGCGCCGTACTGTTCCTACATGGAGAAGCAGTGATCGCCGGAGCGCTCGAAAGTCGTCTACTACTATCAAAAGAGAGACGAAAGGCTCTACGCGCCGTCTACGCTTGATCAACAACAGTTTCGCGAACCGACAAACAGCTCTTCAATGATTCCATGATTCAGCAGAGAAACCTTCTCTGAAGACTGAATAAGAGGCCGCATTTGGAGTGGCTTTTTACTTTAAAAATCCATTATAACGAGTTCACGAAGCAAACTTCTAAGCTTTGATAAGAAAAAGAATTTTACAATCATGTTTCCCTAAAAAAATCCATCCGAACAAGCTTAATATAAAAAAACTGGGGATAAAATGTTGAACTTGAGCTTCTGAACCTTGGCAGGGGGCAAAAAATTGGCACTCAAGCGTTCAAAAATCGTCTTCCTACGGTACTCGCCGCCATTCTCTACACGCGTTTTCCTGTCCAGTAGAACAAAGTTTGCACGTGGGAATCGGGGGCAAACAATCAGGCCAAGGTTCCACCTCCATCCCGTTGATCTACTGTATAAAAGTGAGCCGGTTACAAGTCGAACTCGCCGAGCTTCTCGACCAAAATCGACACACACACATTTTTCCAAAGAAAAATGCATTTTTCGACGATTTTCCTCCTCTCGACTCTTCTCTCTGTTTCTTGTTTCCGATTGCGAAGACAAGTTGTAAATCAGTTGGATGAGCAAAACTTGTTGGTGAGTTGTTATCCTTAGCTGACATGAGCAATGTTGAGGAATTTTTCAGCCGATTCAACAACAGCAACCAGTTTATCCAAGCCCACCGGTCCAGCCACAGTACGACGACAGTACTTTCCTGGCCAACAATAACAATCAATTTTTGGAAACTACCTTGGTCCCAGTAGTTCAGGTAGGAATTTCAGAGGAAATAAGAGACCACTGAGATCTTCTCCTTCTTCTTCCTACGCCTTTGTACCGCTTGAGCGGCGTCGGCGCCCCAAGTCGATTAGCCGAGGTCCTGTCGTGATATCAGTGGACTGGCTCTAGTGACATATCCGTCCTTGTGTGTGACGGCTGGGGATTATGAAGCCGTGGATTCCCACTACCAACATTTCTTAAACCCCTTGGTTGGGTCGGGGCGGGGATCGAACTTGTGACCCTGTGGACCGTAGGCAGGCACACAACGTGTTGCGCTACGGCGCGCCCCAAGAGACCACTAGGATCATAATTCCATATAAAAAAAATAATGGATCATCTATAACACTTTCATATTTTTTTGTACCACTCTTACAGCTTTTTAGAAGCCCCAGACCCTCAATAAACCCCACAGAGCCTTTCTCAATGAAATATGAATAGACTATAAAATTCTCATATTTCCACTTTCCAGCCTCAACTCGACAACACCAACCCCTTGATCCAGAACGACTTCGAAGCTTCTGGAGTTCAACCAATTCAGGTTGGAGACTACTAAAAGACGAAAAGAAACTCCATGTGAATATTGTATTGAATCAGTAAATCGTATCAAAAAGCGCAAGTCGTTTGAAGTCGGGCCAAAAAAAAAACCAGAGCTTTGAAGTCGCTTCTTCTAACTATAACTTTTCTATAGAGTAATATAGTTAACGTGATCTCTTCGTGAGCCTTTCCAATAAAATTTCTGCTTCTGACGTCATCAAAAACGCGTTTTCTTTAGACATGCACCTGTTCTGATGATACTGAACAGTGGGACGAATTTGACCAAAATGACGTCAGTTTTCGATTTTGAAGTCCCATCAAAATTGTTCACCCTCTCACGTTTTCTAACTCAAGCAAAAGAAAAAATCCTCATTTCAAAATATGGGTTTTCCAGCACGATGAGGTCATTGAAGGCTCTGGAATCAACTATCAAATGGAGCAACAAGTTCCTCAGCAAGTTCCGGTTCAGGTAAATATTTCTATCGGTGGCGTTTAGAATGGCGGTTCGAAGCGCAAGTCGTTTCTGGTCGGGTGCAATATCCTATCAAGCCGCAACGCTTTTAGCCATTCCCAATGCGACCAAACTTTTCGAATCCAAGTAAACCCAAAATTTCTCAATTCCTAAATTCCAGAACACCCAAATCCTTCAAGCTTCAACCGCTGATGACGGCTCCCTCTCCTATACTATCGTTCTTACAGGTACCGTAACCAAATCGCTTCGAAACCCATTTTCTCAAATTCAGACGACCAGACGACCAACCTCCACGTCAATGTCCAACTGCCGCAGAGAAACTCCGACAGCCTTGTCCAGGAGCTCCAACAAACGGCTCAACAGGTATGATGAGACAGGATCAGTTAACATGAGCAAGAATGAGTTTAGGAAGCTCCAGCTGATCGCATGGACTTGGCCGTGAGCCTCAGTCAGTTGCTGCAGACTTTGTTGAGCGGAGTCGATCAGCAGTACGATCAGACGATGGCTCAACTTGGAGCTCAAGTTCCGGCTCAAGATGCTCAAGTTCCAGTCCCAGTCCCAGTTCAACCTGTAGATCAAACTGGAGTCCAAGTTCCGGCTCAACCTGTAGACCAAACAGGAGCCCAAGTTCCCGTCCAAGTCCCAGTTCAACCTGTAGACCCCGCTGCTCAAATTGGAGCTCAAGCTGGCGCCCAAGCCGGGGCCCAAGCCGGAGCCCAAGCTGGAGCTCAAGCCGCCTCCCAAATGCCAACTTATCAGTAAATCTTGCCTCCGAAAATGACGTCTTCTGAAGAATTTTGAAACTTTCGAAGTTTTCCCAAGTCTTGGCTTCATTTTCGAAGCTTCTCCACCTAGTTTTATGTTTCCTCTAGAGTTTCAAATTCTGGCTTTTTTCCTCTACTTATCCCCCAATTACTTAGAAACCACTGATCTCTCTTTCTTCTAGATTTACCCATTCAAATTGAATAACCCAATATTTTTGTCCATATTCTTGCAGCCATCATTGTTGTAACCATCATGCGGTGTATATTTGTTTGTTCATATTTCGAATTGAAAAATGATAATGAATGACTTTGATTTTTGTAGATGAAAGGCAAGAAAGGATGTGTGCAGGGTACAGGTTCGAGTCCTCATTAAGATGAAAGTTTTTTGCCATTTTTCCGTTCAAAATTGAGACTGAGAAGCTCGGGATCAGAGTGGAAGGAAACCAAAAAAATTGCTGGAAATCCCACTCGAAAAGCTTTAATTTAAAGCTTGATAGTATCTTCTCGATAGAGCGCAGATCGAAAAATTGTGGAGGCTCAAAAATATTCTCTGATTCTTGAAAATCTAATTTTCAAGTTGATGTTCGTGAGATCAATTTCAATGATCGAATAATTGAAAAAGACTCTTGGAAAGAAAAAAATTTGTAAAATTGATAAAAAATTGATCTCGAGTCCTCCCAAAAAGTCTATTTTTAACCAGAAATTTTCCGAAAGCCACTTAAAACTTTTCAAAATGGATCCTATCACTAAAAGCCCCAAGGAATTTTTTTTTGATTTTTGTTTCTCTCAGATCGACGCGGCAGCTTTTTAAAGTGTTCTCTCACAAAAATTTTCCTTCAAAATCTATTTTAATGAAAAGTTGGAGATTGAATCCACCAAACTTCCCTTGTTGTTTGAAAACTATCGGATCCTTCAAAGTCACACTAGTTTTTCTTATTTGAAAAGACAAACCATTCCAGATGCGGTCTTACGCTCCAGAATCTCGATCTCTTATCCTTCCGACGCTCTCTACCGCTCCAATTATCCTTCACTTTTTGCCTAAAGCTTCTAAAAGTCGTGTGCAGTTCAAAGTTCCTATATCTTGATCAATAAAATGTGTTTTTTGTCCAAAGTGTCCCGGCGTCAGCTGGCCCATCACATCGCGCGTTTTTCGGCTGACCGCTGACCCTTATCTTTTGGCTCAGCCAAGAGCCGCCTATCTTTCTCACTGATAAGAAACTAATTTTGATAAGAAGTTTGACTAGTACCGGTTGCATTTGCAACTTTCACTAGTACACTGTACAGTGGTCACAATTTCCTCCATAATTTAACTTTTCTCTCTGTTTTCTGCTCTTTTCCAAGTTGAACTGTCTTATATGTTGCCAAAGCTTCTCCCACCGTAATCTGAACCTACAGTATGCCCCGGTTACTGTCTCTAGCAGTGGCTCTAATTTTCGCGCCAGCTTTCCTCGACGCCGGCGCCCACAACACAGTCAACACTTGGAACGGAACGCTACAGTATGACGAGGACTGGGGTTATGTAGATATACGGTATGTTACTGTAAGAATAACTACAGTAATCGTGAGATTCCCTCAGAGCCAACGCCCACACTTTTTGGTGGCTCTACGCGGTAAAGCCAGCTAATAATCGACCACTTTTTGTCTGGCTACAGGTAAATTTTGTCTACAGTAATCTCCAAAAAAACACAATTTTGAAGGGCGGACCAGGATCCTCAAGCTCTGGATTTGGAAATTTCGAAGAAACCGGCCCAAAAACTATCAACAACAATGACAATCCGGCGACCTGGGTGAGTTTTCGAAGTTTTGGCAAAAACCAGAGGTGGAGTTGAACCGTCAACCTGCTGGCTCTCAGCCAAACCTTCTACCTTTGCGCCAAGAAATAATATCAATTTTCAGCTTCAAGTAGCCGATATCGTCTATGTCGACAATCCGGTCGGATCTGGTTTCTCATACGTCGACAATAACAGCGCCTACACTACCAATATCACTCAAATCGGACAGGTTAGTAAGGGAAAATGGCAAAAACGGGGATGGGAGTCGAACTGCGACACATTCTAGTCAGATAAATGGGAAGAAGCTTTTTTAATGTGAATAATCAAAAGTTAAAGAAAAAATAAGCTCGAGAAAAAATAGCAAAAACGATTCGCCGCCGAGAGGAATCGAACCAACAACCTATTCTCTAGAGCTAGCTCACGTTTCACTGAGCCATTCTTAAGATAAAGTAAACAGTTGGAGTGCATTTTTAATTGGGATTATTAGAAGCGAATTTAACATGAGACCTTCAAAAGTGGACGTCACCCTATACTATAATTAAAATTGTTCAAATTGATGAGAGAAATGGCAAAAACGGGGAAGGGGCCCGAACCTGCGACCTTAATTCTGCAGCGATAAACCAAAATCCTAGTAAAAAACCTTATCAATGAAATAATTAATGTTTGAATAAAAAAAAAGCTCGAGAAAAAATGGCAAAAAAAGATTCGCCGTCGAGAGGAGTCGAACCAACAACCTTAGCTTCTCCTCTAGATCCACCATTTCTCAAGATCCACTGAGCAATTCTCAACATAAAGTATACCGGTGGAATCAGAAAACCATTCCTAATCAAAAAATCATGATAAACTCAGAAATGATCGATTAAGGACCTTCTCACATGGCTCCGAAAGTTCCTCGTCCTCCATTCAGAGTACCGAACCCGGCCTTTCTACATCTTCTGCGAGAGTTATGGAGGCAAGATGAGCGCCGAATTCGCCAGAGTTATCACCAATGTAAGTTCCAATATCTTATTAGAGATGTTGGAAAAATTGACGGGAAAAGTGTCTTTCAGGCGATCAAGGAAGGATCACTGCAGTTGAACTTCCGAGCCGTCGCTTTGGGAGATTCTTGGATCTCTGCCATGGACTACGTCAACACCTGGGGACCGTACCTTTATGCTAACGTGAGTCAAATTAAAAACTTCATTTCCACTGACTTATTTACATCGTAGACCCGTTCTTAGCGTTACTGGATGAAAAAATGCTTATAATTCAAAGTTCACAGAAAACTTTCTCGAACCGCAACACAACACGCGTCGCTTCCGAAAAGTAAAATTGAAAAAAAAAAACTCAAATGTACCTCAAAAATTCGTCCCGAACGTAACACCTGCTCAAGTTTAACCAAAATGAAGAAAAACCCCCAAATTACCAAGTAGTCCAGCTAGACCGCGACGCGACACGCAACGCATCTGACCGTTCTCGAAAATATGTTACTGAAGCTTTCAAAACGTGACTTTGACCAGATGCTTGAGAAGACCTGACCGCTCCGTCTTCAAAACCATTCTTTCAGTCATTCCTCGACGACCACCAACTCGCCACGGTCAACAAGGAAGCGGCACGGTGCCAGAGTCTCGTGGATCAGCAAAAGTGGACCCAAGCGACGAACTGCTGGGGCAACATGGAGAATCTCATCGGCGAGGAGACCAACGGCGTTTCTTGGTACAACATTCTGAAGCAAGGCGGCACGGACGACTGGTCTTCCAGTTCTTCCTTCTCTACTTCTCCTATTGGTATGTTCCACGATTACTTACAGGGGAAGTGCAGAAGATAATAATATCCGAATTTGGGGAGTGTAAGAGGTTCCGGATATGCTGATGCAGAATCTATCGACGTCATCGTTCCTATTTTTAGTTCTGTTTGATTTATGGCATACTAAAATGGGGGACAAGGAGAAAAAATCGACCTTTATTTCTTTGAACGTATCCGAGAGTACCGCAATCAGCATATCCGAGAGCACCGCAATACAAAGTTCCAAAGAGCACCATCTTCTGCCCATCCATGAACCAACCAAGTTACACCAGACATATCCCAATGAAGACAAATTCCAGCCCGACTCTACAACCGCTTCGTCAAGCCACAGAACTCCGACGCTCTCTCAAGCTACATGGACACGACGGTTCGCCAGAAGCTCGGAATCATTCCGAACAACGTCAAGTTTGGAGGTAACAACCTTGAAACGCCATGGTCGCACGCAGAATGGCTCAGAATGGGAGACCATTTCCCTTCATGGAATTTTCGGCCAGACTTGGTCAGCAGGCTAGAAGCCATCCTCACTGCGACCATAGGCTTCCCATTCAGTATACATCCAGCTAAATCCGGATTCTTATATTACTTTTTGACAGAATTCAGCGAAATTAGTTTACCGAACGCGACCAGAAGCTCTCTACTCAGAATTTTTGATGACATTAAGAGAAAATAGTTTCAAGTCGGGCGCTAATAGCCATTCCGAATGCGGCCATTCAGTAAAAATGACTTATTCCAGCCCAATCCGGCGCCGTTTTCAACGCTCAGTCCGACGACTTCATGACACCCAACTGGGACACGGTTGATCAACTACTGAAGGATGGCTACAATGTCGTCGTGTACAATGGAAATGAGGACCTTATCTGCAATACCATTGGTGGGGGGTTTATTTTCTCTGGAAAAGCTAAGAAAGAACGGAAATGAAAGGTCTATATAAGGAAAGGCAGCTTCATTCTAGGGTCTAGGAAATCCCGGACAATCCATAGGAAGTCTCTTTGATCCAAGTGTACAAAAACCATAGAAAAGTCATACTCCTTCCAACTTTTGAGATTTTTTCTCCGAAAATCGATTGCTGAATAATGAGCTCTACTTTACTGACATCCAATAGAAATCCTATGGACGCATGTGGAATGGCTTGCAGTTCAACTTATAAATTCGAAAAACCGCTTTAAATGACGTGAACTCCAATGCTTCTAAAGCCATTTAGCGAAAGTCGTTTTGAGTCAGGCGCGTCAATTCGTTACGACCTGAGCATACATGGGCTAACAGGGTGTTTTTCACTTTCGGGTCCGTACTTCTTCAAGGGGGGTACATGATGACGTCACAAAAAGCAGTTGGTTAGCCCATGTATGGACCTGAGCCATTCTATCTGCGACCGTTAAAAAAAACTTGGAAAAAACCGCTAAAAACCCTTCAGGAACGATATTTGAAAAAACCCTCTCTATACCTTTTTTTTATTTCAAATTTTTAAAATCTCCAGTTCTTAGCTCATTTTCGGAAACTTTAGAACATAACTAGTTGAAATTTCGCCTTCCCTAAACTTCTAACCTAAATTTATACCAATATTAAGGTACCGCCATGTGGGTAAACCGTCTAACTTGGCCACAGATGGCGTCTTTCAACTCAACGATGCGCCATTCGTTCAAAACCAAATCATACCCACTTGCTGGGTATTACAAGTTCCATAATAACTTGTCGTTCTGGTGGATTCTCCGAGCTGGTCATATGGTTGGTTTTTACTCAACGAAAAGAAAAACGGCGGCCTAGTTTTCCAAATTAGGGTTCAAAGAGAAAAAAAAAACGGCGGCCTAGTTTGAGAAGCTATACAAGAAAAAACTCGCTGATAAACGCGCCCTAGATTTCCAAATACACTGCGTTCAATAAGGATAGGACCCCCCTGATTTTGGATCTCACGGCTAAACCAAAAAAGTAATCAAAAATCTATGAATGCAGTTCGATCCAGAATACAAAATAACCCCCAGGGCCAAACTTTGGTCCATTCACCCCTTGTTTCACCAGAGAACCATCGAAAAGTCTGTTTTTTGACCGTTCAATAAGGATAGGACCAACTGGCGAATTTCATGCGCCGACGACTTTTTTCTGAAATTTTCACAGACAAACTCAAATTTTTCAAGGTTTTTTCTTGTTTTTCATCAATTTCACTCTATTCCTCAAAAAATTGTCCACGAAAATTGACTGAGAAATTTTCTGAAACCAAAAAAACACAGAAAATCACTTGTAAAAAATTTAGCTGCTTGTTGATACCGTAATCAGTCGTTACAAAACTAAGATGTGCAGGTACAGTACGCAGGAATGCGTCTAACGTTTATCCTAAAAATTTTCTTTCAAATTAGTCATTTATTCATCCGTAAAAAATGGGTAGAGCGCCTATTCTCTCTCTCTCCGAGCAAGCTCAAGTGGATGTGATGCGTCAGTTGGGGTCTTCTCTTCATGCAATGGCTCGTCTCATCAAGAAAAGTCGCTCAATCCGCCGCTACTTGGAAAACCCGCCCGACTATGGAAAGAAGCTGAAACAACTAAAAGGACGATGCAGGAAGCTCGACAATCGCGGAGAGCGTGTAATCATCAATGCTGCGTCCAACTCGCCGAAGAGCCTCAACCAAATCAGAAGAGAGAATGGTCTCAAAGTCTCCAAAACTACTGTCCACAACGTCATCAAGCGCTCTGGTATAATCGTCCGTCAGAAGATGATCAAGGTTCCCAAATTGACTGACGAGCACAAGAAAAGAAGGCTCGATTTTGTGAGACGGAACTTGTCAACGAAATGAGAGAATGTGAGTTTGCTTATCTTGTTTTTTCCTCTGAACGTTTACGTTTAGATTCTTTTTTCGGATGAGAAGAAGTGGAATCTCGATGGCCCTGATGGCAACAGAAGCTACTGGAGAGATCTCCGCAAAGACCCTCAGCTCTTCTCGAAGCGCAATTTCGGCGGCGGCTCCTTGATGGTTTGGGGAGGTTTCTGCAACGGGCAGAAGATGGATCTCCAATTTATAACGACACGTGAGACCTCCCTCTCCTACCAGGCGACGCTCCAGAAAGCCATTATTCCTTTTTTCCGAAACCGACGTCGCACTCACACCTTCCAACAGGACAATGCCTCGATTCACAAGAGCAGGTCTACTTTGGACTGGCTGGCTGCCAAAAAGATCAAGGATCTCGAGTGGCCGGCAGTCAGCCCAGACCTCAACCCTATTGAGAATCTCTGGGGACTTCTGGCACGTCGAGTTTATCGAAATGGAAGACAGTTCAACACGATCCAAGATCTGAAGGACGCCTTGAAAGCGGAATGGAACAACGTGACCGGCGCGGAATTGAAGAAATACGTAGCCAGCATGCCGAATCGGATGTTCGAAGTGATCCAAAAGAACGGAGGAGAAACAAGTTACTGATATTTCTTACTTTTATGCATTTTTTTTTGTTTTTTTTTTCTTCATTTTTGTTGTAAATCCCAATAAATACGTTATTTCGGAGGAAAATTTGAAAAAAAAATTTCTCAGTCGATTTTCGTGGACAATTTTTTGAGGAATAGAGTGAAATTGATGAAAAACAAGAAAAAACCTTGAAAAATTTGAGTTTGTCTGTGAAAATTTCAAAAAAAGTCGTCGGCGCATGAAATTCGCCAGGTGGTCCTATCCTTATTGAACGGTCAAAAAACAGACTTTTCGATGGTTCTCTGGTGAAACAAGGGGTGAATGGACCAAAGTTTGGCCCTGGGGGTTATTTTGTATTCTGGATCGAACTGCATTCACAGATTTTCGATAACGTTTTTGGTTTTGCCAGGAGGTCCAAAATCAGGGGGGGTCCTATCCTTATTGAACGCAGTGTAGCTTCAAAATCACTCGTCACGACCTAGATTTCCAAATAGCTTCAGACTCCCTACTCACTCATCACGGCCTAGATTTCCAAATGGACAACAAAAGGATTGTTCAGAAAATCACTATTATAATCAAAACAGCCTTGATTCCGGTAGGAGCTCAAAATTCAGATCCTTGTAAAACTTTTAAATTATCATGGCCTATATTCCCAAATATATCTTAAATGAAAAACTTTCGAGATGCCTGTGAAAACTCCAAACTCAATGAAAAAGGCTTAGATTCCCAAATAAACCTTGAAAACGATGTTTCTGTGAAGCTATTCAACTATTCCTTACACGACCTAGTTTTCCAAAGACGTTTGCATTTTCAGGTCGTCAAACCCGGCCTAGATTTCCCAAAAAAACTGGAATTTTTCAAAGAATCAGTGGAAATTACAGACTCCCTAGTAACCTTCCTTTAGAACGATTTTTTCACGGCCTAGTTTTCCGAAAATTCTTGCACTTCCAGGCCGTACATGATAAACATGGCCTACACATTCAAAAAAATGATGACAAAAAAAAAGGATTTTTCGAAGAATCAGTGGAAATCACAGACGACCTCCCTTTAGAACGATTTCTTTCACGGCCTAGTATCTCAAAATTTTGCACTTCCAGACCGTATACGATAAACATGGCCTGGAAACCCAAAAAAAAAAACTGGGAGGTTTAAAAAAAAAACCAGTAGAAATCACAGATTCCCTAGTAACCTTTCTTTAGGACGATTCCTTCCACGACCTAGTATTCCAAAAAATTTTGCATTTCCAGGTCGCCTACGACACTCCGGAATCAGCCATCTATATGCTTCAGAAGATCGTCGCCAATTACAACAAGTGAAAATTATTAATTATTGGATCTATTGTAATTATACGCTCAATTCAAATTATTTGCATAAAGGTACATGAAAACTCACGAAATCAATCGCAAAGGCATTTCCCAACACGGCAGGGCAGTCCGAAACAGGCTTTATCGTTATTTTTGACGTTGCATTTGGTTTGGCGGCAGAACTTCAGGATCACGTTGATGAAGAGCTCGTAGCCGTGCGTTTTGAAAGCCTAAAGGTGAAAAAAAAAATGGAAAAACTCTGAAAAATCGTATTTTCTGTTTGAAAAAGTCCATGAAATCTCAATTTTTATCGAAGTTTCTAGCCCATACATGGGCGGACCGAATTTCAGGGCCGCCGACCCCTCATTTTAGGAAATGTTTAATGCTTTCTCTGGCTGACCACGTTCCATGCCCATATAACTGATTCACGGCCAGCTTGGGACGCTAAGGGGGCGTGTCCTGTCTGCGCTCTCCACGAGCCAGGCGCTGTCTCGGGCATTATCGTGTCAGGACCCATTTTTCGATGGCTCAAGCCAGCCGTGAATCAGCTATAGCTCGAACAAAACCTCAACACAATCACATCGTCCCGTATCACTTGCGCAAGAGTTCCGCAGGCCTCCGCAATCGGAATCGCTGGAACAACTGCGGCCAGCGACACAAGCGCCACAGTCGCAAGTGCCCAACTCGCTTCCCAAGCATCTTCCCTGGAAAGATATTGAAAAATTAGAAGAAATTTTCGAAATCGTGGCGAAAGGTTGATTAAAAATTAGAAAAAAGTCCAAAATTTGAAAAGTTTGAAAGAAAATTTTACAATCTATGCAATCAAAAAGAGGAAGAAATTCTGAAAAGTGGCAAAAATATTTTTTCCCTCGATGATGATCGAACCAATGACCTTGTAAGTAGGAACACTAAAAAGTACAATATTTTGATATTCCTGGTCAAAAGTTGATTGAAAAAAAGTTCTGAAAAATGACGAAAAAAATTAGAAAAAAATAAGAAGCAAACGCATATAGTCAACAAGAAAAAGTTCTAAAAAATGGCAAAAATTCAATTTCTTCGGGGGGATCGAACCAATGACCTTTTGAGTAAGGATACTAAAAATAAAAGGTCAAAATTTGATAATAAATATTCTAAAAATGACGAAAAATTAGAAAAATAAGAAGCAAACGCATATAGTCAACAAGAAAAAGTTCTAAAAAATGGCAAAAATTATTTTCCTCGGAGGGGATCGAACCCATGAATGTAATTCCTACAGGTTCAAGTCTATCGACCTCAAAAAATTGACAAAGAAATCTTTAAAAAAACGGCAAAAAACATTTTTCCGTAGGAGATCGAACCAATGACCTTTTGAGTGATACAACTAATGTTAAAATGAAAAAAATTTGAAAATAATACCAATTCACAAAAAAATTTCATAAGAAGAATTAGAAAAAAGTTAGAAGCAATCTTGAAAAAAATGGCAAAAATTTCAATGGGGATCGAACCAGTAATCCTAAAAGTAATGAAAAAAATACCAAACAGTCATATTTCATCAGTTCAAAGACGGATGATAACGATTTTTAGGCCAGATTAATCGGACCTTTTCTTCAGTTCTTCCAACCTTTCCAATGATAAATTAGCTTCTCAAGGCCTGATCCAGGACTAAAACTCCACTAAAACTTTCAAAAATAAATTTTGAAAGCCATTTTGAACTAACCAACAAAGCTTAGAACTAAAAATTCGGTTCAAAATATCGAAAATCACCGTTCGGAATCCACACTCATTGTCCTTGTAGCACTGCGCCTCAGGTACACAAATATTCATCTTGACGATTTTTGTAGTTGTAGTCGTTGGAATCGTCGTGGTCGCAAGAGTAGTCGTCGTAGTGGTAGTGGTGGTTGTACTCGTTGAACTTGAGGTTGTAGTTGAACTTTTGGAAGTTTCAAAGACTGAATATCTACTGCTTATACTTGATAAAAAATCTCCCAAAAACTTGCTAAAAATCTCAATTTTCTTCTAAAAACCCGTACCCAGCCATTTAATGACTCAGAACCACCCTAGCTAACACTAAGAACGAATCTTCGTTTCGAGACCATTTTAAGAAAGGTACCTATGCTCCTTTAAACTCCTAGACAAACCTGGCTCATTCTGAAGCTCGCCGCTACCGTCGATGAACTGCAGGGCGATATCATTCTTATCTTTGACCATCTGGGCCAATTCCAACTCCAAGTCTTTCAGAACTTTCTGCATTTCGGCGTAGGTCTCCGGAAAGTCTTCATAGGCTTCCAGGGCGGTTAGGAAGGCTGGAAACGGATGAAACTATAAATTTGGAGCCAAAAGAAAAATTTTAGGAAGAAATCTGGTAGCTCTGACTAAAAGGACGGAAAAATCAAAAACTGAGCTTTTTAAGCTTTTCAAAGGCTTGTTTTACTCAATTTTTTGCTTTACTTTAGCATTGTAAACGGTTATTTGAGGTCACACAGAGCTCTAGTTTCTACAGGAGCCTTAAAAAAAAACGATTTTTTACCCGGAATAAGTAGAAAGATTCCAAAAAATGAACCTAAAAAGGGAAAAAATCGCTGGAAACCATGAAACCTCAAAAAATCAGTTTTTCATTTTTCAACGGCCTTTTTTCCTTCATATCAACCTACTTTCGCGTTTTTTAAGGTCACAGATCTTACAGAAGCCTCAGAAATAGATTTCCTACCAAAAATCAATGAAAAACACTTCATAAAAAGAACCCAAAAAAGGCAAAATTGCCGGGAAATCATGCATTCTACGTTGGTAGCGAATAAAAGAGATCATTTTTTGAGTTTTTTTTAAACTTTTAAACAGCCTTTTTTTCTTCATTTTGACCTATTTTCGCGATTTTTAGAACAATAAAGAATTCAAGGCCCTACAGGAGGCTCAAGAATATATTTCCTACCCAAAATCAGTTTACATTCACAAAAAGCAGTCAAAAAGGGTCAGAAAATGAGCTACTTCAACTTTTCAAGAGTTTTTCTTTAATTTCACCTATTTCTGTAATTTAAAAGTAATATAGAACTCGAGATCCTACAGAAACTTCAAAAAATGGAATCCCTTCACTAAAATAAGTACAAAAAGTTCAAAAAACGAACCAAAATAGGCAAAAACGCCGAGAAACCACGCATTTTAGAATCACATCGACTAGAAGAGATCAAATACTCAAAAACTGAGCTTCTTCAGCTCTCCAAGGTCTTATTCTCCTTCATTTTGTTCTGGTTTAACAATTTTTATAGTGAAAGAGAACTTAGAACCTTACAGAAACTTCAAAATTGGATTTCCAACCCTACAAAAAGTTCAAAAAACGAACCCAAAAGAGGCAAAATCGCCGGGAAAGCACACATTTTAGAATCATGTCGACTAGAAGAGATCATAAACTCGAAAACTGAACTTCTACAGCTCTCCAAGGGCTTATTCTCCTTCATTTCAACCCGATTCGACGATTTTTAGAGTAACAGAGAACTTAGGACCTCACAGAAACTTCAAAAAGTTCAAAAAACGAACCCAAAAGAGACAAAATCGCCGAGAACCCTCGCATTCTAGAAGCGAAATCGGCAAGCCTCGTCACAGAGAATAACCTATTCTGACCTCTTCAGGGGTGTTCTACGGGGTCGGCGAGGCGCAAGATGGCCCGATTAATACCTCGGCCCCCAAACACACGCCAGGCAAACAGCCTTTTTTCCTCCCCACCAGTCGGTTTATAGCGTGATTTTCCGCCTTTTCTTTGAAATGTGGAGGTTAAACTCAATGGTTTTTCGTTTGGGGAACCGGTCTCCCGGAACGGTTTTGATGGTCAGGTGGTTCTACATGGAGGCAGCTGTTTTCTTTTGGCGGAGAATTGTAAACTCAACAATGGTTTCGAATGGAATAAACCAATAATTTCATTATGGAACTGGAGAAAAATATCAAAAATGGGGTGAGAAGCTGATTTTGAGCTTAAATAAACCTAAAAAGTAGCATTTTATTTTACTAAAAGAATTCGAAAGCGTTGTGAGCGTGAATTGCGGACTTTGAGCCTACCGTAACCCAAATAACTCGACCTATTTCAACGGATTTGAATCAAGGCTTTTTATATAAGTTAATAGATATTCCTAGCCTATTTTTTAGAAGTTTTTACATTGTGAAATGAAATCTTTCGACTTTTTTTTGGACCAAAACTGCTTGAGACTTGGGATCTCTTTTGACTGATAACTAGAGACTTGTGATATCACTCAACCTGATTATCCCAAAAAAAAACTTCAAAGCCAAATTTAATGGTTCTGAATCTCAGAAAACATATTTCCAGCGTTCGGTAAGCCGAAAGATTTTTTTTTGGGATCTGCTGGAGGTAAGCCGGCTTTAATCGAGAAAAAATGCAGATTTCAAGCACACCGTAACCCTATGATCAAAATATTGCATACTGTAAGCCAACTTTGAACTCTGAAAGATTTTTTTACATGGTTGAAAGTGACAGAGGGAAATCAAGATGCATTATTTTGAACCCTTTTTTCTTTTCTTCAACCCAAAATTTTCTCCGCACAGCCCCAAACAATAGCCTTCTGATTTCACAAAAGGTCAGCGTGGACTGCGGACTCTGAGACTACCATAACCCAAATAACAACTTATTTAATTGAAACCGAACCCGAATAAAACCTATTCCACTCCGGAAAACCTCTGAAAACACTTCTAACTCAATCCTTTTCACTGTCAAAAAATATTTACTCCAAAAATCTATTCAATCGAGCCAGAAATCGTCGACGATCTCGTCTTGGATTTGCTATTCGATTCCACCTCGGCCACGGCTTCCAAGGTTCGGATCTCCGCTAGAATATCCTCATCGCCATTGTCAAGCAGTGTTCTTTTATACCTCAAAATGCATCATTTTCGAAAGAAAATAAAAAAAAAACAAACTTTGGCCAGAGGAAAACCAAAGAGACGAAAACAGAGAGAAGCAACGAAAATGCCCAAATATCCATTGAAACTGAAGAAGAAAAAATTGAAAATGAATGACGTCATCGATGAAGGCTTGAGTGACGTCATAAAGAAAAAAAAAACTCGAAGATGACGTCAAATATGACGAATTTCGCGAAATTTTTGAAAAAAAAGTGACCTTTAGTGCTGAAAAAACCGCTCAGAAAAATGCGAAAAATGACGTCATAACTCAAATTTTTGCCATAATGACGTCATCGTTCACCATAACTGCATCATTTTTTGAAAACATTAACCAAAAAAAGCTTGAAAAGGGGCCAAAATTCAATTATGGCTGTTTTTATTGATTGAGAGTCAAGTTCTCCGTTGAATTTCGCTCAAAAGTGACGTCATCAAGGAAATAATCCACTCTATGACGTCATAGAACCCCTCATGACATCATAAATGACCTTTCCAATTTTTCTTCCCCTCGTGGTCGTACCAGAAGCTCCAGTTCTCCGACCAATGCATTATGAAATACAGCAACAGCATCCAAATATTTCTTCAAAATGACGTCATATAAGTGATAAAATGAGCAATGCTCACGACAATAAAATGAGGATCCCTGTAGAGATCGTCTCATCAACCGGGAACGTGATCTCGACGCCCATTTCGATGCAAATCGGCGCTTGGATCATCATAAAAATGTCTAGAAAAACCGCGACGCGTGCACGCAACGCGACTGATGATACTCACGAATCACGCCGAAGAGGATGTAGATTATTGCCGAGTGCATCCAAGTGGGGTCCTCGATGTTGAAGTACTGGAAAGAACGATAAAATGGCCCTTTTTCATGTTTTTCCTTTGCCGTTGAAACAAAAATCTAAGCTGATTTCCCGGTTGTCAGATATTGACCGGTTAGCCGAGTGGTTCTTGCCTTGACTGTAAGATTTGAGACCAAGGTTCGGCCCCTATTGACGTTCTTTTTTTTGATTTTGCACAGTTTGCATTTTCAAAAAACGGTTCAGAATCAGTATTCCGGCAGAAAGGTTTACTGCAAAATGGTCGCACTTGGAATGGCTTGACCTGTAAGCGGTTTTGCAAAGGCTCGCCCGACTCAAAACGACTTGCGCGCGGACGCTTTGAAAAAAACATAAACATGCCTAGAGCCATTCCCTATGCGTCCATATTTTTCGAAACGAGAGAAAACATAAAATTTGAATCATGCCGTTTTCTGAGCAGTCTTTGGTCGATAAGTAGTGCTCTTGACTATCAAGACAGGGACCAAAGTTCGATCCCTCGTGACGTCACTTATTTTTTCTGATTTTTCTTGTCAAACTTCCATGATATATTCTCCTAAGAACCAAAAGTCTGGTCTATCTGCGCTCTCTTCTCTCTTACAGTAAGACAAGGGGAGAGAGAGTGCAGGGACGTCAGACAGTTTGGATTCTACTTATGAATCTTCAAACTCCATCCTTCAAAAGATCGAGAGCACTGGTAAACCAGAGAGAGTCTAGAGATAAAAGAGTTTGATCTCTTAAATTCGAACGTTATCTAGCTCTAAAAGATCGCAAACCAGAAGATTCGGACAATCTGTGAAAACCCCCAAAACTTACAAATCTCAGTGTAACCACGCTGACGAAGGACAAAACGCTGGAAGCCTTGACCACTTCTTTATAGAGACCAGTCCGATCGACCAGAAATCCAGCCAGTTGGCATCCAATGATGGCACAGGCGAATCCAACCGACACCACCGACCTGAAAAGTTAATATCCTGAACAGTTAGTGAAAGTTAGTTCTAGAAATAAGATTCATTTGTTTCCGCAAGTCTGCGTTTCTCTGCACCCGGGTGAAACTCCGTGAAATTTTAAATAAGAGAGGGATGCGGACAGAAGAAAAAAGCGAAGAAAAAAAAAATCAGTTTCTAGTCGCGGAAAACTAACTATCTGAGCTGCTATTAGAGTAGGTCCCATTCAAAAAAAAGGGCTGTTACTTCAAAAAAAAGAATCTAGGTGTTCCCTATAGGTAGAGACCGCAGAGCAATTGTCCAAAATCATAATGAGCCATTCCCTTTGAGTTAACAATTCAGCTCATGATACATAGGACACAAAAACAAAGAAGAAAAACGGAAAAAATTAGGAAAAGAAGAGAAAAATTATTTTAAGTGATTGAAAAACTGCTAAATTTTTGCACAGAAATTTTGGTTTCCCGCAAAGTCAGGCAGATTGCGCGCGCCTTTTCGGCAAATGCCGCATGGCTACTTCACAGCACTTAATGGAATTCTTTTCACTTACAATATATTTGGCTGCCGAACGCCGGAGTGCTTGCGGCCGAGTAAAGCTAAAGCTTACAAAAGGCCACTTTTGAAAGATTTAGTGGTTCCTAGAGGGGAATCTATTAGGAGTTTTAAGGTTGCCCCTCCAGGGACCACTCTTTAGTCCTTAAGGATCAACGAAACAGAGAAAATCAAACTCAAACTTAAAATTTTCTTCTTTTTTTTCCAATCAAGCCTTGAATAAAGTATATATTCAAACCCTTGAAGAGAATATCCACGCCAATCGAGGATCGTCGTCGCATGAAGAGTACAGACTTGCGAAGCGAAAGCGACCGTGAAAATGAAGGAGACGACGAGGAATTGACCATTCCTACAATGATGAGCTCATTTACAGAGTAAGAATTGAGATAATCGCATGCGTAGCGGTTGCGTCGCGGTCGGAGCGGAAATTCCAATAGAAGTTATTTTCGATGATGTCATAAATTATAATATTTTCATTAGAGAGCTCGAAAATCGAACTATAGACTGTTCAAATTTCGTAAGTCATTGGAAAACCCTATGTGGATGGCCCGCTATTTAATTGGTTTATCGCGTCATTAAAGACGGAGCTTGAGCAAAGACGAGTTAAATGACGTCATTTAGACCTGATTTTGAAACCGAACTGACGTCACTCTTTATATGAATTTTAAAAAAATCAGAAAAAAATTTTTTTTTATATGAGAAGCCTGGTACACAAACTTCAAAGCATCCACAAAACCTGGATGACGTCACCGACTACAATGACGTCATTACGAGCTTACTTCAAGCAAGTGCCAATAGACTCGAAAAAAGGCATCGTCTCTCCGACGGTCGACGTCGAGGACAACGAAGGAGGCGTCGGTGGGGCTTCAGACGTCGTGAAAATCGACATCACCGTGGGGATAAAGCAAAGAAAGGCGATTATCGCGTTCTGAATGCCATTTATTCATTTTTACTCGATAACTCAATCTCACGATTCTCAAGATATTAGAAGATCGTTGAGGCAAAGTCTCGGCATCGTTATCTATCAAGAAAAGCGGGAGTAAGGAACCGAAGATCAAGCCAAGTTGAACAGCTGAAAGTTCATATGAAGTTGAGGAGAATGGTGGGGCGCGTTGCGGTCGCGTCGCGGTTCACTAAATCATTCTTTGTGGGAGAGCCAAAAAAGTGCATTCTGATGAGAATAAGATCGCTCCGTATCCAAACTAACTGCGCATCAACTTCAAATTTCAACTTGGTTAATTCTCCGAAGTATCAGCATCAAAGATAACTAAAATAATGAAAAATCAATATTTTTCCAATTTGGTCGCACGTAGAATGGCTTAACGCTTTGCGGCTCAAATCAACATTTCAGCCAAAGGGCGGAAGTCGTTTTTGGTCGGGCGCAACTTCTTCAAGCTGTTTCCTTTGCAACTATGACCTTTCAATTTCGAATGATTTTTCTATATTTTTAAAACTGAAGGTAAAGTAATAAAGCCCATTCGCCACGACTTGAGACTTTTAACCTGTCTGCGTCTCTTCTCCCTAGCCAACAGATCAAGATGAAAAATAGCTTGCAAAAACAAGAGCGCCAGCTAGAAAAAAAGAGCGCAGAGAAGTTAGAAGGAAAGCAACGCATGTCTTCGAATTGATGACGTCATTATTATAATTTTATGACGTCATTATGCTCAGTTTATAAGTGCCCAAAAAAAAAACCGAGAGCGGTTCTCGAAACGTTTTATACTCCGTTATAACCTTCCTATATTCATTAATGATTGAATGACGTCATCTTTTTTAAATAATGACGTCATTTTAAAAATCTGTGATCAACAATCAATTCGCTCTCTTTCTAACCTGTCTGCGTCTCTTCTCCCTAGCCGACAAGCTCTTGGAAATATGAAGAGAGCATGCAAAAATGAGAGCGTCAGCTCGAAAAAAAGAGCACAGAGAAGTTAGACGAAACGCAACGCGACGCATCTCATCGAATTGATGACGTCATTATTATAATTTTATGACGTCATTATGCTCATTGTATAAGTATCCAAAAAAAACCGAGAGCGGTTCTCAAAAATCTTTAATTTCAGTTATAACCTTCCTATATTCATCAACGATCAAATGATGTCATTTTTTGACCTTATGACGTCATTTTCAAACTCTGTGACCATTCTCCACCCAGGGAATCAATACAATCAATTCGCCACGACTTGAGACTTTCTAACCTGTCTGCGTCTCTTCTCCCTCGCTTTCTTCGAATCATGAAAAAAGCATGCGAAAACGAGAGCGTCAAGAGGGCGCAGACAACAAAAAAAAACGCAACGCGACCGCGACGCATCTCGACTCATTCCCACCATTTATATTGACCACATTGGCCATGGTCCTCTGTCTTTCGGGAAACCAAATTCGGCCGATTTTCGAGGGAATAATGAGGAAGAGAACTTGTGAGATCGAGGAAATGAATGTACCTGAATTTTTTTTGAAATTCTAGTTTTTGAGTTCTTAATAACCTGCATACAAAAGACCAAGTCTAATATTGTTACATTCGACACCTGGATAGGCGGCCCACATTCGGATCAGGGCTCCGAATAAGCTCAAACTGGCGGCGACACGGATCTCAAAGTAACAGAGATGTTAGGAGCTACCTGGTTCGATAGAAAGTAAGCTATTTTTGAGGAAAATCACTCGCTCAGAAGAAAAGTAATTTCACTATAAGACTAGATCTCTAACAAGAAAACGATTAATAGTTGATGAAAATCATTTGAAAAAATTTTGAAATCGGATAATTTGAGCTCAATTTTCTTGAAACAAGGAGCTTTTAGGGGTGCGAATTTCAAAAATTTCCCATAAAAAATTTTTCTGGGATGGATTGCAAGGAAAATAGTCGTGATTGGTGAAAATTAAACTAAAAATTTCGAAAAGCCAGTTTAAATTGAACTTTAAATTTGTCGTCTAGGCCTTTTTTCTATTGAAACTGTTCGATGACGTCATGAGCTTGCAAACTACGTCATCAATATGTCACTTTTACACTTTTTACGTGAACAGTCTACCAAATTAAGAGTCCACCAAAACACAATCATGAAGCTTCAGAAGTCCCGCCTACCGTAACTTGGTAAAAAAAATATACCAACCGATTTCAAAACACAATGCCGACTGGTAAAGTACATTCCTCCGACGCCCAGTAGGACAGCGCTTATCTAAACTTTATGACGTCACTTTCAGTTCTCAATTGACGTCACTGTAAATTCTCAAATGACGTCATTATAAGTTCTCAAATGACGTCATTGCAAATTTTCAAACGACGTCATAATAAATCGAAGAAAAAAAAGACCGAAACTTATTGGAGATTCTTTAAAAAATGAGAAAACTCAGAAAATATCACGGAATGAACCAAAGATCGGAAGAAAAAAAAATTTTTGGAAAAATCTCAATTTAGACACAAAAATGTCGTTCAAAACCATTTTGAACTTCATTAAAGCACCAAAATTTGATGTAGAAGCTTCGAAAATAGAGAAATATAAGAAATGAACTATTATAAAATGAGCCAAGGATTTGAAATTTCGTGAAAAAAACTTCAAACTTAAAAATTTTTTGTTGGAAAAACCTCAAATAAGACGTAAAAATGTCGGAAAAAAACTTCACAAAACCCAAAAAGTTGAATACATTTTTTGAAAAATTGAGTATATCCTGGTAAAGTTATCATGAAACTACTTATAATTCTAAAATGACGTCATTAATGCCGAAAAAGTCAAGGAAAGCTGATCGAAACTCCAAAAAGTGTACAAAGTTTTGATTGGAACTTCAGAGGAATTAATAATGAACCTGAAAAATTTGGTTGGACATGAAAGCGGCGCCGCAATTTCCACCGACCGGACAGTAGTAGGAATCGGCTTGTGCCTCGATCGTTGAATAACTCACCCATTGCTTCAAAATCAACACGAAATACTATAGATTCTTCGAAAAAAATTGGTCGCGTTTGGAATGGCTCGCATATTTAACTTGAAAAATTAATAATTTTTAATCAATATTTTTTTGACACTGTAACTGTAAAGCAAGTTACCAGTCAACACTCGACCAAAAAACCAAGAAAAAAAAAATTAAAATGGCCGCGTTTGGAATGGCTAAGGGCGATGCGGCTGCGTGGCATTCTCATTTTTATTGAAATAAATAATTGTTTTCTGGTTTTCCTTTACAAATTTTTGACGAAATTCATGACATTATTTCCAATTATTTTCAATATTGAAAAATTGGCCGCATTTGGAATGGTTCGAAGCCATGCCGCTGCGTCGCGGCTTACACAGTAGAAACTTATTTTTTGGGTACTTTTTTCAATATTTCTCTCATCAAGCCGCATTGAGAATGGCTTTTTTTAAGGGGGCCATTTCAAATCCGACGTATAATGAGAAAATTTGAAAGGCCAATAAATTAATCGAAATTTTCATCCAAAAAAAAATATCTACCATAATATTGGTCATTGACAGAATTGCACATGCTGACAAGACGGCCCACCTTTCTGGATATACCTAAAAAATTTTTTTTCTCCCCTTTCCAAAAAAAAATCGAAAAACAACCCTGTAATTAGCTTGTTCGATGAGCGGCTCACTTGTCATTTCGATTAGAAAATGAGGAAATTTTTCAAAAGTACACTTTTCTTTTATCAAAAAATGCCGCGTTTGGAATGACTTCTTTATTTGTCCCGACGTGAAAGCCGTTCCAAATGCGCCTTTTGAACTTCTAAAAAGGCTTTTGAGTTTAAAAAAAATCTACAGATCTTCAAACATAGTTCAAATCAAACTGTTGAAAAATTTGCCCTTATAACTCTACATAAACTCAAAAATTTCGAGGTTTTCAGCGCTCTAGCCATTCCAAATGCGGTCTAAAGCCCATCAAATTCCGAAAATATGCTGAGAAAGCTATCTAAATTTCGGCTTCCAGACCATAAAAACGGAAAACTTTCTGACTTCCTCCATTTATTTTTGGACTAAAATACTTACTTGACTTCTCTTTTCAACGTGATAGCCATTCCAAATGCGGTCCCAATTATTTTTCAAAAAAATTTCTGACAAAAAACTATAAAAAAATTTACACCTCTAACTTCATAAAAAAACTGTAGAACATGAAAGCCATTCCAAATGCGGTCCAAACACCATAAAATTCTATAAACTTTCTGAAAGAACTATCGAAAATTCAGCTTCTAGACCATAGAAACTGAAAAATTTCAGAAAAAAACCTCAAAAATTTTTCTTCCAATGATTTTTTTGAAATTCCTTCTATTTAGGACTAAAACACTCGTTTTTTGTCTTTTTTCAAATTTTAGCTATTCCAAACGCGGCTCAAAAAATCCATATATCTTCAAATTTTTCGCTTCTAACCCATAGAAACTGAAGAGCCTGAAAGCCATTCCAAATGCGGTCCAAGCTCATTAAATTCCCAGAACTCGCTAAGAAAACTATCGAAATTTCCGCTTCTAACCCATAGAAACTGAAAATTTCAAAACTTTCCAAATTTTCATTGTCCTTCTATTCTTGGACTAAACTACTAAACGTCTGGCTTTTTTGTCAATTTTCAGATTTTAGCCATTCCAAACGCGGCTCAAAAAGTCCATAGGTCTTCGAATCTTTCTCATCTAACCCTTAGAAACTGTAGAGCATAAAAGCCATTCCAAATGCGGTCCAAGCCTATTGATTACTCAGAATTTGTTAAGAAAACTATCGAAAATTCCGCTCCTAACCCATAGAAATTACCAATTTTCGAAACTTTTCGTATTTTCTTTCTGGTGATTCACAAAACTTGAATCTCCTCCTTCTATTTTAAGACCGAGTTACTCGTCTGACTTTCTTTTCTAATCATAAGGGCGGGGGTCGGAAGTTGCTTATCAGTATTATCAGTGACCACAGCAATCACAACTACATGGACTGACATTATATTCAATTTTTTGGTCTATCAACTTCTTTTGGTCTTTTATCTCGTTGTTTTTCTTCTTTCAACTTGAAAAAAGTCAAGTTTTCGACAATTTTCGAACTTTCAGACAAAGAAAATTCTTCATTTGGTCTAGAAAATCATAAAAATTGCAATGAATGATGAAATAAAGTTATGTACTGATTAAATTTGAAGTTTTCACTTGAGAGGGATGCCAAGTGACCTCTTAAGAAGCACTCAGATAAGAGAAACTTCCAAAAATCTCATCAGTTTTTTCAATAAAAATCATCTTCAAGTTTTAGAGACCAAGTTAAAGACGATACACCGCTTAAGAGGCCCCTCAAATCACTATACTTTAGTAATCCCTCTAAAACCCTCAGTTTGTTTTACAACTGCCTCTTCATGGATCAGTGCCAAAGTTCTCGCGTTTCAAACTCAAGACCAAAGTTCGACTCCCGCACAATTTTGGATTTTTGCTAATCTTAATGATACCACTTTTTTTTTCAAGAAACTTCCAACATGAAGTCAAGATTTTTTAACGAAATAAAACCATGGCTCAGTTCAAAAACCTCCATCTATCGCTCAGAAGACCAGGGTTCAACTCCAGCTCATCTCTAAACTTCCTTGCCATTGTTAAAATCCCTTTTTTTGCTGATATGAAACTCCTAATACTAATTTTTCTTATAAGTGGGCTTCCAAAATAAAATCACGATTTTTTAGAAAAAAAATGAAGCCCTTGCTCAGTCCGTAATGTTTTGCATATCGCTCAAAAGACCAGGGTTCGAATCCAACTCACTTCTGAACTTTTTTGCCGTTATTGAATTTGTTTTTCTCCTTGCTGATCCAAAATTTCTCTCATCAATTCATCTGTATCATTGAAATTCCAACATAAATTCAAGGTTTTTTGTTTAAAAAAAGCATGGCTCAGTCTGAAAACCATCATCTATCGATCACAAGGCCAGGGTTCAAATCCGGCTCACCTCTGTCCTTTTTTTGCCTTTTTCAACTTTTTTTTTCCCTGCTGATCCATAATTTCTATCATTAATTCATCCATGTTATTGAGTTTCCAACATAAAATATAGTTTTTTTGTTTGAATAAAAGCCCTGGTTCAGTTCGAAAACCTTCACTTATCGCTCACAAGATCGGGGGTTCGAGTCCGGTTCCCTTCCAAATTTTTTGCCATTTTTTTCCAATTTTTAGAACCTAATGACCGATGTCGAAATGTGCTGTTTATCGATCCAGGCAGACGATGAAGTGGACGAAAAAACGCCGTTGCAAAATGTGAGATTTTCATTATTTCTTCATAAATTTCCCTTCAAGGAAATCGGAATATCCTTCAATATCCCTATAAGATCTGAAAGTGTGGTTAGAGACCTTGGTCTTTTGATTGATAAAGGACTCACCTTCGATTCTCATATTAATCATGTTGTCAACATTGCTATGTTGAAATCTCGTCAACTTCTTAAGGCTTTTTCACATGTCGGCTTACCGCAATATAAGCTTCTCTTCAATCTTTATGTACGTCCTTACCTCGAATACGCCTGTGAAGTCTTTAACCCACCCCTAACCAGTGCCCTCTCCTCCCAACTTGAAAAACCTCTCCGTTTCTTCACCAGAGAGGTGTTTATTAGAAGAAATGTTCGTTTTAATTCATATTCTGACCGTCTAAGTGTACTCGGCTCTGTTCATGCTTTCCGAAGGAGAATAATCATTTCTCTACTAACTCTCCAAAAATTAGTCCTGGGCTCCTACCACTTTCCAAGTGCAGAAAATTTCTTCAGAAGAACTGATTCACCTCGTTTTCCAATGAGACTCATACAGACAGGTCCTCGTTTTAACAGTTTCTTCAGTACAGTCATTCCTATTTGGAACAGACTGTGCTCAAGATTCGACATGAACACTTCAGCCTCCCGCTTCAGGAATTTTCTCGACTCTCTCGACAACAATGAACTACTCGCAAGTGTGCCCAACAGACTGCTCTAAAAAAAAATAAAATCCGAAACTTCTGTTCTCAATCTTCAATACGTGTATCCCATCCCGGTAAATCGCTCGTTGGGGCGTTTGTATATCGGGTTTCGCTTCACTCAAATACTTTCTATTCTGTATCTGTATTTTTGTGTTTGAGTGAAATAAATAAATAAATAAATAAATCCTTGGAGCATCTATTTTAAGACTAATAAAGCCAAAAATAAGGCGAATTCGTGTCCATTTCTGTTGCTAAGGGTCATCCTGGCGACGCAAAAACCTGGCCCATTCTTTTTTTTTCTGGGGGGAAACGTACTTTTTTGTTGTTTTTGTGGTCTTTTTGGTGGAGATTATGCAAATATTAACTGGGGTTTTTAGTGAAGTTTTTTCAAATCATTTTTTTTTCTTTTTTGAAATTGAATTTCAGGCCAAAATGATCGAGCCGAGGCTGGACACGGCTGGAGCTACGAGCAACGGCGCCATTTCATTACCTCCAGTAGGTTAGTTACTTCTTAATTAGCCTTGAAAAAAATGGAAAAATCCTTCGGAATAACCAAAAATATTGCACCAGTTAGCAAAATCAGTGTTTATATTGACAAAAAAAGAAAACTTTTAAATTTCAAAGATAAGTTATGAAAATTTTAAACTTGTGATTTAATTATTTAGCTATTTATTTCTAAGTTTGAGTAAGTTATTAAGACCATTATAAAAATCACCGAAATATTCAAAAATAGTGCTTCAGAGAGCAAAAATTAGCATCAAAATTGGTATAAAAAACGATCAAAAATCAATTTTAGGGTCTTGAAACTTAGAAATTTGAATTTTAACTACCTGGGTGATTTAGGCAGCACTCAAATTAATTTTCAATTAAATTATAACCAAAAAAGGTCACTGAAATATTTAAATTAGCGCTTCAGAAAGCCAAAATTAATACCAAAATTGACAAAAAAGGATTTTAAGTCTTATAACTCGAAAACTTGGAATTTCAATTTCAATCATTTAGTTGATTTTTACAATAGGTATGTTAATTTGTAATGACTATTTAAACAGAAAAATTTCAAAAAAATAGCCAAAATAATGCTTCAGAAAGCAATAATTAGTACTAAAATTGACCAAAAAAACGTCAAAAAAATGTTCATTAAGTTGTTGAAATTTTTCAAGTTTAACCAATTAAAAATCTTCAAAAATTCAAAGTTTGCTACATAATTTTAGAGTCTTTTTTTGTTGAAAGGAAAAAAATGGCAAAAAAATACCAACGGGGATTGATCTTTTTGACCTTCTGCGTAATACAGGAAAAAAAGCTTGCCGTTTGAGCTAATTTTTTTGAACTTCACTGATTTCCAATTTTTAAGCTTTTTTTCAGCTTTTTTTCAGTGGAAAGTCGACGAATTTTATTCAATTTTAATATTTCATTTCCAAATATTATTTATTTTCTTCTGTCTTTAACGTTGATTTTAAAAAAATTCGCGTGAAAATTCGGGAAAAACCTAGTTCCTCGTGGAAAAATTTCTCCAAAAAAACATTCCTATTCAAAAAAACCTCGATTTCAAAGGTTTTTGTCCAACACAACCGTTCAAAGTTCTTCAAGAGTTGATCCAAAATATAAACAGGTTTTCCGGCGCGTATTTTCCATCTATTGTACAAATAGAACGCGAATTTGTTAAAAAAAGTGGCACGATTTGAACCCCAATACGTTTTCGGAACAAAAAAAAATGGTTTGAAAAAGCTATATAAATAGAAAAATGTATTTAAGTGATGGATATCGTTATCATTGGCTTAATTTTCGGGGGTTTTTTTTTTTGAATTTAACTCGGTTTTTCGAGAAAGATGGCTCATCCAATGTATTGTTTATGAACGCGGAACTGAATATCTTACTTTTTTTATATAATATTATTTATTTACAGGCAGAACAAAAATAATATGTACAGAAAAAAAGAGAAAAAAATTTGGCATTAAGCCTGAAATAAATAAATAAAAGGCACTTGAGGCCCTCACGAGCCTCTGAGCCAGTAATGAAAGAATAAGAGGTGAGGATTTCACAAAGGTAAAAAAGTAAATAGAAAAAGAAAGTATAAGTTATGACACAGTGTAGCACAGGTGAGTGGGGAATTTAATCGTTTGTAATGATATAGACGCGCATAAGATGGATTAGAGTAGGGCTGAAGCACGGGTGCCTGGTTCAACGGAGTCTGCTGGGAATAGATCCAAAAAGGAAATTGTTATCGAGGGATAGTAACAAAGACCTGAAACGTTCTGGAGAAACATTGAGGTTTCCCAATGTAGCCAGTTTATTCCAAAGAGGGATGAACGTCTCAAAGAAATTTTCGAAACGAATCCCTACTCTGATAAGACGTGATGGAGCACGTACCGAATTCGATCTCCTGAAAACACTGTGAGCAACTGGCAAATGACTCTCCTTAATATAAATTTTATGTAGTGTTCTTAGACAAAATTCGACTCGTCTTCTAAAAAGAGAGTTTGTGTTAATCTGAGCTAACCTGTCTTCATAACTAGAAAACCTAATGTTTGATCTCATGAATGTTTGGCGAGTAAATTGACGGAAGATGTTTTCGAGGGTGTAAGATAGTTCTGAAGCTAGGGGGGGACTGAACAACTCACAACAGTAGTCCATATAGGGAGCAACGTAAGTAAGAAAAATCCGGCTCATTAGAGCGGGAGACAGGGCGCGGAACGCTCTGATGATTTGTTTACTTTTTAGTTTGCATAAGGCTATAACTTTGCGAAGGTGAGGCTCAAATGTTAGTTTGTTATCAATAAGAATGCCTAGATCGCGAACAGCTTCCGCGGAAGAGATAGTTATATTATTTATAGTATACAGAACATGAGGGTTGCTACGGCCTAGATGGAGAAGGGTGGTTTTGTGTTCGGCCAGGGGAAGACCCCATTGACTAGACCATTGGAAAACGTCGTTGAGACCTTGCTGAAGCGCTATAGGATCGTCAGAAAAAATTTTAAGATCATCAGCAAAAAGATAAGCCTTTACATTATCAGATAAGTTGCTGATAATGTCATTAATGAATATTATAAATAAGAGTGGGCCGCAGACTGTTCCTTGCAAAACTCCAGATGTAATGTTAAAAGCCGAGCTAGATATGATACCTTCACTAATGACAAATGATTTTCTGTTGGATATGAAGGATGCAAACCAGCTAATAAGTTTTTGGTCGAAACCGAAATCTTGGAGCTTGGCGAGCAGAAGGTTATGGGGGAGCATGTCGAAGGCTTTGAGAAAATCAATATATACTACGTCTACGTTATTACCAAGACTTATTTTCGGAATTTTTTCATTACAAATAACCTTTTCTGATTTTCTGTGCTTGTATTTTGAATATTTTTTTTGAAATTTCAATCCTATTTACGAGAAAAATGGCCTTTCTACTGCATCTTTCATGAATGCAGAACCGAATTTCTTACTTATTTCTCGAATTTTTTTCATTGCAAGTTTCTTTATTCTAATTTTGTGTGTTTGAATTTCGGACTTTTTATTTTTTTAATTTCAATCCTATTTTTCAAGAAAAAAATGGCTCTTCTAGTGCATTTTTTTATTAATGCGGAACCGAATTTCCTACTGGTTTTCCAAATTTTTTTATCGAAATTCCCCTTTTTCGGATTTTCTCCCGTAGCGATCTTCTTTTTTTGTTGAATTTTATATATATTTTTTTTCAATTTCTACCCTTTTTTCGAAAAAATGACTCATCCAATGTATTTTTGTGAATGCCGAACAAAATATCTTATTGATTTATTAAATATTTTCTTTGCCATTTCCTTTTTTTCTGACTTTTTGTGCTTGAATTTCAGATTTTTTTTTCAATTTCAATTGGTTTTTCAAGAAAAATGGCTCATCCAATGTATTTTTTATGATTGCAGAACCGAATATCTTCTGATTTTTCAAATTTTCTCATTGCAAGTTTCTTTATTCTTATTCTCTGTGCTTGAATTACTGATTTTTTTGTTAATTTTGCCATTTTTTTACAGAAAAAGTGCATTTTTAATGAAAGCGTGGCCGAACTTTCCACCGATTTTTTTCAATTATTCCATCAAAATTTTTTTATCTTTGAATTTTTTTGTGTCATTTTTTTCTCGGTTTTTCTTGAACTGCTAGAATGAAATTCATGAAGATTAACTTCAAAATTGCTCATTCTCTACAAAAAAATTTTTTTAATGAATCTTTTTTTCTAATGATTTTCTCAATTGAAACATTTTTTTCTGTGTTTCTCGTTTTGATGAAATTCATAATCTAAATGGTTCAAAAAAACTTTTTGAATTGATAGAAAAAAATGTCCGAAAAAAAGGAAATTTTATGTCTTTTTGGGCGAGACAAAAAACTCTTTTTCCCTTTTTCCTTCATTTTTCCACATTAAAAAAATTCTCATTATTCTACTATCTTCTGAGAACACCAAAAAAAGACCTCTCTATTTGATATTTGTGTTTCAGCTATATTTTTCATCCGTTTTTTTTTTGAATCTTTTTTTTAAAAAATAAAATCTCTTTTTTCGTTCCTCACAAGGGAGGTCATTTTACTTTGTGGTTAAGAATTTCCTGGAAATCGACCAGAACGGTCCTTGATGTACCAGGTAAAGATTCTGAAAAACTCAACCTGCAAAACTTCCTTTTTTCTCGGAAAAGACGCTCTAAAGTGAAAGAAAACCCTAAAGTCTTTACACGGGGAGTGCAAAAGGTGGTGGGTTGAGAATTTGATGAAACTTGGTATATAGGTACTTTAGGACACCCTGATTCCAATAAAGTTGAAAAAAGTGCGCCTTTTTGGTTTTAGTCGAGTTATGGCATCTCGAAGTTTGCACGCGAAAAATGCATTAGATGGAAGGAGGGAATATGTCGCGGCGACTAACTTCCGCTGCCAGCAGGTGGCGTGGTGTAGTGGTTAGCGCCCTGCGATGTGGAACCTATGATGCAGGTTCGATTCCTTTTTGGTGGAAATTTTTTTTGTCATGATGTTTTTCGAAAAATTGATGAATTTTTGATGATGGAACGAAAAATACCGTTCAAAGTTTTGAAATTCACTATTTTATGCCGTTTTGAGAAAGACTTTCGACAAAAAAAATTTTTGTCTTTCTTTGTCATGCTCTATGCAGAAATTTTTGGTGTCGAGAATATTCTTTCAAGACTTCATAGTTTTTTGTCATAAATAACAACTTATCATAGTTCTATGCTTCTTTTCTCATTCATCAAAAAGTTGTTTCTTCAAAGTTGGCAGTTAGTTAATCCACTTCCGGGTATTTTTTTCCTCCCTGCAGCATCGCCATATCCTCTCGATTGCGAAAATAAAGTGAAGCTGGACTTTGTTTCACAGTTTCAACACATAAAAATCTTAAAAAGAAGAAGAAAAAAGACTGAATCTCATAAAATTTTTTATTTTTTTTATCAGAAATTTTTTAAAGAAAGGGGTCGACCATAAGCTTTATGGTTGAAGAAGGAAACTCATAGCAAAAAAAATTTTTGTCAAAATTCTTTCTCCGAAGGGCATAAAATGGTGAATTAAAATATTTTGAACTGTTTTTTCACTCCATCTTCAAAACTTACTAATTTTTTTGAAGAAAAAAATTGGCAAAAATAAATTTCCCCCAAAAAGTGGCCGAACCTGCATCACAGGTTTCACTGCGCAAGGCCGCTAGCCACTACACCACGTCACCTTAGTCGCCGCGACATATTCCCTCCTTCCATCTAATGCATTTTTCGCGTGCAAACTTCTAGATGCCATAACTCGACTAAAACCAAAAAGGCGCACTTTTTTCAACTTTATTGGAATCAGGGTGTCTTAAAGTACCTATATACCAAGTTTCATCCAATTCTCAACCCACCACCTTTTGCACTCCCCGTGTTAAAAATAGGCTATTTTGAGGTTTTAGGCCTTCATTTCTCAATAACTAGGAATTTGTGCAATTTGAGACTTTTAGGATCTTCATCTGGTACATCAAGAAGGGTTCTGGTCAATTTTCAGGAAATGCCCAACCACAAAGTAAAATGACCTCTCATGACAGCGTATAAATAAAAATACTTTCTCGGTTTTTAACTTCCTAATTTGGTGGGAAAGGTCAAAACCAGTCTCTCATTGATAGCGTGACCCAGTCTCCGTCACTAAGGACTGACCATTTCTCAAGTACCGACCTTTCTCAGATTTTTCGCTTTTTTGTTGATTTTTCTTTCTTTTCTTGAGTAAATTATTGAATAAAATCACTCTTAACACACTGAAAATGCCTAGAAAGTCTTTTTTGAAGTTGTTTAACCCTAATTTTAAGTCTGCATGGAGCCTTTTTACTCAGTAACAAAATCTTTATAGACAAAAGGGGAACGAAAAGTTATAGAAACCTTTTTTTGGAACTAACACTAGATATAAGTTCTGTACGATTTTTATTAGATTCTTGGCCCGTTTTGCTGATTTTTTTCTTTCTTTTCCCTTTCAAAATATTCTTCAGATTACTCTCATTATACTGAAAAAAAGTGAATGAAATCTATTTTTCAAGAATAAAATAGAAAAAGATCCGAAATCCGCCGCAGTATTTTTTTTATTAGGAAAGCAAAAAAACTCATGATAAAAACTTTTTTTGAAACGTGAGGACTACCGATTCTCAAGTACCATCCAAAAAAAGTTTTTTGTCCTTCCTTCCTGCTCAGATTTATAACCAAATCACTTTTAATTCACTGAAAAACTCTATTAAGCCCTTTTTCCAAGCTTTCGAGTGCAAATGGATCAAAAATCCGTCCTTCACTCAGCAAAAAAAAAACCGTTCCCTCATTTTTTATGTCTTTGTCAATAAGGACCGATCTCTCAAATATCCACCAACGACAGATTCTTGGCCCTTTCTGTTGATTTTTCACTTCTTTAAGGCTCTACCTTTGATCAGATTACTTTTTTCCCCCTGAAAATAGTCTGGAAAGTTATTTTAAAGCTATTTCGTTCTTTCTCCAACTCTAGATGGAACCGAAGTTCTTCATACTAGTTGGAAAAATTTTCAAAAAGAAAAAAATAATCTTACCAAAAAATAACCTCTTCCAGGATTTTACGTTCAAAATTTCAACTAGGAAAATGTAATTTCTCTCAAACTACGAAAGTTTTTAGTGGCCACTATAGAGGACTACTTGGAGAGGACACTAAAATGGCCACTAAATCCACCTCTATAGTGGCCACTATTTTCCGTTTTAGTGGCCACTTCAGTAGTTTTTCATCCAGTATTCCTTCCAGTAACTTTGATAATTTTAAAACAAACATATTGGATCAGTTATGTTGATCTATTGACCCTAAAGTGGTCACTAAAATTTTTAGTGGTCTAGTAGTAGAACTTAGACCTCTATAGTGGCCACTAATTTTCAACCCCTCAAGTGGCCACTAATTTGACAACTATAGTTGCCACTAAAAGTCAAAACCCTACAGAGGCCACTAAAAATTTTCACGGAAAGTACCTAGAAGATCTATAAATATCTACCAGAAAGATGTAAATAAGCTCAAAAATTAATCTGAACATTTTTTTATTTTTTTATTTTTTTCGAGACCTCACCATTAATGAAAAAAATGATCCTGAGTCAGTTTTTTTCTACTATTTTTTTCGCTTGGAAAAATTTTATTACACTCCAAAAAAACACCTAGGTTTTTTTAATTTCAAAACTACAAAAAGTCTTTTTTTCAAACCTATATTGAGATATAGACTCATTGCCTCGTAAAAAGAACGTTTTGCCAAAAAATTTCGCCTATATGAGTTATTTTCCACCTCGGCCGCTCATAAAACATTCTGAGCACTTTTAGGGATCACTTTAGGGGCGTCAGAACTCTCAAGGGGTTGCTAAGAGTGCAGAAGTACTATTCACCTTTTTTCCAGAAACGGAGTTTGTTCGAACTTGGCTGGAGCGGAAGTTCTGGGTGGTCTACGCGTTCGGATTCGTCTTGCTCGCTTTGATGGTCACACTTCTCGCCGTCGTCGTTCTCCTCGTTGTTCGTCTACAGCATGTCGAATCCGCTTCGAGAGTCGCCCTGGCCAAATCCCAAGATGAGATGCAGAAAATGGCGGCGGTTGGTTCAGTATTACAACTTTTATTATTTTAAGAAAGCTTATTTTGTTTTTTTCTAAAGTTCGGACTATAGATTGAGCTTTAAGACACAAAAAAAAGGTCGATTTTACCTTTTTAAAACCACTTTTCTGCGTTTTCTCAAAGATTCGGACTGAAATTCGAGCTTTTGGAGGCAAAAAAGGGACATTTTTTGAAGGTTTCTCTAAAACCCCAACATTAAAGATAGCTTAGAAAGAAATAAAAGTCCAAAATACACAAAATAAAAAGAAAAGCCCTGCAAAAAATGAAAAAAAATTTAACTTTCTGGTCCAAAATTATATCATTCTTAGTTCAGAAAGTTTCTGCATGTTTCAAATCAAATTCGCTCCAATCAGACCGTTAAAACGCAGGAAAAATTCATCTTCTAAAATAAAATATAAAAATCACCTTCTAATAAATCGCTTTTTCAGTCCGTACGGAATCCACTAGAGAGGCTACTTGGAATGGCTCCGGGAGCAGCTTCTTTCAGACCACCAGGTGAAATACATTGATTCAGTTCTGAAATGCATTAAAAAGATTAAAAATATCGAAAAATTGAAAAAAAAAAGATAGTAAAAAAATTTGGCTCATGAATTTTGCGTCCTGAAAGGAAATTGCCTTTTTCGTAGGAGAGCGTGCGCCTTTAATAAGATTTATTTCAAGTCAAAAAAGGTCATTTTAACAGTTTTTTTGTTTTTAAACCACGGCGTTCCACGCAGTGAAAGCAAATGTAAAAAGATTGCCGCCGACCGATGGAGCGCACTTTGTGCAGGCCCCCGCGAAATTCAAATTTTTTTCGGTTTTTATGTCATTTTTCGGTGGTTTTTCAAATTATTCTCTGTCTATTCATGTTTGGGTTTTGCGAGATGTCCATATTGTGAAATAGTAGCATATTACACGTCTATTGAAAGCGGTTCCATGGAATTTCGTTCAAAACTGAGGGAGGAGTTAGTTTTTGAAAATTCGTCAATTTCTTTGTTCACAGTTTTCGCTGATTTTGCTCGTTTCTTTTTATATAACTCTTTGTTTTTTTAATTAGTTTCATTGCCAAATGTCATTTTTTTCATAATCCGAGATTCTTTTTGGTAAATCACAGCTAGGCAGTGGTCGCGAAAAAAATATCCGAATAATAAACAATTACTGGTGTTCAAAAACTATATAATTATCGTCTCCGATGACCTGCTTCATGTGTTCTACCAAAAAATAATGTAAGGTTGAGTGAACGTAAAGTGTTTTTTCTTCAGAGCGCGACTTAAAAAATTCTTCAATTACTCTCGGTTGTTGAAATATTTGTAATCAGTAATTTAGAGTTTTCCCCTTCCGAAATCGTTCCTAAATTTTTTTTAACGCAAGTGAATGTTTTTTTTCACATCATAATCTTCAAACTGACAAGATTTCGAACATTTCAGAAGTTATTATCCTAAAATTGCAAATTCTAAAATTGAAAAAAACAATTTTGAGTATGCGATAGTGCGTCTCGGTGTGCTTACACCCTAAACATAGTGAGAGATCGGGGCTTGTGTTGCCCCCGATCTCTTTTGCCGTGGTTTCATTGCCGCATCGCTCGTTCATGGATTGAAAAGATTCATTAATAAAATGGCGAATTAAATCATTAAATAAAATATTAAATCAAAATGGGATGGCGGTGTCGAGTGGTGGGCTGCGGGTCCGTTGCCGGTCCCCGGTCTTGTCCTGCCGTCGTCGTGGCGGGCTTTTATAGTTGTCGACGGCGGCCCTGAAAGCTTGAAAGTTATAATTGGCTTTCAATAGAGCGTGGGCTCGGGTGAGGGATTGTGTGATCTTGGAGGGCGTCGGGGTCGACGCCTCCGCGGCTCTTAGCGTCGCGATCGGCTGATCGTCGCGACGGTAAGAGCTGATGTTATCGGTGCGCATCGGAATGTTATCTTAAAAGCCTTTGGGCCGTCTGGAGGACTTTGTCCAGTGTTTCAATGGAGCGGAAATAGCTGCAATGAGCTATGGGCTCCTACAACATCATAATTTACGAGAAGTCTTGACCTTGCGTAATAAAAAAAACGCCGTGAAACGATATTTTCGGAATTATCAGTTTTGTTATGCCGTGTTCAAAAAAATTTCCGCGAAATGCAAAATGGTCTCTGACCCTCCAAAAATTAGTTATCTTTCTCTTTCTCTGACAGCTATTTTGAATTTCGCGGAATCACTTTGAACACGGCATTAGAGAACTAAAAGGTTCACGGTTACTACCTTTCCTATTTTCAAAAACGGAATTTGTTGTTTGATGGATAATTCAATTATTAAAAGCAGCTTTAAACTTATTCCATTATTTCTTGGCTATTCAAATAGGTTTTTATGAGGAAGTTTTTCTCAGATTTTGATGAATTTGTTCATATTTTTTTCCTCCACTTGAAAAAAGAAACACTTAGACCTATCTTCAAAATTTTTCAGATGGTGTTCCGGTGAGTGCAACGATAACAGGTCCAAGACGATTTCCGGAGAATAAATACAGCTGGGCCGGCTGCCAAAACTTGGGTAAATGCACGAGGCCAGAGTTAGTTGTAAACTTTTGAAACCAATTTATTAAATATTGAAAATTTCAGTTATTTCGGAACAACGCCTCCGTTATTAATAATAAGTCTGGACGGGTTTGCCAGAAGGTACTTGGATCATGGAATCGTGAAAACGTTGGATAAAATTGCCGAATGTGGAGCGAAAGCTGAGGTTAAGCTTGATTTTCGTCCTGGAACCTTTTTTGTTGACTTTACGTTCAAATTATGACTGGAAAAATCGGAAAAAAATAATCCAATTTTCCTTTTTTTTTAATTTTTTTGAGTTATCGATTCTAAAAAGTTTCAAAAATTACTTTGGGGTTCTGAATCTTCCTGTCTTCGATTTTTTTGTTATTTGTTGCTTGAAGCTTAATATTATTGCTTTTTGAAAAAAATTTAAAAAAATTCAAAAACCTGGCTAACTAGTAAGAAATAGTAAGAATCGAAAAAAATCCACTAATTAATTTTTCGTTATTCACATTTTGAGTTGGTTTTTGTAATTTCAAAGCTGAAATCGATTCAGAAGGTTTCAAAAATCAGTTTTAATATTTTTAAAAATAATTCGGAACTTTTTCTAAAAAAATTATGAATCAAAAAAACATTTTTTTAAACCTTTCTAGATTGATCTGAAAGCTCACTTGATTATTTATTTCCATTTTTTTTCCATTTTCAGTACGTAATTCCATCATTTCCGACCAAAACCTTCCCAAATCACAACACAATTGTTACTGGCCTGTATCCAGAATCTCATGGAGTCGGTTGGTTTTGAAACCTTTATATAAAAAAAGCTCTAACTTTTCCAAAAAGTGTTTAAAGGCGCATAGGTCTGTTTTCATCTAAAACAGTGCCTGAAAGAGCTTTTTAAAATCTTCTATGCTTCTTTAACCTCTAAAAATGTCGACCCATTCCAAACGCGGTCATTTTTTCCAATTTTTCAGCCGACAACAACGTCTACGACCCCGCAGTCTCGCCAGACTTGGAGGACATGAAAAAGACGAAAAAAGATGAAATTTTCCAGGGAGAACAGGTATCTTTCTATAGAGAATTTCCTCAGCTTCAAATTCATCTATTTTTTTCCAGATTTGGAGCGTTTACAAGCGAGAAACAGGCCGGAAAACGGCGTCGATGATGTATCCGATGAGTAATTATAACGCGTCGGGATTCGGACCCGACTACACTTTGCAGTACACGACCGACCTGCCATTCAGGAATCGTATCAAAATGGTGGGCAGATATATATTTTTAGGTGGTGTCCGCAAAAAAAGGTAAAAACGAACGGATTTCAGGCCTAAACATGTCTTTTTTTCCAAAACAAAAAAACTCGAGACAATATTTTTTTGGATTATTGAATAATTTTCTGAAACAGTATCTTTTTATGACAATTATAAAAAAATCAAGAGTATAACTTTCACTTGGGAATCCAAAAACCAACGGAAAGATCTTTTTCTTAAAAAAATCAAAAAAAACCTCATTTCTGTCCTTATAAAGTCGGTAAAACAGTTTCTGGTTCAGAATTTCCTACTCAATTCAAAAATACAACAATAATTGCAAAATTCGCAAAATGAGCGAAGTTTTATAACGTTTAATGTCCGAAGTTACTAGGCCAAAAAAACGCTTTTTTTAATGGAAAAATTCTCCTTTTTTAAGGTTTTTCGAAACTTCCTGGCTTTTTCCTATGCGAAATTTTCCCACTAAATCCAAAAAATTGACTCTTATGTGTCAATTCGAAAAAATAACTTGAACCACTTTTTGTATCAAAATGTTCTGTTCGGGCGGAAACGGTTTTGAGGGGTTATTTTTGCGTTTTTTTAAACTTTTACTACAGTTTTGCTACACAAACTGCTCGAAATAGGGAAATATCTCGGAAAAATGAGCCGAAATATGTTGAAATCTATTCCACTTTGCCCTAAAAAATCGAAAAATGTTCTGAAATCATTCAAAACACTGAATAAAGCTTTTCAAAACCGGAAAGCCGTGCATTCGACTCGAAACTGCTCTTGAAAAAATTTATAATCTTTTTAAACTATTAAAATTTCTCTCGCCCTGAAATCGATTTAAAAATGCGAAATAAAGTTGAAGTCTTCATCGGGAAATTCGAAGGTTTAATGGAAAAAAGTTTCTTGAGAACGTTCAGGACTCTATGGGCTTTCTCCATAGAGCGCATATATTCTCAACTCTTTATTTTATTTTATTTTCGAACTCTTCAATTTTTACAGATCATAGAATGGCTGGAAAAGCCCCTAGCGGAGCGGCCTGGACTCATTGCCGCATATTATCATGAGCCGGATAATGCTGGTCATTATCATCTGGACAGCAGCGATGTAAACAGCATTTGGAATGGCTCAAGCCTTCATTTCTTAATTTTTAGATTGACACAATGCTCTATTCGCTTGACAAATGGCTGGACGACATGATGAGGGATCTTTCCAAGGCCAATCTTTTGGAATGTATCAATTTGGTCGTCTTGGCTGATCATGGTGGGTTAAAAATACAGTTTAAAGCAACTCCGGAAAATTCTTAATGTTCTGGGAGCGTCTAAAATAAATTCGCAGACATATGCTTTGGAAACGGAACATAACTGACCTTTTTCTAAAGATTTTCGCCTAGTTTAAAGGCGCATGGGCCGCGACTCAAAGTAGGTCCTAACGCGAAAATTGACATTTTTTGAGGTTAGTAACGATCTCACTCCGATTACTCATAGAGAATTTTTCCTCAATCTTTCGACTTAATTTAAAGGCGCATGTCATTCTTCAAAAAGGGTCCTGACGCGAAAATTGCCATTTTTCGAATGAATTAAAGTGATGCAGTGGGTTTATGAAGCTTACTACTTAAGCTGATTTTTTTCTCAATAAATATGATTTCTCCTCAATTTTTTTGGCTTCATTTAAAGGCGCATGGACCGCTCTGCAAACGGGGTTTTGACGTGAAACATTTCTTCTTTTTCAAAACTAACCGTCAAACAACTTTGAAGGAATAAACGGACTTTTTTTCTTTAATTTTTCGGCTTAGTTTAAAGGCACATGGACCAATCTTGAAAAAGGGTCTTGACACGAAAATCGCCATTTTGGAATGATAAGAAAACGGTTGACGGAATTTTAACTAGATGCAACGGATTTACGAGCCTTACTACTTCAGCTTTTTTTTTATTGTCAGTAAAGTAATTTTACCTAGAACTTTCGACTTGATTTAAAGGCGCATGGACCACTTTTCAAAAAAGGTCCTGACAAGAAAATTTCATTCTGATACGCAGAATAGTTGAAAAATACTTTCAGAGGGAAGCAAAGGATGTCTTTTTTTAATTTTTCGCGTAGAATTAAACCGTTTAGGACCGCTTTTCAAAAAGGGTCTTGACGCGAAAATTGTCATTTTTTGGATATTAAAGGGTTAATGAACTTTTATAGGAATGCAACGGATCCACGACACTTACTACTTTGACGAGGTCGTCGACGACTTCGACAAGATGATCACGGTGAAAGGCGTCGTTGGCAGGATCCATCTGGACAAGTCGAGTGAGCCGCGACGCGTGTATGGGCCGAACCGCGACGCGTCGCTTTTCAGACAGGACGGCCGATGACGTGGCGGAGACATTCACTTGCAACAAAATGAAGGCGAATGTCTGGACGAGGGACGATTTGCCGACGAGGAAACATTACGCGAAGACGCCTCGGGTTGGTGACGTCATCGTCGAGGGACATCCTGGAACCATGTTCTATTCGTGAGTTTTAGAGCAGTGGCTAGCGCTTTTGTCTCTGAATCAGAGGGTCTCGAGTTCAATTCCTGCCCACGCCAAACTTTTTTGCCATTTCTTCTATTGCTTTGGAGCATCTTGATTGAGTTATAAGGCTAAATCTATGGTGCAAAGGGTTCCAAGTTCAATTCCTGCCCACGTCAAACTTTTATGCTGATATTTTTCTTCTATATTAGTGACGTCATCATCGAATGAGTTGCTAGAGCCATGTTCTGTTCGCGAGTTTTAGAGCAGTGGCTAGCGCTTTTGTCTCTGAATCAGAGAGTCTCGAGTTCAAATCCTGCCCACGTCGAATTGTTTGCCATTTTTGTACTCCTTTCAAAAGCTCTAGAGCATAGAGCAGCAGGTTGAGTTATAAGGCTAAATCTATGGTACAAAGGGTTCCAAGTTCGATTCCTGCCCACGTCAAACTTTTTTGCTGATATTTTTCTTCTACATTAATGACGTCATCATCGAGTGAGTTTCTAGAACCGTTCTATTCGTGAGTTTTAGAGCAGTGGTTAGCGCTTTTGTCTCTGAATCAGAGGGTCTCGAGTTCAATTCCTGCCTACGCCAAACATTTTTGCAATTTTTTTCTCTATTCCTTTCAAAAGCTGTAGGGCTCCCCAAAGGGCTAAAAATTGGGTGGTTTCTATAGGAGCTTAGAGTCTGAAGCTTGAGCCCAAGTGCTCCCTTCAGTGGTCTTTTATTTATTCATTGTTATGACTTGGAAGTTAAACATGAGTTTAGTGACCCTAGAGTGACAAATTTTACAAGCTTCAGCACCCCCTGTAGAAGGAGATAAGGTGGTCCCTTGAGGGGTCCTACAAGAGCCTCCAAAGTTGCCCCTCTAGTGACCACACTCTAGAATCTCTAAGTTCCATGTTTGATCCTCAAAGCCAAAAAAGACTATTCAATGTTTCTTTTAAGGACTCGGAAAGACGACTATTTCCTAACGGGAGACCATGGCTACGACTACATCCAACCCCATTTACACACAATTTTCTTCGCCCGTGGTCCTTCCATCAAACAAAATGTCACGATTCCCGCTTTTCAGAACGTCGAGTACATGAATTTGTGGATGGGTTGGTTTTGAAAAGAGTTTTTTGAGCTTCTAGAAGTTTTTTAAACTTCTTTTGGAAGCTCTGTTTCTTCTGAAGGTTCAAAGAAGCCTATTTAAGGTTCAGAAGGGCTAATAATCTTGAAATTTTATATTTTCCAAAAAAAGATTTTGAAAAGTTCGAAAGTTCAACTTTAGATGAAACTAGAATTTCGAAAATGGTTTTGAGTAGAATTAAAGATTCAAAAATGACTTTGAAAGCTCTTCACATTGAAAAAAATCTATACATAACTAGCTTGAAATCGAAAAAAAAAATTGTTTCCAGTAGAAAATTTGAGCTTTTCAAGGCTTTAATTTTATTTTTTTCAATTTTTACAATTACTTCTTAAGGTTATAGAGGTTATGCTTCAAGGTTTTTGAGACTATTCTGAAGGTTATTTTTAGGTTAAGTCAAGGGATACTTTTAAAGATGGTTTTTAGGGTAATTTTAAAGGAGTTTTTAGGGTTATTTTTAAAAAGTTAATTTTTTTAAAAGTCGTTCAAGGGCGAAGCTTCAGTGCTTGAAAAAAATGACTGAATTCTGAAAAAAATGAATTAAAAAAATAAAAAAAGCCTGGAAATAAAAAAATTTTCAAGTTTCATAGGATAAAAAAAGTCGTCTAGGCCTTTATCTATTCAAAATTTCGATAGAAATCCAAAAAAACAAGATTTTCAAGCCTTTAGGTTGATTAATACCCAGTTTTTGATTAAAATCCCGTCTCCAGACCTTCTCGAACTCAAAACCCGAGTACCGAACAATGGAACGAAAGGCACGTTCGACGAGATTTTAGTGAGACCTCAAATTCGCCCGGCTTTTCCTGTGCCTTTCTTGAGGTTTTCTCGAAAAAATCATTTTTCTCAAATTTTATATCATTCAGTGAATGTCCTGGACTACTTCCATCAGCCGCAAAACCGTGTGGAAATTCGAATTGTCCGAAAATCCAGGATATTTCCGAAAAACTGGCCTTTTGTGCTCAAAACCCACGCCTGAGGGCTCCAATTATCGCTCAAAATCATGCCTGTTTTATGGATTATTGTAATAATTTGTTGATAGCAACGGACAACAAAGGTTTGGAATTTTTTTTCAGGAAAAAAGAAAAAAAATTTTTTCAGTGAAAAACTCTGGTGGAATGGGTTGATAAAAAGTCGGAAATTTGAAAATTCCGGTTGCCAAATTATTAATGAAAAAAATATTCTTCGACTTTTCCTTGTCCTCCAGATCAACCAAAAAGATTATCAGTAGCGGTTAATAATGGCTCAGGTGAGAAAAAGGTAGAAACATTTCAAGAAAAATTTTTTTTTCAGAATTTTCAAGCTTTTTGACCAATTTTGACGCTCCTGAAGCTTTCCAGTCAAGTTTAATTTTATTTAATTTTCAAAAATGATTTTTGAAAGTTCAGAAATGCTTGAAGTTCTGAATTCGGAGACGGAAATGTACTTGGAGAAGTTTGGGCGACTTTTAGCGATTTCTGGAACGGCTCATGATGCGAATTTCGATGGAAAAGCTGATGAAAATCAGAGGTTCGTTTGTGTAATATGAGCAATTATGAGCAATGGGAACTTAAAATCGGTTAGAATATAGCTGATTCTGGCTTGAGCCATCAAAAAAGGGTCCTGACACGGTAATGCACGAGATAGCGCCTGTATCGTGGAGAGCGCAGACAGGCCACGCCCCCTTAGCGTCGCAAGCTGGCCGTGAATCAGCTATATCAAGTTTGAGACAAAAAGAAGTTTGAAGGAAAAAATGCTTAACAGAACCAATTTAGAAACGTTGGAGGGGTCCCTATAGGAGTGCAATGAAAGGTACCCTATAGGGACCACTGAAGCTTCAGGGGCTTAGGGGCCAGACTTTGAACCCCTATAGGGGCCACTAAAACTTGATAATCAAAATTTCCCCTATAGGGATTTTTCAAACAACAAAACCCTTAGGGAACCCCTCCGAAATTTTCCAGATGAGATTTATTTCTTGAGGGTTCTTAAGTGATCCCTTGGAAAATGCTAAGTGACTACTCAAGGGGCTCATTTTCTGTACTCCTCGTTGATCTTCTTTGTATGCTTCCAAATAAACTCTTGGAAGGCTCCTTGACCTAACAGAGGTCACTTAAGGGATCCCTTTTCTTGCAAGGCTTCTCTAACAACCGCAACGCGACCGCGACGCTTCGGGTCAAAATATTAAAGTTCAAGATCAAATATTTCTCTGATCGATCTCGCTTTAAACCTCAATTCTTTATCGACTACGCTAGACTGATGTTACCCTGAGAGGTCACTTAAGGGACCACTTGAATCTTCCGAGGCATCTATAAACCGAAATGCGACCGCTCCGAAACTCAAAAAAACTTTTCCCCGGCTTTCAAACTGAAATTTCAATACCCCATGCTACTCCTAGCTTCTCAGAAAAAAATTCCTAAAACGGCTGATTTTTCATTCTCAGTGGCGCCCCAACGCACTTCTACCGTATCCTAGCGAAATGCGACAGTGGCTGGGCCGATTCGGCGGCTCCTCGGTGCAAAAAACCCGAAGATCTTGAGGCGATCGCCTTTATTTTGCCCATCAACGACAAGCCGAACCGCAATTGCTTGGTATGGCTTAGTATTGCTCACATTTGCTCATGATTACTTTCTCAGGATCAAAGAAGCCTTCTCACCGAGTACATGGCGCGGGTGAAGGACGTCGAGCTCATCTCCGGCCTTGAGTTCCAGTTCGACGGCTTGGATCGTCGAGCAAATATGCTCCTCCGAAAAAAGATTCTGATTAGCCTGTGGTGATTAGGAATGTCTAGAAAATAGTCAATTCATCGCTGTTTTGGGACATTTTGAGCTGAAAGTACAGAAAAGGTTTTTTAGAGACCTGTCTCCTTTAGAAATGAGATTTTTGATAAAAGATAAATTTATTTGAGCTAGAAAGCTTTTTTCAAACCTCTCCTAAGCACTTTTTGAACACAATCAGCTTGAAGTCCTTTTTGAAAGTCTCAAGACCTCGAATTTTTGTCTCAAGACCTCGAAACCTTGTCTCAAGACAGCGGTGAACGAACTTTAGATCCAAATTCTGTTGTTTTACACGGTTCGGGTTGAATTTCCTCGGGTCAAACGTGTGCTTCTAGCTTTTTCCTTGAATAAACTTGTTGATTCAAGAAGGGTTGATGAAATTGACGTGAAATCCATGGGCATTCCTGTCCATGTCGTTTTTAGCGTCGCCGGATCGGTCTATAGCGACGCCGATTTCGAATGCCAAGCAGTCCGTGAGAGAAAAACCAGGTTCTTATTGAAATTACTTAGGAACTCTAAGTGGCCCCTATAGGGGCTAGGGACTCTTTAAGGCTCCTGTCTAGGGGCCATTTTTCCTGCCCTATAGGGTCCTTAAACAGAGACTACCCAAGTTTTACCCCTCTAGGGATCACTTTTTTGTGTTCTATAGGGGCTGTTTTTCACTCTGGCGCAGAGCTGCTGACCAGACCGGGCGCCCCGGGACCACTTTTTCGATCCCTAGGATATTTTTACTCCCCCAACCCCTATAGGGACCACTCTGGAATTCCTAAGCATTTACTGGTTTTTTTGTATCTCTAATGCAACCTTAAGCTCTCTAGGATCAAGTCAAGGTACCTTCAATTAGAAATTATCAGTTCGATTAAAATGTGACCTAAAGCCGGAAAAATTTTTCGTCTCAAAATACTCTTTCCAGCTTCTACCTGGATCCCCAACCCAAATGCTTTTCGCGAAAATTTCTCGGCGATATCGAAAAATGAAGCCAATTCGAAGAAAGAAGTCCAAGTGGAAGTGGAAAAGAAGCCACCGCCGCCCGAGAAAAAATGGCGGTCCGAGTACACGGCTTGGATCATACAAGCCGTCGGATTTCTGATCCTTTTGGTCATTTTGATGGCCATTTATTTCCGTTTGACCTATGCAGAGGACCATTTTGTCGGAGCGATTACACAGTCCCGGCAGGAGACTATAACGATTGTCAAGGCAAGTTCTGGGCTTGAAAACGCGCCTGGTCGCACTTGGAATGGCTACGGTGCCGTTTGGCGAGAACTGTTTAAAGTCCGGCGCGCTTTGAAGCAACTTTTTCGCAGCCATTCCACGTGCGGTCATGTGCTTCGAGTTTAAGGAAAAATGGCTTTTTTTGTACTTTTTTTTGCAAGATGAAGTAGAAAAAATTTCCAGAATATCCAAGAAAAAGTCCTCAACGAGTCTACTAAAGGTTTTTCCCTTCAAATTTAAAAAAAAAAATATCAATTTAAGAATCAAAATGGAAGGAAAAATACCCATGGGCAGGATGTGAAAAACTGGGAAAATGTGAGAGAACAGAGTAAGTCAGAAGCTTTTTGAGCCATTCTACATGCGGCCAAAATATTTTTTCAAAGTGCAACCGACCTTAAAACGGTTTGCGCATCAGTTCATATGAAAATATCGAAAGTCTAGGCTAATCTATTCTTATTATGATTCTTTGAGTTTGCATCGGACTTGAAACGACTTGCGCATCAATATATTTCAAAAAATGAAATAAAATGCACATAAATGTTTTGATCAATTTCCAATGCGGCAGTAATAATTATTTGGGTTACAACCGACCTTAAAACGGCTGACGCTTCAGTTTATGAATTAGGAACACTTGAGCTGCATGACCACCTCAGTTTGAGCCATTCTAAATGCGACCAAAATTTTTTTCAAAAGTGCAACCGACCTTAAAACGACTTTCGCATCACTACATGACACGATCTTCCCTTTCTAAGCCGACTTTTATCCGACCGAAGTTTTCTAATTTGCAACCGACTTCAACCGGCTTACGCTTTCCCCATGCCGTCAGAGGCCTTTTCCAAATTTCACCCGACTTCTTACGACTTGCGCTTTAGTTCATTGAAAGACCAGACAATGTAAAACACATTCGCATCAATTGAAAAGAACCAAAAATTAATCCATACTACGCGACCGCAGCGCCTCGATCCATTCCCAATGCGGTCATTCTTTTTTTTTAGTTACGCTGGTCTGACTCCACCGCTGGTGATCCTAAGCCTGGACGGCTTCGCCAAAAGATACTTGGACCGTGGAATCGTGACGTCACTCGACGCGATGGCCGAATGCGGAGTCCGTGCCGAGGTTCTATTGCTCATGTTTGCTCAGTAATCCTATGGAAAGTAGTACGTCAATCCGTCTTTTCCATCTTCGACCTTTCCGAATCATCACACCATTCTCACTGGATTATATCCGGAATCGCACGGAGTTGGTAGGGTCGCATTTGGAATGGCTCGATCCATTCCAAATGCGACCAAAATTTGATGGAATATTCAGTCGATAACAACGTCTACGACCCACTCATCTCAGCAACGGTTCAAGATATGAAGAAAACGCAGGAAACCAAACTTTTCCTGGCTGATACGGTAGGAAATATCAAACTACAGTAACCTACCGTATCTTCAAAGATTTGGGAAGTTTACAAGAAGGAAACCGGGAATAAGACGGCGTGTTTGATGTTCCCCCTATGTGTTTATAATCACACGGGTTACGGTAACGACTACAAATTTGTTTATTCGATGAAAATGTCTTTCGATGACCGTATCAAACAGGTGGGAGAATTTTCGGATTACTTATGACCGCATTTGGAATGGCTTAGAACTCGTAGAGTTGAAAAAAGTAGCCTATTGTGGTTCACATGTAGCAATGTATTTGCAAGCCTAGAAAAATCAATGACCGCATTTGGAATGGCTTATGATTCGTAGATCTGAAAAAAGTAGCCTAGTGTGGTTCAAATGTAGCAATGTTGTATTTTTCGAGCCTAGAAGAATCAATGACCGCATTTGGAATGGCTTAAAGTGCATGGCTGGAGGGTTTTCGGATTATTTATGACCGCATTTGGAATGGCTTATGATTCTTATAGCTTGAAGAAGTAGCCTAGCGTGATTCAAATGTAACTATGTTGAATTTTTTGAACCTAGAAGAATCAATGATTGCATTTTGAATGGCTCAAGGAGCATGGCGGTCGCGGTTACTGTCAGAAAAGGGTTGAAAATCGAGTTCAAATTCTAAATCAAATTACACAAATGACCGCATTTGAAATGGCTAAAGGAGAAGCCTGAGGTTCTAACAAAAAGGCCTTTTTCAAAGTTTCAATGTTTAAAAAAACTCTTTGATCGTCTTTTAAAAATTCTAAAAAGTGTTTCATTCAAGATAGTCGACTGGCTAAAACTTCCTCCCAGTGAGAGACCTGGCCTAATCACCGCCTATTATCATGAACCTGACGGCGCTGGTCACAGAGACGTCTTGCATGTTGGTTATGATCTTCTTATGAAATTTAAAGCTCATTATCTATATTTTTGACCGTAATATCTCGGTACGATTGCGTGGCGGCTTTTGCGGGGAATGGTAGTCTAGCTTGAAAATAATCTGGAAAAAAAGCTCTTAGTCTGTTCTGGGCCACCTTGTCACAAATTTCGCTTTCTTGCGAGCTACAGAAGACTTCCCTTCGATGCGCGTGGCTTTTCTCTGTGCATGCGCCTTTAATAACGGAAGTTTAGGGCTAAATAAAAGGTGCAGCCCTTCCCATTTAGCCTGTAAAGGTACTGGAAAATTCTTTGAAGATTTTTGATAACTTAAGGTGTTACTTGGACGTTTTTCAAATGGTTTCAGGATTATTATTTGATAAATGAACTTATATAGTCCATTCCGCGCTACCTTGTCACGATTTTTGCTTCCCTCCGAGCTACAAAACCCTTCGCTTCGATACGCCCGACCTGACTCTCAACATGCGCCTTTAATACTGAATGAGGAGGAGATGCACCTTTTACTTAGCCCTAAACTTCTATTATATTAAAGGCGCATGCACAGAGATAGGCCACGCGCATTGAGGCGAAGGGTTCTGTAGCTCGAAGGAGAGCAAAAATCGTGACAAGATGGCCCGGAATGGACTATATACTTTCATTTGTCACTTAAAGGCATAGGGGCAGTAAAAAATGGGGTTTCAGGTGAAAGCAGTATCTTATACAGTTTTTCTTTGCGAATCGAATGGTGTACTCAAAAAAATTACAGAAGTGACAACTTTAGAAGAAAAATGCGATTTTACTTTCCCGCCATTAATTTTGAAAAAAGCTTTGGATCGGCCTACGGACAAATGTTTACAGTAGCCGTGCACGCGATGTTGCGGACGTCTCATTAGACTCGCATTTTGGGAGAAATAACCGGCTATCTGCTTCAAATTAAGGGTTTCTTCTCTGAAAAACCGATTAAGAAAACAGAAAACACACATTTATAATAAAGAAAACACAAAATATGGCAATTCCAATCGAAATCTGTGTAAAATCATCATTTTTCACCAGAGAAGCATTTTTTCGATCAAAGTTTGCAAATTATACATGAATAGAAAGCTTTTGTGACGAAAAGAACTTTGGTGACAACAGAAAAAATTGAAAATTGAAAGAAACGAAGAAAAAAGCGAAAATCCGGAAGATGGCGAAGCCTGTTGTCGATAGAGCAACTTTACTGCAAAGCGCCCTTTTCGCGGGAACTCAGGCATTCCTCTCTCCAATTTTGAATTAGTTTTTCTCCAAAACTAGGAAGTTCTGGGCATTTCCAAGTTCACCGTTCGATTCGCAATGAAAAGCTCTACAAAATACTGCTTTGAACTGAAACACCGTTTTTTACTGCCCCTATGCCTTTAAGCACGCTAAAATCATTTGAAAAAGTCCAAGTACCCCTTTGAGTTTCCAAAACTAGCGACGAAAGTTGAAAATTTTGAATTTCGCGTTTAAATTTCTTTTTTCCCGCCAAAAAGCCGCGTCGTGACCGTAACGAAGTACTACGGTACACTTAAAAAACCCGAAAGAAGTAACTACAAAAAAATAATTTCCTCTATTCAGATCAATCCCGAACTCGAAACCACTGAAAAAAACCTCGATAAGCTTTTCCGAGCCTTGGCCGAGGAAAATTTGCTAGAATGCATCAATTTGGTCATTCTCAGTGATCATGGTTCGGTTTTTGAGATTTTCCAGAACTTTAACTAGGATTTGAGGTATGCAAGCCCTTCACGATAGTTATTACTTTAACGAGAAAGTGAAAGACGCGCAGAATATGGTTTTTACGAGAGGCGTCGTTGGACATGTTCATCTCAATAATTCGAGTGAGTTTCAAGGGAAAAATGAAAAAAATTCATCTTCTTATAGTCTGTTCAGATTTTGAATGTCAAGTAGAATGACGTCATTCAAAAACGCTCTGTGGATGGCTCACTCTCTGATTGGTTTATCGCACCATTATGGGCGGAGCTTGAGCGACGAATTGACATTCAAAATCTGAACAGACTATACGCTTTTGTGCCGCTTGAGTGACTTCAAGCGGATGAGGCCAGGTCCACTACTGATATCGGTGATAATCAGCTGACTTGTTCTAGTGACCTATCCGTCCCTTCATGTGGATACTGCGGAAATTTTTTCGTCTCGAAATCAAAAACTCGTGCTGCTGCGGATATGAAGCCGTGGTTTTCCCATACAAACATTTCTTGAACCCTTCATGCGTCCGGATCGAACTTGTGACCCTGTGGACCGTAGACAGGCACACAACCTGTTGCGCTACCACGTGCAGTAAAAAGGGCAACTGAGACACAACAGCGCAAGTCGTTTTGGGTCGGATGCTCAAAGTCAACATTAGAATTTGTGAAGAAAATGGCTTTCTTGAGATCTCTCAGCAGTTATCACTGAAAATCTACAGAAAATCGGTTGAGACTATCTGATTTCCATACCAAAAATATTTCTTCAGGCTTTTTGCTTTTTAATCCAATTTCTTTATTGAGTTTCGCGACTACAAACAGGCGCTCTTAAATCGAATTTGAAGCATTTTATGATCCGATTTGAATCAAGCCTTTTTGAAGAAAAATCCGTCGAAAGCAGTTGCATTTCAGTTCTTGTACCGATAGTTCATTCATAAAGAACTTACTTGTGAACCGCTCCGCAGCCGCGACGCGCCGAGCCATTCTCATCGCGACCCGATCAATTTATTTGAACTTTGGCTGAAAAAATTCCTTGTCAAAAAATAGGCTCATGAGTCCGTTTTACATCTACATAACTTTGGATCCATCAGGATTTTTTTTTCGGATAGGAAATTAGTTGAAAAGTCATACGACAGTTTTCGCGTGTCTGCGTCTCTGTTCCCTCACCGGCGAGGTCAGAGAAGCATGGAAATAGCACGACAACATGAGAGAGACGTCGAGAGACTAAGAGGGTGCAGAGAAGCCCCGCTGGACCTACAGCTCATTTAAAGAAAACTTACTTTTGAACCGCTCCGCAGCCGCGACGCGTCCATCCATTCCAGCTGCGACCCAATCGATTCAGAACGCACCGCGGACGATGTTGTCAATGACCTCGGGTGCGGGAAGATCAAAATGAACGCCTGGACGCCTGCGGACATCCCAACACGGCTTCATCATTCGGCGAGCACTCGAATCGGTGACGTCATCGTCGAGGGACATCCCGGCAGCGTCATCTACAAGTTTCAGACACATTATTAAAGTTCAAAGAGAGTTTTTTTCAGCGAAAGGAAACAAAAAAATCTCTCGAAGGGAGAGCATGGGTACGACAACGTCATACGGCTGATGCAGGCGATTTTCTTCGCCCGCGGGCCCGCCTTCAAGCCCGGCGTCGAAATGCCCGCTTTTCAGAATATTGAGTACATGAATTTGTGGATGGGTGAGCTTCATTTTTATCGAAAACTTGGAATCTTTGAAGGTATTTCCGTTACGATTTGGGTATAGTCTTTTCAGGACACCTTTTCGAAGTTTGAAAAAAATCTTAAAGGCATAGGGGCAGTAAAAAACGGTGTTTCAGTTCAAAGCAGTACTTTGTAGAGCTTTTCATTGCGAATCGAACGGTGAACTTGGAAACGGACAGAAGTTCCTAGTTTTGGAGAAAAAATAATTCAAAGTCGGAGAAAGGAAAGTTTGAGTTCCCGCGAAAAGGGCGCTTTGCAGTAAAGTTGCTCTATGGACAACAGGCTTCGCCATCTTCCGGATTTTCCCTTTTTCTTCGTTTCTTTTAATTTTCAATTTTTTCTGTTGTCACCAAAGTTCTTTTTGTCACAAAATCTTTATATTCATGTTAAATTTGCAAACTTTGATGGAAAAAATGCTTCTTTGGTGAAAAATGATGATTTTACACAGGTTTCGATTGGGATAGCGATTATTTGTGTTTTCTTTATTATCAATGTGTGTTTTCTATTTTCTTAATCGATTTTTCAAAAAAGAAATCCTTAATTTGAAGCAGATATCCAGTTATTTCTCACAAAATGCGAGTCTAATGAGACGTCCGCAAAATCCCGTGCAAGGCTACTGTAATCAGTTGTCTGCATACCGATCCAAAGCTTTTTTCAAAATTAAAGGCGGGAAAGTAAAATCGCGTTTTTCTTCTAAAGTTGTCACATCTGTAATTTTTTTAAGTACACCATTCGATTCGCAAAGAAAAACTATATAAGATACTGCTTCAACCTGAAACCCCATTTTTTACTGCCCCTATGCCTTTAAAGTTTTTTATTCGCTCAGATAGTGGGAATAGGCGATTGGGGACAGGTTTTTCGAATTTTTTAAGGTTTTCCAAGGTTTTCAAGCTTTCACCCGCTCGAAAATTGGTTATAGTAGTTTCATGGTCATTTTTTCTGGATTTTAGGAATTTTTGAAAGCTCAGCAGCCTTCAGAAGCTCAAAAATTGAGTAATGTTCATTCCTAGCAACTTTAAAAAATTTCATGAATATCTCAGAATTTTCGATAACTTTTAGACACGTTCTCCCAGATTCCTTGATGAACCGTTGGTACAAGATTTTCAAGTTTCCTTTTGAGACTCGAAATTACTGTCACAGTTACTTTTGTAAGCTTTTAGGCTAGTTACTGTAAGGCTCCGCCCCCTAGGTAGAATTTCAAGTTGGTTCCACAGAGCTCGTTTCGCTATCAGAGATACTACATAACCTTCTTAACACATGAAACCCGGTTTTGACAGGCTCCGCCCACTTTCAGGGTTATGGTATAGAAAATACCGTAAAAAGATAACTTTTTTCCTAGTTGAGGGATCGACTTCAAACTTTTTTAAAATGTAGAAAATGGTTTTCTGAAGCGTTTTCTGTGAAAAAAGAAAAAAAGTTATTCCAGACCTTCTCAAGCTGAAGAATCGAGTGCCGACGAATGGTACCGAAGGGACTTTTGACGAGATTCTGGTCAAGCCTCCGCTGAGATCCGACTATCCGAAACCTTTAATTCTGTTAGTTGTTTCACAATATTCGTGAAACAAGGCAAGTTTTATTCCGGTAGGGAAATTGGCCAGAACCCTTCTTGATGTACCAGAAGAAGATTCTGGAAAGTCTCAACCTGCACAACTTCCTAGTTTTCGAGAAATAAGGTCTCAAAGCCTCGAAAAGCCTATTTTTAAGGATTCTGAGGGTTTTCTTTGACTTTGAGGACTCTTTTCTCAAGAACGAGGAAGTTGTACAGGTTGAAATTTTCAGAACCTTCTTCTGGTACATCAAGGAACGTTCTGGCCAAGTTTCAGAAAAATTCCGGTCCTTGTGAGGATATTCTGGTTTCAAGAAAAAACCAAAATCAAAACTCATCAAAACTTGAAAACTCTCTTTATCACAAGATAAAAAATTCCAGAGAATGCCCGTCGAATAAAAAGACAGCGGCGAGAAGCTGTTGGACCAAGAAATGTGTCGATGACGCTGCGAATTTGACGGCGAAGCTTCAAGAATGCGAAAATAATCCTCGTTTGCGGGCGCCGATCGTTTTCAAGGACAGCATTTGCTTCATGGACTACTGTGACAGTGTCTTGGTGGCTAACCAAAATGGAGGTGAAACATTTCTAGAAGTAATGCTTGAAAGTTAATAATTAACCGCCTGCCGTCGAGCATTGCTTGTGCTATCGAAAAAAGGCCGGTTCCATTTTCGAAATGAGAAAAAATAGCCACCAAGCTTCGAAAATCCTATGGCAAAAAATGAAGATTAAACTTTCTCCTGCCTTTCAAAAATTGCCGTTTCTATCAACAAAAAAAAAGAGCCACAGAGCATTTTTTCTGCAATGAATCCTAGCTTCTAAAACATTTCGATCAGGAATTTGGTGTTTCATCTCAAAAAAAAAAAAATTTAATCTATTTCTCCAACAGCCGTCGAAAAGGCAGAAATCGCGCTCCATCGCTAAGTTTGGAACTACGACCTGTTTCCGTCATTTATGATCCCAAAACTTTTGATACGGCCTAATACTCGGCTGAAAATTAAGAAAACTAGTCACTATAAATTTGAGAAAAAGCCCATATTTCTTCAAATGATCTAAAACAGGTCAGGTTATTTATTCTGATCATTTACATTGAAAGTTTGGGTAAAAAAAATCTAGTGGCCACTTAAGAGGTCACTCCAGGGTTACTCAAAGAAGGACACTAAAATGGCCACTAAAACCATTATTTTACGTCTGAGTGGCCACTAAAGTAATTTTTAGGGGTCTAGTAGTACCACTTGGACTTCTAAAGAGGCCACGAAATTTTAGTCACTCAAGTGGTCACTAATTCGACTACTTAAAGAGGTCACTAAATCTTTGTCACTCAAGTGGTCACTGATTCGACTACTATAGTGGTCACTAGAACGTCAAAACCCTAAAGTGGCCACATTAATTTGCGTCTTAGTAGCCACTACAGCGATTTTTAGGGTTCTAGTAGTACCACTTGGACTTCTAAAGGGGCCACTAAATTCTAGTCACTCAAGAGGTCACTAAATCGACTACTATAGTGGCCACTAGAAAATCAAAACCCTAAAGTGGCCACTACACAAGTCTTTGCGATCGTTTTCCGATTTGATTGATTTTTTTTTGTTTCTAGCAACAGTATGACCATTACTAGGTCTCAGAAATTGATTATTTGAAACTTTTTTTTTTCTAATCACAATCATGAGCTCCTCCAGTTCAAACGACCCTCGTGGAATGGATCGAAACCGCCGAAACTGGTCCGAATCGCTGCGAGATCATCAATGAGAAGTATTCCAACACGTTCTCTTGCCCTAAAGCGAAGCCAACTGGACGATTCTTAACCGCCAATAATAATTTTGGTAACTTCCAAGAGAGATCTTTGGGAATGTCATATTATTCAGGTGAATTCACCTCACTAGCTCTTGCTCACTTTGTCAGTACTCAAAGCTTCAATACGGGTGAGTTTTCGATTCCATTAAGCCATTCCAAATGCGATAATTTTTCTAGATATGCTCGACGTGCTTCAAAAGCTCTCCGAGAGCTTTATTATCGATTTCGAGCGACTTTTGGTCATTTCCGGTACCGCCCATGATTCAAATCACGACGGATTGGCTGATGACAAGCCGACGTGAGTTTTTCCGAGTGATCACTGGAGGGAAAAGTCAAGAGGTCACTTGAAAGGTGCTTCTCTTGTTTTTTTTTTCTCTTTAGGCCTGTGAAAACAAGGAGAGCCCCTAGTATTTCAAATATCTGAAGTTAAAGAGACAACTTGGAATAGGTCAAGTGGTCCCTTAAGGGAAAATTAATACTCAACCAAAAAATCGGGTCGATTTTTAAGCCTTTCTCTCTTCCAACTTGACAAAGCATATAAAATCGAACCTTCGAGCCCTTAAGTGGTCTCTTGTTTTTTCGATTTTCAAAAGCAACCCCTTAGGATTCGACAAGTAGTCACTTGAGGGGCACTTTCTCTATTTATAAATTTTATATTAACCATTTATGAACTAAATCCAGCTTGAGGTTGAAAAATTGGAAAGATTTCGATGGTAGCCTGAGAGGCCACTTAAGTGATCACTTGGATCTTCCAGGACACATCTAAAATTCCAAAAAACTTTTTTTCAACTTCAAAACTGAATTTTCTTTGTCCCATGCTCTTTCTAGCTTCTGGAAAAAAAAACCTGACAAACGGCTGATTTTTCATTCTCAGTGGCGCCCCAACGCACTTCTACCGTATCCTAGCGAGATGCGACAGTGACTGGGCCGATTCGGCGGCACCTCGGTGCAGAAAACCCGAAGATCTGAAGACGATCGCCTTCATTTTGCCCATCAACGACAAGCCGAACCGCAATTGCTTGGTATGGCTTAGTATTGCTCATATTAGCTCATGATATCTTAACCAGGACCAAAAAAGCCTTCTCAACGCGTACATGGCGCGGGTGAAGGACGTCGAGCTCATCTCCGGCCTCGAATTCCAGTTCGACGGCTTGGATCGTCGAGCAAATATGCTCCTCCGCACCAAGATTCACAAGAGACTTTGAAGATTTGCTTCCTGAAATCTTCATTTTTCTTCACTCGCTGCTTTGATTTTTTTGCGTTCACGTTCGTTTTGCTCTTTTTCAAAATGAATGAATGGGTTTCACGAGTGTCTTTCGTTTGTTTCAGAGCCTTGGAATGGCTCAGGCGCTTTTCGTAACGACTTCAAGGCTCTAGATGCTCTTTCGCGCAAGTCAATTTAAGGTCGGGCGCAGCTTCAAAGTGTCCGCGAAGCTTCAAGCAAATCTGCTTCGTGTTTCAATTCAGAAAACCTTCCCCTTTAACAGAAATTTACTCTGGAAAGAGCTGGAAAATTTTCGTATGCTGCTCTGAAGCCTCCTGCTTTTGCACACTGTTTCTCAGGGCCCGAGTTTTCAAAACTCGCCCATAATTTATTGAATTCCCCCGATCGATTCAAATCAGATTTCTAATGTCTCCTGTTTCCGCATACTATTTCTCTGGATTTTCTGGGTTTTATTTATAATGACTGATTCATTCTATAATAATTTATCCTCTTTTCAAAAAAAAAAAAGTAATTTTCTCTAATTTCTCTTGTTTCATTACACTATTTCGCAACAGGCCGATATTTTAAACATATCTACGAATTCGGATAGCACTGTATTAGAAGATCTTGACCTTGAGAAAAAAGGTCTTAAAAATTTGTCTGATAATCTAAAGTCTCCGGTTTCTACACACTTTTTCTCTCGACCCTCCGGATTTTCGAAAACCACTGATTCATTTCATAATAACCCAGCCTCTGAAAAACTAACTTTCTCTAATGTCTCCTGCTATCCCATACTATTTTGAATCAGGCCAATATTTTAAACAGATCTACGAATTCGGATAGCACTGTAATAGAAGATCTCTGAGAAAAATAGTCTCAAAAATTTTTTTGATAATCTAAAGTCTCCGGTTTCTACACACTGTTTCTCTTGACCCTCCGGATTCTTGAAAATCACTGATTCATTCCATTATAATCCAGTCTCTACTCTAAAAACTAACTTTCTCTAATGTCTCCTGCTTTCCCATACTATTTCTCATCACGTCGATTTTTCAAAATAGGTCTTTTTTCGTGTTTGTCTATAGTCTCCGGTTTCTGAACGCTATTTCGCTAGGCATTTTTTTTCTAAACCAAACTGAAAGTACAGAATCGATTCGAAACACCAAAATTAGTCTCTCAACCTTCTCCCTTTGTTATTTTAACAATTCCGATAAGGGATCCGAATCAACTCAAGCAAGTGAGAAGGAAAACAATGATTCGAACCGGTTCTTCTTTCTTCTTCCTCCTTTCCTTTCTAGTAGAAAATAGTCTAGTGAAGGTTTATAGAAACTCCAGAGTGGTCCCTGTAGGGGCAACTTTAGAGCGCTTAGAGGGGTCTCTCTGGGGACCACTTTACCAACTTCTATAGGGACCCCTAGAGCTTGAAAGAGTGGTCCCTATAGGGGGCAACCTTAGGGCCTTTAGAGGGATCCCTCTGGGGACTACTTTACCAACTTCTATAGGGATCCCTAGAGCTTGAAAAAGTGGTACCTATAGGGGCAACCTTAGGGCCCTGGGAAGGTCCCCTCTTTGGAGTACTTTACCAACTTCTATAGGGACCCCTAGAGCTTGAAAGAGTGGTCCCTATAGGGGGCAACCTTAGGGCCTTTAGAGGGATCCCTCTGGGGACTACTTTACCAACTTCTATAGGGATCCCTAGAGCTTGAAAAAGTGGTACCTATAGGGGCAACCTTAGGGCCCTGGGAAGGTCCCCTCTTTGGAGTACTTTACCAACTTCTATAGGGACCCCTAACGCTTGAAAAAGTGGTCCCTATAGGAGCAACCTTAGGGCCTTTAGAGGGATCCCTCTGGGGACTACTTTACCAACTTCTATAGGGACCCCTAGAGCTTGAAAAAGTGGTCCCTATAGGGGGCAACCTTAGGGCCTTTAGAGGGATCCCTCTGGGGACTACTTTACCAACTTCTATAGGGATCCCTAGAGCTTGAAAAAGTGATACCTATAGGGGCAACCTTAGGGCCCTGGGAAGGTCCCCTCTTTGGAGTACTTTACCAACTTCTATAAGGACCCCTAACGCTTGAAAAAGTGGTCCCTATAGGAGCAACCTTAGGACCTTTAGAGGGATCCCTCTGGGGACTACTTTACCAACTTCTATAGGGACCCCTAGAGCTTGAAAAAGTGGTCCCTATAGGGGGCAACCTTAGGGCCTTTAGAGGGATCCCTCTGGGGACTACTTTACCAACTTCTATAGGGATCCCTAGAGCTTGAAAAAGTGATACCTATAGGGGCAACCTTAGGGCCCTGGGAAGGTCCCCTCTTTGGAGTACTTTACCAACTTCTATAAGGACCCCTAACGCTTGAAAAAGTGGTCCCTATAGGAGCAACCTTAGGACCTTTAGAGGGGTTTCTCTGTGAACTACTTTACAAACCCTTATAGGGACCCCTAGAGCTTGAAAAAATGGTCCCTATAGAGGACATGCTAGTCGATAATTTTTATGAACTTTCCATGCTAACTAAGTAAACTTTTTGAATAAACCACTATAGGGTCCGCTTGAGCTTAAGGGGCTAAAGGGTCCGACTAGACCCCTATAGGGACCACTTTTTTGGCCCCTATAGAAGCTGTTTTCCGCCCAAACCCCTATAGAGGCCACTCTAAAGTTTTTAATTTCCTTGAATTTGAAGAAAAACCTTCACTTTTGAGCAATTCATATCATATTTTTTTGAGGAAAAAGGACCTTTTCGGAACTATTTTGCAACTTTTATGATACCTATTTCGGGTCTATTTTCAAACCACAAATCAACTGTCCTAGTGAGTCACGGAAAAAAGAAGAAAAAAGTTTGATGTTTCCATTCAAATGCAAACTTCCGGCGGAGGAATTTGTCGAATTCGTCTCCCCCGTGTGTGTGTGTGTGGCCTTATCACCTGGGGTATTTGAGTCATTTTTCGGTTGCTTTGAGATTTTTCCTTCTTTTGACTTGGTTCTGATTGTATTTTCTGTTCAATTTTTGTCAAGAACATTTGAAAAGTTGGGTTTAACAACCCTCGAAAAAATAATCTTCAAGATTTTGTGGTCAAGTCATATTTTCTGTCGGATTTTTGTTCAAGAATACTGATAAATATGATTTTAAAAAGCCCTTTTAAAAAAATACGTTAAGCTTTTTTTGATAAATTTATATATTTTTTTGCATTCCCCTTCATTTTTTTCTCGATCCCTGTTGAGTTTTATATATCTGATTTCTATTAATTATCCAAAAATCCGATTTAAACGTTTTTTTAACGAAAAATATCCCATGAAAACGTTTAGAAATCATTTTTTTGATTGATAAAAAAATCATTTCTCTGAACTTTTTTTCCTTGCAAAAACTTGCTGTTCAAAAAAACTTTTTGATGAGTTTTGCAAATTTCTTTATTTATTTTTTTCTTACAAAAATCCGTCCGGAGTTCCTGCTGTAGAAAAAAACTCAAAGTACCCCAAAAAGCACTGAAAAAAATTTTTCTTCTCGAGACCTTTTTTTGGAAACTTTTTTTCATGCTCCTTTAAACATCCCGGCAAGAATTTTGGGCATACCTAGTCTTATTGTTTTTTTCACTTAAGTGGTCATTTTTCTACAAAAATTAACAACTGAAAAAAATTATCTTTTTACAAAAATAATCACTTAAAAAAACTTTCTTTCTGCAGAATCCACTACTGAAAAAAATCCTCATTTACCACAAAAATTTTTTTTTATTTTTAATCTCATGCTCCTTTGAACATATCGATGAGTATTTTTTTAGGATTCCTAATCGCATTTTTTTTTTTACTAAAGGGACCCCTTTCTACGAAGTTAATCACTAACAAACTCTCATTTTACAAAAAGCATTTTTTATTTTACTTAAGTGATCACTTTGAAGTACCCAAAAACACTAAACAAAATTTCTTCTCGAGACCTTTTCGGAAATTTTTTCATGCTCCTTTAAACATCTCGATGAGTATTTTTTAGGATCCCTAGTCGCATTTTTTTTTTACTAAAGTGACCACTTTCTACCTATTTAGTCCCTAAGAAACTCTCATTTCAAAAATTCAATAACTGAAAAATCTTCTTTCTACAGAATCAACCTTCGAAAAACTCTCATTTTACAAAAAGCATTTTTTATTTTACTTAAGTGACAACTTTAAAATACCCCAAAAACACTAAAAAAAATTTTCTTCTCGAGACCTTTTTGGAAATTTTTCCATGCTCCTTTAAACATCTCGATGAGTATTTTTTTAGGATTTCTAGTTGCATACTAAAGAGACTACTTTCTACGCAGTTAATCACTGAAAAAATACCTACAAAATCACTAACTGAAAAACTCTCCAATGACGTCAAAAGTGTATCAAAAACTGATGAAAAAACATGATTATCAGAAAGAAATATTTGACCAAACTTCACGAGAATTGAGAGAAAAAGGCGTGAAACCTTCCTTATTTGGGGGTCATAATCGGTCACTTTACGTTGAAGGGGGAAGAAGAAACATTACAACGGGGAATCGGATTGTTGACGTTACCTTTTTGTCTCAATTTTGTGTGATTTTCTGTAGAATGCAAGTTGTTTTTCTATTTTCACGGTTCAGTTCATTTTTTGTTGACTAAAACTGGACAATTTTTGATTTTTGTTAATTTTTGGAGCTTGTTCATCACTTTTAAGCTTTTTCCAACCAAAATTATGTTTTTTTAAAAAATTATTGTAAATTTTTTTGAGCTAATTTAGGTTCCTAGATTATTTCTTCATGTTTAAATAACTCCATATCGAAGCCGGATACCAAAAAAATTTGAGAAAAAAGACTACCATTTTTTTCTTATTTTTGCCAGTACGACACTCCACAATTACAGCCTATTTTTTTGACAAAAAGGAATATTTTTTTCATTCAAAAAGCCTTGTTTTTGATGCGAAGCTCACTAGGAAACTTTGGAAACCCATAAATATGTAAATTCTTCATTTTCGATATTTTTCCTACGACACTCCGCTAGAACGGTTCAATTTTTTTGACATTTTTCGAAGCAAAAAAAGGCTTCTTTTCCTAATTTTCTAGATCCTCTATGTAAAAATGAATCAAAATTATCGATATAAATAAAATCCGGCACATTTTTTCCTTGAAAAAAAAATTCCTTTTCAAAAAATCAGGAAACTAACAATGTTCAACGAAACACTGCCCGAACGCGAAAAAAAAAAATCCAAATTTTCAATATTTCCTGAATTTCGGATCGAAAAATCCTCTTTTTCTCCATTTCTTCTATACTATTTTCTTTTGAAATCTCAAGTTTCAGACCTTTTTTCAATCAATTATTTTTTTCAGACGCCATGCGGGAGGGCGGACTCTACTCACAATATTATTCTTATCAATTTTAGTATCACTAGGAGAAGCTGGATTTCTCGATTTTGTTTCAAAATTAGTTGGTAATAAGGGTGGTTCATCATCATCGTCAAGTTCAAGGAGTCCTCCACCAGTCACTGACGATAAAGCAAAGGTATAGTTGGTCGCATTGGGAATGGCTCGACGCGTTGCGGTCGGGGAGCGGTTTGAGGATCATTTGAACTTTCTAAGGTTCGGAGAAAAATGAGAATTGCGAGAGTTGAAGGTCCAACTCAAGCCGCAGCGCGACCGCAACGCCTTGAGCCATTCCAAGTGCGACCAGTGATATTCACGGATTTTAGAAGATCCTATGAACTTCTAAAAGCTTGCAAAAAATAGAATTTCAAGTCTTGAAGCTCTGATGCGAGCCGCTGCGCGACCGCAACGCCTTGAGCCATTCCAAATGCGACCAGTAAAATTTAAGATTTTTCGAAGATTATTCTAACTTTGTTCCGCACCCGAACAAAACAAAGACCATTCAAACTTTTAAAAGCTGCCAAAAAATAGAATTTCAAGTTTTGAAGCTCCAACTTAAGCCGTAGCGCAACCGCAACGCCTTGAGCCATTTGAATATTTGAATATTTATTTCACTCCAATACATAAAATAACATGAGCTATAAAGAAAGAGGCAAAGTTGGGCAAGAATTGTATGGGAGTGAAATGAGCACCGGTTTTAATACGCCCTCACGAGCGAATTTACCGGTATAGGGAATAGAACACGTAGAAGGATTTTTGATCACAGTAGACGTAAGGGAATGTTGGAAAAAGAGTTCTTCGTTGCTTAGCGAGTCGAGAAACTTTCTGAAACGGGTGGTAGACGTGTTAGGGTTGAATCTTGAGCAGAGTCTATTCCAAAGAGGAATGACAGTGCTAAAAAAACTATTAAATCGGGAACCAGTCTGAATCAAACGAAAAGGATACCGAGGTGAACGACTTCTACTGAAAAAACTTTTTCTGCGCTAGGAAAGTGGTAAATGCCCAGGACGATTTTTTTGAAGCGTTACTAGAGCAATAGAAGTTCTCCTACGGAAAAACATGAGTAGAACCGAGTACATCAAGGCGATGGGAGTATGTGTCAAAGGATTTATTACGTCTTATGAAAAACTTGCCTAGTATAATGACGGTAAGGTTTTTTTCAAGGAGGACGGAAAGTTCTGAATTTATAGGCGGTGAGAAGATTTCAGAGCAATAGTCAAGATAGGGTCTAGCATACATGTTGAATAGTAAATTATACTGCTGGATGTTCAAGTGAGCAAAAGCTTTGAGCAGCTGTTTAGATTTGAGAGTGGCAATGTTGACTACATGATTAATGTGAGGGCTGAAACACAAATTTTTATCGATAAGGAGACCGAGGTCTCTGACAACAGTTTCAGATCGAATAGGTGAGCCATTAACATTGTAAACATGTTCAGGATTGTTTCTGCCTAGATGAAGAACAACAGTTTTATTGGCCGCAACTGGGAGGCCCCAAGTTTTGGACCAATCGAGCAATCTATTTATACTGTCTTGGATAGCATCAGGGTTATCTGAAGAGATTTTCAAGTCATCGGCGAACAAATATGAAGTAACGGAAGAATCAAAGATATCTGGGAGGTCGTTGACAAAAATTAGGAAAAGAAGCGGGCCAGTGACAGTGCCTTGTAAGACTCCTGAGACCACGTTGAAGCTATCATCAGAAGCAAGACCATCAATTAAAATCTTAGATGTGCGGCCAGAGAGGAAAGTTTTAAACCAATTGACCATAAGACTATTGAATCCGAAAGTTTCTAGTTTGGCGATAAGAAGGTTGTGTGGGACATAATCAAAAAGCTTTCATGAAATCAAAAATAAACGACATCGATTGGTAATCCCCTACTAATAGAAAGTTTCCAGTTTGTAACAGAGTCAAGGAGAGCAAGTGTACAACTTCGATTGTTGAGAAAAACCAAACTGACGGGAAGAAAAATTTGAGTTTGAAGCTTGATTTTATGTGAGTGGCAATTATTCGCTCCATAAGTCTTGCCAGAGGATGGGTTAGACTTATAGGTCTATAATTTTCAGGATCAGCCTTTTTTCCTTTTTTATAAATTGGAACAATGTATGAGAGTTTCCAAGATTGGGGAACAATACAAGAGAAGTATGAATCTGTGAAGAGAATTGACAGCGGAACAGAGAGGGCTTCTCTACACTGCTTTAACACATAGAAATTCATGAGATCAGATGAGAAGCCAGTTTTTGGAGCCAATTTAGAAATGAATTTATGAATGTTGAGAGGAGAAAAATCAGGATGAACAGAAAATGGTTTGCCGGTTGGAAAAATGGAAGGAATTTCAAAATTATTTGAGTTGCGGTTAGTAGAAAAAACGTCAAGAAAGGCAGATGACTTATCAATGTTGGACATACAATAAGTGCCTTTGTGCTCTAAATGAGGTATGGTCGGTTTCAATTTAAGTTTTTTTAAAAACATATTTGATTACAGATGAAGGATTTCCAGAACGAACAACATCAAGTTCTTTGCGTTTGAGCAGGAGCCTAACCCTATTTTTTTGAGAGCCATTCCAAATGCGCCAAGTAAAAACTCGAAAAAAATTTTTTTGGGAAAATTATTTGAACTACATAAAAAAATTGCAAAAAATAGGTTTTCAAGTCTTGAAGCTCTAATTGAAGCCGCAGCGCGACCGCATCGCTTCAAGCCATTCCAAGTGCTACCAGTGAGATTCAAGGATTTTAGAGGCTCGTCTAAATTTTGCGTCGGGATCGTGGAGTGGTTTGAGGTTCATTTGAACTTCTGAAAGCTTGCAAAAGCTAGAATCCCAAGCCTTGAAGCTCTAGCTAAAACCGCCGCGCGACCGCAAGGCCTTGATCCATTCCAAATGCGACCAGAAAAATTCAAGGATTTTCGAGGGTCGTCCAAATTTCGCGCCGGGGTTGCGGAGCGGTTTGAGGTTCATTTGAATTTCAAATGGTTCGCAAAATGAGAATTGCCAAAATTGAAGCGTAGGGACCGCAGACGAATTTTCAAAAAATTTTTTTCAGCATTGAGCTTTGTATGGTTCGATAGCTGTTTCGATTCAAAACTCAGAACCGTTTAGTTTTTCAAAAAAGATTGAGGATGAAAAAAGTTATGACGGAAAAGGTGGCGCGCCGCGCACCATTTTTTTAGTACTGAAATTTTGGTATTATCCATTTTTGACATTTTTTTCGATTTTTCTTCTAGAACAAATTTTGATACTGGTCTATTATGATGTAACAAATCATACTAGAGTGCTAAAATGATGCTAATCAGCTAGTTTGTCGAAAAAGTCGGTATTTTCCAGAAAACAAAAAACTGCCGCTTGCGGGCATCGAACTCGCTACCTCAAAATGTAAAATCGGAGCGCACGCGTTGCGCCAAGCTGTTAGGTCCAACGCGGGGAGCTTCCATCCGCCATACCCTTGAGCCGTTTGAATAGCACAGATTGTCTATTTCAAAAAAGAAAAAAACTTGAAGTAATTTAGCTATTTTTTTATCAGAATATGTTTGCAAATCTTTACTCAAACGGTTCGTGGAAATTCACTTCGAAAAAACTGTTTTTTTAGTGCTTTTTGCCTCGTTTAACGATCGCTGCATTAAAACGGCCCCGTAAATTTTTGGCAAAGACGAATTTTTTATTTTATTCTTTTAATTGAAAGATTTTTTACTAATAAATGTATATAATCGTTTAAAAAACCTGCGTTCGACCGCTTTCTGTGTGATAAACGCCGCTAATTTTATTCTCTAGTTTCAAGAGCATTTTTGCGTATTAAACAACTATTTCAAGCACAGATACTGTGAAGAAAAATTTAAGTAAGGCCATGATCTAAATTTTTTTAAAAAAACAAAAAAACTTGATTATATTCGCTTATTAACGATATTTTTGAATTATGACTTTCGGCGCTCCCTAAAAATTTTTGGCAAAGACGAATTTTTTTATTTTATTGTTTTAAAAATTTTCGTTACTTGAATCAAAAATCATTATTTAAAAAAAGAAAGAGTGCGTTCGACCTGAAAAACACATGAAAAAAAGCAAAAAAATGACAAAATTTTTAGTTCCATTCACGTTTTTTTGTACGACATTCCGCGCGAACGCATCAAAAAAGCGTGAAATATTTTTTAAACGAAAGAGGAAGCTTTTCTGTACAAGTGTGTCAAATTTTATTTGCCAGTTCCACATATTTTACAACTACATCAAAATGAAAGTTGAAAACCAAAAAAAAGCCACTTTTTCTATCGCGAAAAGGGGCGTGGCTTTGCGGTCCCTAGTTGAAGCCTAACTCAAGCCGAAGCGCGACCGCAACGCTTTGAGCCATTCCAAGTGCGACCAGTAAAAATAAATTTCCTTTGAAAATCGTTTGGATTTCGCGTTACGGTAGCGTTGCGGTCGCGTAGCGGCCTGAAAATCATTTTCCTTCAAAAAATATAATCACAAGCCTTGAAGCTCTAGCTGAAACCGCAGCGCCACCGCAGCGCCTTAGTCCATTCCAAATGCGACCAGGATTTCAAGAAACTTTTTCAGAGATACTTACAAGACTTCGGCTATGTCCAAGCTTCTTCCGTCCTTTCCAGCCGGCCCGGAATGCAGGGCGACGTTTCTGGGCCACAGAGCCTTCTGAAACTTGCAATCAGGTGGATATTAGCTCATTTTATGGTTCAAACTGATTTTCTTTCAGCAAGTTCCAAGAGTTCGCCGGCCTGGCCAAGACGGGTATTTTGGATACGGCGACGAAAATCAAAATGGCTTTACCGCGCTGTGGAGTCACTGACGCTCCCTTGGCCATCACTTCTGGTGGATCATGTATGTTTTTTTTTCAGAATTTTGTTTATAGTTTGCTCAAGAATTCTTGATTATTCCTAAATTAGAAAATGTCCTTCTTATCTTGCGAATTCTGTCCAAGCCGTTCATTGAAGTTTTCAAGACATAAAAGCTCCTTAAAAACACTAAAAAAAGCTTTTCCCCTTGAGACCCTTTGTAGAACCTGTTCATGCTCCTTTAAACACTCTAGTGAGAACTCTCCTAAAATAACCCTTAAGAAACCTCTTCCCTCGAGACACTTTTCAACATCTGTCTATGTTCCTTTGAATACAACAGAAAGAAGTCATTTTGATAGAGTTTCGGATAAAAAAAAACTTCTATTTTTTTAACAACCCAAATATCCATTTTTCTTGCCCTGGTTTTTGGTCAATAATCTTTTCCCTGTACTTCAATTTCAAAAATTGCTTCAAAGTACTAGTCACCTTTATATTTATTTTCAGCCGGCTTCAAATGGCCAAAAAATCGGTTGACCTACTCGATTGAGACCTGGTCCTCAGATTTGCCAAGGGACGATGTTCGGTAGGATTTTTTCTTCTGAAAAAAAAATCTTTGTATTATTTCATGTTGAGCACGATTTTCTGTGTGAAATTATGTATATTATTCCAAAATATGCTTGAAAAAAACTTTTTTTAGCTCACTCAACTTTTTTTCGTTATAAAACTACCAAAAATAAGGTTTTTTTCTAAAAACTTTCTACGTCATCCTTCCCCAAAAAAACTCATTTTTAAGAAAGCTATATTTCAATGACGTCACTAAATAATATAATGACGTCACAATTACCCTCAAAAATGACGTCACAAATTCCAGACGCGCTATTGCTGAAGCCTACGGCACATGGGCAAAAGTGACCAATTTGCAATTTGAAGAAGTTCCAGCCGGTGGAAATTCCGATATCAAAATCCGATTCGGAATCAACAACCATAATGATCCCTGGCCTTTCGATGGCAAAGGTTTTTTTTTCCTTTTGTTGAGCTTATCAAGATTTTAAAAAATTCTAGAAAAGGGCACACTTATGCTCTCAAAACTAAGGATGAGAACCTCAATTATATTTTTTTAAAAAAACAAAAATTCTCTTTTTGTCAATGGAGCGCACAAGAGCCTATAGCGGCCCTTTCTTCCAGTTTTTCTTGATTCCAAAAATTTTAGGAGGAGTTCTGGCTCATGCGACGATGCCAGAAAGTGGAATGTTCCATTTTGACGACGATGAGAACTGGGCCTACATGGACGCGAGAAAAATCGCGTCGTGAGTTTCTACAGCTTGAGATGATTTTTAATGTAGAAATGTAAAAAAACGACGTTTTGAATGATCAAAAAAAAAAGAAAAAATCAAAAATTCACTTCAATCATCGATTTTGACACCAAAATTGAGTAAGCAGGGAAAATGGAAATTTAAAAAGATGAGAAAATTTTTAGCCATTCGCTTGATACTTTATGAAGCTCTACATAAAGTGTTCCAAAATGTTCTTCTTAAAATAGAACCTAATTTTTCAGAAGATACAAGTCTTAGAACTACGCCTTAGACTGTCCCCTGATTATCAATTTAACAAATATTTATTAGAACCTTTTTGGAACCTTACCAACTTTTTCTAAACCCTGACCTCTTTCCATCAAATCATACCCCAGAATACCCTTCTCATCTGTTTCTAAACACCATGGTCGCAACTGGAATGGCTCAAAGCGTTGCGATCGCCATTGTGGTGTGAGAGTACAGCCGCAACGCGACCGCAACGCCTCCATCCATTCCAAAATCTCGCGAATCTAATACAGCTCCCTTCAGAACCCACACCGACATCCTAGCCGTCGCCATCCACGAAGGCGGCCACACCTTAGGCCTAGAACATTCCCGAGACGAATCCGCAATCATGGCCCCTTTCTACCAGCCGACAGTCGATGACAATGGCAACTATGTCTATCCGAAGTTGAAATCTGACGATATTCAAGCAATTCAGTCCTTATATGGTTAGAATTCGTCAAGATTCTGGAGAATAAAACTTCGAATACAGGCCGTAACACCGGCGGTGGCGGTGGAGGATCTTCCTGGGGCGGTAGTGGAGGAAGCAGTTTCACGACTTCTAGACCGATGACGACGACTACGAAGAAGAGCTGGTTCGGAAGATTCTTCGGAGACGACGACGACGTCCCGACGACCAGCCGACCTTCTAGGCCGAGCGGCGGAAGTGGAAGTGGTGGAAGCTGTCCGTTCTACATCGACGGCTTCACTCCTAGTGAGTTTGATTTCAGCGCTCATTTTCACGGCTTGAAACGGTCTAGATCAGATCTTGAGTGGAACCTAAGTGACCTGTTGGGAAAGAGTAAGTGATCACTAGAGTGAAGTTAGTTGAAGAACTAGCTCCACGCCTCTTTAAGGAACACTTGAAGAGGACCAACGAATAACCTAAAATGCAATCGCGCGAAAGTAGTTTTTGGTCGGACGCGCAAAAGTTTTCCTAGATGAACTTTTTGAGGGTTCAAATTTGAATAACAACTAGCTCCACTGCTTACGCTCCTTAAGTGATCACTTGAAGGAGACCAACTGCTACCCTGCTCCAGAAAATGCGGCTGCGCGGAAGTAGTTTTTGGTCGGCCGCACAAGAGTTTTCAAAGGCTCAGAGCTAAAAATACACTAGCTCCACTTCTCACGCCCCTTAAGTGATCACTTGAAGAGGACCGTGTTCTACAAAGTGCAATCGGGCGGAAGTAGTTTATGGTCGGACGCGCTAAAATCTCATAGAAAGACGTTTCAAGTCGTGGGAAACATAGATGTTGGCCACTTCTAGCTCAAATAACTTCTCTCAGGTGACTCCTACTCCTACCTGTTCTCCGGCTCTCAAGTCTACATCATCAGTGGGACTAGAGTAACTAGAGTCCAATCGATTCGAGATTTGTTCCCGGGTGGACCTAGTTCCGTCACAGCCGCCGTTTTCAACCCGATTTCCGGAAAGATGCTTCTCTTCGCTAATGGACAGGTAGCACTATCAGAAATCTTTCGAAAAGTCTCTTAAGTGAAGAAGAACCTTAGATACTAAGAAATCAGTAAAGTTTTTTCAAGCTTCCCGTTACCAATAGTCAACACTTTTGGGAAAATATCAGTAAAGGTTATAGCAAATCCCATCTAAATCACTGAAAACTTCAGGTCTACGCCTTCTACTACTCCCGACTCCGAGCCTCCTTCGACAAGGAGCCCGACTTCCCGAAAAGACTTCCATCTGACCTTGGCTTCCAAGTGACTGGCGCCTTGCGATGGGTCAATGGGCATCAGATCTTGATGGGGGTTTGTTTTTAAATTCTAGAAGAAAAATTTGAAAATGATTCAGGACAATGATGAATTCGCCGTATACGACGAGTTCTGGAACCAAGTCACTTTGAGGAATCGAATCTCGTCGTATTTCCCTAACTTGCCTCGAGGCGTTAAGGGAGCCGAGTCTCGTGAGTTTTTTCTGTTGAGGTTTATGGAAAATTGTCATAAGGTTCTTTTAAAAGCTCACTGAAGATTTTAAGAGTTCCTATGAGATCCTAAGATTCAGAGAGAAGATCAAAATTTACTAGAATTCTTACTTTTCTTGAAAGAAAAGCTGAAAGTCTTGAAACAGCATATTACTAGTTTCTGACTGTCTGACTTGGCTTTGAGACGTAATTTTTTCAAAAAATTGGCTCATGCCCTCTTGAACTTTTCTGAACTACAAGAAAATATTCTGAGCGACTTCAGAAAATCTTTGAAAACTGAATTTCCTTCCTAGGAAATTAAGGAACCCTATAGTGACCCCTAGAGTTTGAACCGCTTAGTGTTCCGGCCCTAAACCCCTATAGGGGCCGCTAGGATTTTTACCCCCCTATGAAGGGCCCTATTTTGCCTTCTATAGTGGTCCCTAAAACCACAAACCCCTACAGTGATCCCTCAGATCCCTCGAAAAACGCGTTTCATGGCTTTTGTACCTACAGTACCGAGCAGTAAGTAAGATATGCAATTTCACTTTTTTCGTCAGAACTTTTGCGGGAATTGTCCAATTTCTGTCAAACTTTCTACAGTTGTTACTTGCATATCCAGTATGTCAACACAAAAAAATTCAGCTGGGTAGCTAATTTTTGCAGAAAGTTACAGCTTGAAACCTGGAGTCAATGAAATCTCCAAAAACGAACATGGTTATGGTTACAGGATTTATGGAGATTTCGATGATTCCAGGTTTCAAGCTGTAACTCGCTACAACAATTAGCTACCCAGCTGATTTTCTGGTGTTAACATACTGGATATGCAAGTAACAACTGTAGAAAGTTTGACAGAAATTGGACAACTCCTGCAAAAGTAATGACGAAAAAAGTGAAACTGTATATGCTCTAGGTACCCGAAAAACTAATTTTTCCTCACCTTTCTACCAAATCTCTCAAAAAAATTATCTCAAACGTTCCAGCCTCTGGCATGACAGTGAAAGCCTTCACGTCATCTGAAGCTTTCGACTACGATTCCCGAAGGAAGACGATCGGACAACACCAAAGCCTCAGCAGCTACCTCACCTGCGCCTGATCTTTCACGTTTTTGAGATTATGAACCTTCTTATACATTCCACATTGCCATAATTGCGTTACAATAAAGTTTTTTTCTTCATTGAGAATGAAACGGGAAAGCCAAGCATAAAAATAATAACCGCGACGCGTTGAGCCATTCCGAATGCAGCCCTTTCACAATATTTTCGGTTTTAGAAGCTAAAAAATTGGAAATAGATCTATTTTGAGCCTATTTCGGAACTATCTGACCTTCCTGCGTCTCTTTTCTCTCAACAGTGAGTCCAGAGGAACAAGGAAAGAGCGCAGGAACACGAGAGGGCGCAGAGAAATCATCTCCTTCCCCCTTAAACACGACTAAAATTGGCTTGGTCGCACTTGGAATGGCTTAAAGGGTCGATCGCGACGCGTCAAGCCATTCCAAAGTGCGGCTCAGAATCAAACTACAAATTCCTTTCACACTCTTATCCGTTTGAGAAGCTGAAAAGTTGAAAATGGATCCATTTTTAGCATATTTTAAAACCCTCTGACCTTCCTGCGTCTCCTTTCCCTCAGCAGTGAGGTCAGAGAGAAAAGGAAAGAGCGCAGGGACACGAGAGGGCGCAGAGAAATCAGATTACGGAAAAATTTTCACTTTGTAGATTCTTCAAAATGCAAGATTACATCTACAAAAACATGAATAAATAAAAATTCACAAAAAATATCCTTCTTTGTAAAAAATTCCCACAACTTCCACTAAAGGTACCATTTTCTCACGTCAAGCCAATTCTCCCCCATTAACACTTCATTTTCCAAACATTCCCAAACCTAATTATCACATTGGAAACCTGAGAAACCTTTCAAAAAAGGGTTCCGTCGAAGACGCTATTCGCACTTTTCTCGGCTCACTGGCCTCGGAACCCACATTTCTGGGCCGGGCCTTCCGATTGGTATAAGTAGGAGCCTTCTGGTGTATCAGCTACCATTTTTTGCTGTTCCCACCGATTTCCACGACTTCAAGATGAGCTCCATCGTCGCCAAGTTCTTCGAAAAGTCTCGACTTCAGAAGGAGAAAGACCTGGCTGAGGAGCAATGGATCGCACGTCTTCACTTGCTGAAGACGTGCGGTGACCAGATTCACGACGATTTCGGGAACTTGGCTCTTTACGTAAGCTTTAAACGAATTTTCAAACATTAATAAATTTTTTTTCAGTTCAATCTGGCCCACAAAAAGGGTGGAATCGATAGTTTCACGAGCACCGACGGACGCCTCATGATCGTGAGTTTTTTCATTTATTTTTTCAAATACCTGAGATTTTCGGAGACTTTTTCAATTTTCAAATATCTTAAAAGTTTTGAGACCCTTTTCCAACAAGCTTCTAATCGGAAATTCTCCTTGAGATCTTCCAAAAACCTTTAAAATTCATTTTTATGATTCTTTAGTTTTCTGAATCCTTCTGACATCATCATAACAGTTCCTAGAAGTCTTTAACCTTTAAAAATCGTTCCCAATAAAATTATGGGCTTATGATGGGATTAACGGGGCTTAGAAGACCCCTAAAACTCCAAGAAGTCTTCTGAAAAGCTTCAAAAAAATTAAAATTGAATAGCCCCCCTAAAAAGTTCCCTTTAGAGCCTTAATAAACTACATTTTCCAGAAAAAAAGCCTTTGTAAGCTTTTTTTTCTTTTTTTCAAATATTTTATGTATCTTAATATCCTTCCAAAAACCTCAGAAAACGCGAAACAGCCCAACAAACATTCTTGAACTCCTTGCAAACGTCGCCATAATTTTCAGAAGCTTGCGGAAAAAATGGTGACTAGCCTGGACGACGATCTGGTCATAGTCGAGCAGCAGATCATCACTCTCGATCTTCTCCAACAGAAAAATAGCCGGGAACTCGCCTTGGAGGTCCTGCAAATCGCTCAATTCATTCGTTTCGAGTGCGTCCGGCTCAAAAAAGCCCTCCGGACTTTCCAACAGAGTTGTGTTAGTTCTTTTCTTTATTTAGTTGTTTGGAAGAGTTTTTGTTGAGAAATGGAGGTCGAAGTTTGTCAAATAACTTTAGAAGAGAGTAACCAGCTCATTTAAAAAGCATGAAAGCTTCTAAGAATCTTCTAACTAGGAAACTCCTTACCCCCTCTAAAGAAAAATGTCTCGAAATAGATATCGTTTTCGAGTTAGAACGCTTCAAAAGCTCAAAATAGCGCTTTTTGTCTTAATTTCATATTTTTCGGACTTTGAAGCTCCATTACTTTAAAACAAGATTTATTGCGGGAAATTTTTATTCTGCAGTTAATAGGTTCTAAAATACACTCAAACAAAGTTTCATCGAAGGTTCAACTCGGGGGCGTGAAAAAAAGTTTCCTAGTTAGTCACAACTTTATTCCTTTTTTTATTTTCGCTGTTTTCGATTTGAAAAAGGTTAAGTTTGGCTCGGGTTTAACAACTTGCGAAAATTGTTACCTCCCAAACTCTTTTTAAAAAAATATCAACTCGCCCTAATTTTTTTCTCGGTTTTTTGGACTGAATCTTTTGCTTTGTGCTTATTCTCCTTATAAAACCTTCTGTTAGAACTGTTCCCGGTCTTTATAAAACCTTTGGCCATTTTCTAGCAAGATAAAGACCAAAAGTCGATTCACTACCAGCTTCGAATAAATTTAATATTTTTCAGGAAAACCACATATTTCATTCTCTAATGATCAAGGAGCTAAATGACAACGTCGGACGCCTCCAATACGCTATATCTCAAGTCCCCGATTTCGAGCAAATCCGTCGTCGGCTTTAAATTAAAGTTTGATCATTTTTTCTCCATTTGCCGGATGATTATTGTATATATTTCCCTCTGATTCCACGTTTTTTGTTTTTTGTTATTTTTCTTGACGTGTAAAATTTCATGAACCCTATTTTTAATTTTGTTAATGAACTCCTGAATAATTCACACGGCTTTTTTTATTACTGGTTTTTTTCCTAGGAGAGTCAAGGAACTTTATTTAGGCTCTTGTTTTCCTTTTTTTCGAATTTTTTTCTATTGTATGTTCACCACTATTTATTTGATAAATTTGATTAAAAAAACTTCGTTTTGAAAATGTCTGAAAAAAATCGAGGAAGTGAACAATCAAATAATAAACCTACGAAAGTTCAAAGTTTCAGATAGAAAATTTTAAAAACGAGGCGAGTTTCTTGGAAAAACTATCTTTATAATTCGGAAAGAAAATGAAAGGAAAATATGATGATTTTTGTCCTTAAAATGGTGAAAGAATCGTCGAAAAATGTCGAGAAATATCAAAAAACTCCACGAAACCATGAATCGACTCAATATAGAGATATAAACTCTAAAAAAAAGCGAAAAAAATATTTTTCTTAATATTAGAGCGTTTCAAATTTCACAAAAAGCCTTTTTTTGAGTCTAATAGTTTCGAAATCGGTACTGAAGCATAAGTTTGTTCAAAAAAGCTGTCATAAAAATGAAAACTTTCACATTTTCTTGGATCAAAAAATGAGTAGAAGCTTTCGAAATTTTGTAAACAGTCCAAATTTTACCAGAACAATCTGCGTATTTTTAATTTCTACCTAAGCGAATTCTTTATTCACATAATTTTTAGTGATTTCGGTCTTATGTAGTTCAAAAATTGAATGGTATTTGGTTTTAAGAAAAAAAGTAAATAGGCACAAAAAAAGACTGGAAAAAGGTCAAAGGGATCTCGAGGTCAAAAGAAGATCGATTTCACAAAATCCGAAACTTTCATTTAATTGTTCTGTTCTTACTTTTTTTGTGTTGCATTTAAAGTTTTTCTTTAGATTTTCTGTCTAAATTTTCTTTTTGACTTGTATTCTAATTCTCATTTTGAATTCCTTGAAGTTCATTTAAAGCTTCAGGTTACTTGAAAAATAGAGTTTGAAATATCTTCGTATTAAATTTTTTAATGAAAAATTGATTTTTATTAACCAAAAATCGTCACTTTACCTAATTATTTTGATCCAAAAAACCTTTTTTTTTTTCCTATTTCAATATTTTTCTTTTTTTCTCGGGTTTTTGAAAAAAAGTTATTACGAAGACTTCGGCGGAATTTTTCGCACATACAGATACTATCTCTACTTTCTGTTATTTTTGTTGACTCAATTCAAAAATCGTTTTTTTCCTATGTTGAGTCCACACTACCCCCCATTATTTTGTGGATTAAAAAAATGTGATCCTCCAGAGGCTTTCAGGCCACAAATATGTAAAAACACAGTTTTAACGCAACAGGCCATGAAACCAAAAAAAAGTTAAAAATCTCACATCAAATACGTTTCAAACGTTTTCGAAACTAACTTCATTTGTACGATTTTTCAATTTCATGTAGAAAATGCAACCATTTACCGTTATCAATTCCTCAAAAACTTGGTTGACACTTTATCTCTAACTAGGGAGCTGACTTCTTAATATGGATTCAGGGTCTTTTAAGGTCCACATCTTCATATTTCTAGTAAATTCCAACTAGGGGACTGTCAGAAACCCAATTTCGATGCAGGCGGCTTTGGAACCAAAAAAAGGTAAAAATCTCACTTCAAACACGTTTCACACGTTTTTTTAAACCTAATCTCGTAGAGATGGTTTTTTAATTTGATGTAACTTCATGAACCATATGACTTCCGAAAAACTCCGCTGACACCTTTTCTCTAACTAGGGCAGAGCTGTGCGCTGGGGCGGGGGTGATGACCGAATCGGCACACAATCAGTCGTAATCGCTAACTTTTTCTTTTCGTTTCATAATCAAAATTCCGTGTATTTTCTTCACTCTTTTTTTTTTTGAAACTTTGAAAATTTTATTCAGTCTTCAGAGAAGGTTTCTCTGCTGAATCATGGAATCATTGAAGAGTTGTTTGTCGATTCGCGAAACCGTTGTTGATCAAGCGTAGACGGCGCGTAGAGCCTCTCATCTCTCCTGTGATAGTAGTAGACGACTTTCGAGCTTTCCGGCGATCGCTGCTTCTTCACTCGACGTGGTAGCTCTTTCAATCGGCCGAGGTTGCCCTAGAGTGTACACGGCGTCCGAGCCCCACCATGAAAGATCTTCTTGTGGAAGAACGAGGCGAAGGACCGTAAGGCCATGCTTTCAATCCAATCAACCACACGTTTTGACTTCTTTTTCGCCAAAGGCGGTGTAGTGCCGCTCAAAAGAGCAATTTTTTCACCGCCTAGTCGATTCCATCTGACTAAAACAACCAATAAATATTGATATTATAGTCTGCGTACCACGACTTGAAATTTCACCGAACGACATTCCGTTGTTCCGAAGCGTCTTTGCGAGCCTCGGTCTAACTTTTAATTGGTTCTCATTTCTGATAGATGGACTGTTCCACTAGGAACACGTGTTGGTCCTGTTCTTAAATAAAATGAAAAATCAAAGCGTGCAAAGGCGCGCAGCGGAACAGCGGAATGTCGTTCGGTGAAATTTCAAGTCGTCGCACAGAGACTATATGATTGATTGAACATCACATAACTCCACTGAATAACATATTTTCGATCACTCACTCCCCCATTCACACAATACTTAACAATTCGAGAGAAAAATCTTCGTTCGACCGCTTCGCGACCGCGTTGCAACACTATGGCTAGCCCAGCCGGCCCAAAGCACAGCTCTGAGTTAGGGAACTGTCTACACGTCCTAGACAGGCACCAGAGTTGCACGGAATTCCGTTGTCCGTCTTCCGCTTACCCGTCTTCCGCATACATTTCTCTTCCTTAACCCGTATTCCGTCTTCCTTAAAAAATGTTTGTTCCTAGACCCGTTTTCCGTCTTCCTCAAATGTGAGTTATGTTCCTTAACCCGTGTTTCGTCTTCCTTAAAAATTGTTGTTCTTCAACTCCTGTTTTAAACGTCTTTTGATAGAAAATGCGCGTTTTCGATGTCGTGAGGGATATGGTAATGACGCTAATGCCTACTAGTGTGAATAAGAGCCTTCTGGTGATTATACTGTCCGACTTTATCCAAATCTTTGGATCGTCTCGCCTTTCTTTCCAAGCGCCCGTACTCAAGATGAACGCCGTCATCGACACCGCCGCCATCGTCACCAAGATCGTCGAGAAGGCCCGCCTTCACGAACAATGGGTCGCACGTCTTCAGAGTCTGAAGACGTGCGGCGACCGTGTTCAAGCCAAGTTCGATAAATTGGTCTTCTACGTAAGCTTTGAACGAAATTTCCAGCATGAAAGATTATTCCAGTTCAATCTGACGCTCAAGATGAGAGGAATCTACAATTTCACGAGTACCGACGCCCGATGGATGATCGTAAGTTTTTTTTTTCTTTTTTTATAATTTTATCTGAACCTTCAAGTATCGTCTCATAACATTTAATAAAGCTTCGAAAATCTTCCTAGCTCCTAGAAAAACTTCTTATCAGTTTTGGAAAGACCTAGTTAGGATAAACATTATATATCCATTCTAAAAAGCCTTCTAGGATCATTAAAAAAATCCTCTTACCACATTTTTTTAATTCTAAAAAAATAATTTCAAATTGGAGCCCTCTAAATTCTTCAGAAGACATCAAAAAGCTTCCAAACCCACTTGAACTCCTTGAAGACGTCGAAATGTTTTTCAGAAACTGGCGCAGAACATCCAGGCTGGACGACGGCCTGGTGGTTCTGGAGAAGGAAATCGCAGACCTGACCCTCCTCCACCGAAGAACCGACCAGAAGATCGTCAGAGAGGTCCTGAAAAAGGCTCATAATACGTGTTATGATGCCTTCGCCTCTATGAAGCTTTAGGCCATTTCCAGCACAATTGCGTGAGTTTTTTTTTTTGGCTTAAAACGAATTATCACATTGGACACCTGAGAAATCAAAAGGGTACCGTCAAAGACGCTTCTCACAACATTTTCTAACTTTTCTCGGCTCACTGACATCAGAACCCATATTTCTGGGTCGGGTCTACCGATTAGTATAAATAGGAGCCTTCTGGTGATTGAGCTACCATTAGCAAAGTTTTTGGATCTTTTTTCACCAACTTCCACGACTTCAAGATGAGCTTCATTGTCGCCAAATTCTTCGAGAAGTCTCGACTTCAGAAGGAGAAGGACCTGGCTGAGGAGCAATGGATCGCACGTCTCCACCTTCTGAAGACGTGCGGTGAACAGATTTACGACGACTTTGGAAATCTGGCTTTATACGTAAGTTTTGAATGAAATTTCTAAGGTTTACTTTTTTTCAGTTCAATCTGACCTACAAGAAGGGAGGAATCAATAGTTTTACAAGCACCGATGGCCGCCTCATAATCGTGAGTTTTTTTCTTTTTTCTTGAATCTATCTAATTCTTCAAGTACCACCTAACTCTCAAAAAATTTAATAAATTTTCAAAAATCCTGATAGCTCCTAGAAACTTTCTTATCGGTTTTCGAAAGAGCTAGTTAGGATAAAAATCATCTTTTCCATCTAAAAATCTTCAAGGATTCTTCAAGAACCTTCTTACATTTTTAAAAAATCAGTCCAACTGGATTCCTCTAAATGCTTTAAAAGACTCCTCACTACATCTTTAGTTCTAAAAAAAAACGGTTAATTAAAACCCTCTAAATGCTTCAGAAGACGTTAAAAAGCTTTCAAACTCACTTTAACTTCTTCAAGACGTCGGCTTCTTTTTTAGAAGCTGGCGCAGAACATCCTGGCTGGGCGACGACCTATTGGTTCTGGAGAAGGAGATCGTGGACCTCGACCTTCTCCACCGAAGAACCGGCCAGAAGATCGTCAAAGAGGTCCTGAAAAAGGCTCATAACATCCGTTATGAATGCCTTCGCCTCTGTGAAGCTTTAGGTCATTTCCAGCACAATTGCGTGAGTTTTAATATTCATTTTTACTTGAAATGAAAGAAATACTCGATTTGACCAAATTCTTTATTTTTTTTTCATTGAACATTTAATGCATTTTTTTCTAATATTAAATCACATATTCTATAGAAATTCGACATGATATACGCTTTGATGGTCAAGGAGATCAAGTACAACGTCGGCTGTCTCCAATACGCTGTGGGACAAGTCCCTGACTTCGAGAAACTTCTTCGAGAAATCAGGTTTTGATTCATTTTCATATTATTGATTTGTTTCTTTTTATTATATAATATGTTTTTCCATGATGTTGAATATGTCTTCAAATGTTTCATGTACATTTGAAGACATATTATATATTATTACTACTACAATATTCACTTTTGAAAAAAGCCTTCAGTTGGAAAAGGAGGCCAAAAATTGGCTCATTTTGTCAAACAACATTAAAAGACAACTGGCCCTTTCTCAATTAAATATTTTTCAGGAAATCAAATATTTCAATCTCTGATGATCAAAGAGCTGAACCACAACGTCGGACGCCTACAATACGCCGTATCTCAAGTCCCAGATTTTGAGAAAATCCGTCGTGAAATCAGATTTTGATTTACATGTATATTATTTAATTGTTTCCATTACTATATAATGTGTTTTTCAATAATGTTGACATTCATGTACTATTTGTATATTCAAACCACATTAAAAACTTGAAAAACTTGAGTAAGCTTCAGTTTTGATTTTTTTCTTTGATTACGAGTTGAATGCATATGTTTTTTTAATCTATTGATCAAGGGGTACTATTTTTATTCATGATATTATACTTTTCAATTGTTTGAAATTTTTTTTTCCTAATTGTGACTATCATTTTTTTTTACCCATTTTTTTCTTTTTCTGCAAAATTTGATTATTTATTCAATAAATTTGACTGAAAACTCTGTGCTTCATGAAAAATCCAAAAGAAAAATAAAAAGAGAAAAATAAAAAGAGAAAGGATCTCGTTTCAGTTTGAAAAATTTTAAAGGCTTTTTTTACAAGACTTATAAGTTTCCAAGAAAAAAGTTTGAATGCTTGAAAAAAATGAATGAAGTGTCAAAAAATCTTTTGATTAAAGTCCAAACATTGAGGTTTGAAAAAATAGTGAACTTTTTTCTATTCTCACAGTTTCAAAAGTCAAATTCCTTATAGTTTTAATCTTAACAGCCGTTTTTCCAAAGTGATAACTTGCTTTTTTCATTTCTCAACGCCGAATATTGCATTTTGAACACTTTGAAACAAAATTTGAGAATCGAAGCCTTTTGGACTTTTTTTTGACTACAAAAACATCGTCCGTAAATCATTTACACTTGAAAAGGTCTTTGAAAGGAATCCCATTTCTCTCTTCTCTTTCTCTCGAATGCAAAAAAGCACTTTCGATGAAAGCCGAGATATTGAGGGTTGAAAAATGTGTATGACGGTTTCAAAAAGTCAAACTCATTTTATTGATCTAAAAAAATGGTGTTTTTTTAATGTTTTTATTCATCATATTGGACATTTTGAAACAAAAAAATTCAAAGAAAGGAGTTTAACAAAGTAATGAGCCTTTTTTACCTAGATAAGATTTTCACATTTTAAAAAAACTACTAGATAATTCCTTAAATGAAATACTCAATCCGATAAGCTTTCCTTCAAACAACATATCTTATTCTGAACTTTAATTATTATTTTCTAACAGTGTGCAGTAAATGAACCTATTATTATTATTATTATTATATCATTCGTATTGCTGTTTTGCCCCCCTACTTTCCGATCAAATACTGTTATACTACTCTCAACTACCTTCGTATGTTCCAAACTCATGTGATTCCAGTCCTTGAATATTGCTCCCATACCGATTCTTCTGATGAATCACTCAAACTTGGATCTGCACTCCGTCAATCTCCAGTCGGAAATCTTTCATTCGCTGTACTGTCCGCTTCGCTTCTTATTCAAACCGCCTTTTTCAATTTGATATTAAATCTTTATTCACTCAACTTGCAATATTATCACCTTACAGAAAATCAACTGTGGATCTGATTGCAATGATGTCAATCCCTTCTACAGAGAAATCCACTTTGACTACAAACAGCTGGTCAGTTCTAATTATTATTATTTTTATTCCTCCTCGGAATAAACTAACTTCATAGATTTTACCGTTACCGAAAATCTTCGTAAAAAATTGAATGATCTTTCTACTAGGGCTCCTCATGAAAATATTGCTTCTCGTCCACTATAAAAGTGTCATCCTACCTGTCAACTCGTTGGGGTTGACTCATTCCTGTGTATTGTTTTTCCGCTGCTTCCCTTTCACTTGATAATATTTTTGAAATTTTTTTCTGTTAAATAATGGCAGTGAATAAAATATTATTGCTTGCTTTGCTTTGATGCTTTGATGGTCCATCTTCGCTGATGTTCTCAGCGTGGACCACACGTTCTCCAGGCGGCTCGGTCTTGCGCGACGGTCATCCAGTGGCGGCCTGGCTGACTGATGTTCTTGCGGAAGTAGTCCGTCCATCTGGTCGGTGGGCGCTCGAGTGGGCGCTTGATGTTTCTCGGAATCCAGTGTGTTAATCTCGTGGACCAGCGGTCGTCTTGTCTGCGGATGACGTGGCCGCCCCAACGATGTTTCCCGCGTTGTATGTGCTCTTCTAGATCCCGGATTTGGGATAGTAGACGGAAGTCTGTGCTCCTCTGTTCTTTTTTCCACTGCTCGAAGCGAGTGGTACCGATGAGAGCACGTTCCAGTGCGCGGTAGGAAGTTCGTAGGGCGGTTGCATTTTTCTTCGTGTCAGGCCAAACTTCGGTACCGTAGGAGATGGCAGGGATTATCGACGCTTCGAAGATGTGAGCTCGCAGTTTCGGGTCTTTCAGCTGACTGGTGACTTCTTTGATGTTATTATTAATGCAAAAATAAATCGATAATAATATAAAGAGCAGAGCAAACTATAGGTCTTATCAGATGACTCGTCTTGATAAGAAGAATCGTTGCTCTCCAGTGCAAAACATTGATTTCTCCTTTTCTCACATTTATTATCTGTTTCTCTTCAATTTTTTCGTTATTTTTCTCCTAAACCTTCAGAAAATCCAAGGCGACGGGGTGCTTTTCGGGAAAATTGATTTTGTCGCTTTTCCATGCTCTTTTTGGAATAAAAACCAGAATAAATTCCTAACTTTCACTGAAAAAAGACCAAGTTTTCCACTATTATACGTTTGGGAAAATCGTGCATTTCAATAGTTCTCTGGGAACGTTTCTCTTTCTCTTTCACTCGGTTTTTTTTTGTTCTGTATTTTGTTTCTCACACTAAACCCTTCATGGTCGCGTTTGGAATGGCTTGAAGCCAGTTGGAAAAAAATTTCTACCTAGCGTAAGTCGTTTTTGGTCGGATGCAGTTTTATGATAATATATGACCCATTAAACCATTTTTTTTCAAATGAGGCAAAATTTCGCCCAGCGTTTCCGCTTTTTATGAAACAGACAGGAAAAAAAACCTCGAAATTCGGAAAATAATTCTGATGTCCCCTAGCGCAAGTCGTTTTTGGTCGGACGCAGCTTTATAATAATCTTGACTCGTTAAGTCTTTTTTTCAAGAGAGTCGACTATATACTCATTTTTCCATTTTTTTTTTTTGAATCGAGTTTCGCCGAACGTTACTAATTCATAGAGGGAAGAGAGAATATTCAAACTTTGAAAAAAAAATTCTGATGTTCCCTAGCGAAAGTCGTTTTTGGTCGGACGCAGCTTTGTAATAAAAATGACTCGTTGAGCCGATTTTTGACGGTGGAATAGACTATAAACTTTTTTTTCGAACCGAAATTTCGCCCAGCGTTTCAGCATCATATGAAAAAAAGGGAAAACCATCTTCGAATTCTGGAAAAAAAAATTCTGATGTCATCTAGCGCAAGTAGTTTTTGGTCGGAGGGAACTTTATTATGAACTTGACTCGTTAGGCGTTTTTTTTTTCGAGAATCGACTTTTTTTCGAGCTAAATTTTTTCTCAACGATACTATTTTGTACAGGAAACTTCGAAAAATCATATAATTAAAAAAAAACTTTCCTTCGTTTGAAAATTGGCGTTTTTCGTGCTTATTTTTCTTTGAAAACTGATTTTTTATCAAATCAAACTCGGAATATCGGAAACCAACGGGCTGTTTGCATAGTCGTATACATAATTCGATTTTTTGAAAAGAATGCTTTTTGACGGCATTTTCGCCTTGTCGATTGTTGATTTTTGTCATGTCAACATAACTTTTTTCTTCCATTTTTTCCATTTTTCGCCTATTCTTGATGAAAATAATCGAGTAATATTCGAAAATTTTCAATTTTTATAATCTTCAAAGGAATCTAGTTTTCTGAGTCATTCAGTGTGTTCAAATCATAGAATTTTCAGTCTATACCAAATTTTTATTTTAAATCGCTCTCAAACTTTTTTTAACTCGAAAAAAATTTTTAACATTGTGTTAAAATTTTTCACAAAAATTTGATTTGTAGATCCTTTTTGAAAAGAAAAATTCAAAAAAATTCATCCAAATCCAGGTTCTCGAGAAAAATATATATATATCCTATTCACCTACAAAAAAATTTTAAAATAAACTTTTTTTTGCTCCTTTTTAGCGGAATTTAAAGAAAAAAATTCCTCACATGGAAATGGGAAAAGCTGGTTTTTTTTTGAATTTATAAATTTTCAAGTGAAAATTACCATAGCGACCCGGCACTTTTTTTGACTTTTCTCTGGAAACAACATAAGAAATCCTCTCCTTTTTCGTCAATATATATATGCGTACTAACGGAGTTTCGTAATAAACATTTTTTTTTCAAGTCGTGTTGAAATTTTTTTTTTTCTGTACTTCGCTAATAGGATGAAAAGTCTTGTTTAAAGGTATAGGGGCAGTAAAAAACGGGGTTTCAGGTGAAAGCTGTATCTTGTATAGTTTTCCTTTGCGAATCGAATGGTGTACTCAAAAAAGCTCAGATATGAATACTTTTGAAGAAAAACGCGTTTTTATTTTCCCGCTTTTAATTTTGAAAAATCCTTTGAATCGGTGTACGGACAACTGTTTACAGTAGACGTGTACGCAATCTTGCGGACGTGTCATTAGACTTGCATTTTGCAAAAATAATCGGATAACTGCTTCAAATCAAAGGTTTCTTCTCTAAAAAATCACCAAAGCGAACAAAAATTACACACCAGAGTGTTCCAAAAGAGACAGCGGCAAGCGAAAAAAAAAAGGTCGTCCCAATGGGGCGAAAACGCGAGTTTTTTCTAACGCAACGCGGTGCGGCGCGTGTCACTCCCACAAAATTTCACGGTTTTTTCTCCTTTTCTTACGTATTTTACCATTCTTTCGTATTTTTTCACATCGTATGTGTTCTTAAAACGTGTTCATCGCGTTTTCCAAAGATTTGAAGTGATTTTCGATTGTTTTCGTCACAGAATTTTGCATTAAAATGACATTTTTGATGACAACTTATTTCTCATAAGATATTTCGTTTGTTTTTTTGTTTTAGAATTTTCAAATGGACTTTCTTAAGAGAAACGCTTTGAGATTTTTCTCAAAACTTTTTTTTCGAGGCAGTATTCGACGAATTTATTCTTGAAAAATGTCATTTTGGGTGACAACTTTATTCGTACAAGCTATATTTGTTTTTGTTTTAAAACGTTCAAATGGTTTTTTTCTTAAGAGAAGCGCTTTGAGCTCTTTCTCAATTTTCCCTTTGGAAGTTCGATTTGACGATTTTTTTCTTAAAAAACGACATTTTGGGAGATATTTTGTTTTGCAAAAACTTTTTCGTCTTTTTTTTCATTTAAATTTGTTCGTTATAATTTAATACACATTAAAAATCTTTGAAAACTTGCGAAAACCTAGGAAAAACATCATTTAATGGTCTTTTTACAACCACTAAATCCACAAAACTTGACCCTCATCCCCGCGCCCCTATTGCAATAAACCGTGCCGCTGTTGCAGTAAGCCACGCCTACTGACCACAGCTGCCGCTCGTTTGGGAGCACTGTGCACACCGATTTGAAAGGGAACACAAAATATCGCTATCCCAATGAATTTTTCAAAATGTTTTATTTCTCACACACAAGTACTAAATTTCACGAAATAGAAGTAGGGAGAGTTTGGGAACATATGTGTCGGAACTTGTGGTGATGGAGAGAAAAAGGACTCGCGGTCGTGTTAACCCCCCCACTTGAGTAAATTGGAATAACCATGAAGTTATTCTTTTTAGATGTCGATTATGTAGCTTTCATATTTTTTTGTTGGATCAAGTGTGTTTAGTTCTGTAATGTTGTTTTCAAACCATTTCTCAAGTTTAGATCTGAACTTATTTTTTTCATACTCAAATACTATGTTTTTATCCATGTGATTCCAATGATTGTAAACTCTTTGATTAATGAACCGGTAGTGTATGTCAGAAAGTAGAGGCCGCTCTATTTTGAGACCATTTCCTCGCAGTTGATTCGATCTACTTGTTGTATTTTGTAAAGGGATTGGAGATGGGCACCAATATTATCCGTAAATGAAATTGTGAGCAGCAGTTATGTCTTTCTTTAGACGTCTTTGCCAAAGGGTGTTTAGTCCGAGACGTTGAAGTCTTTCTTTGTAATTCATTTTAGGGAAAAGTCTTTTAGTAAACTTCCTTTGAACTGATTCCAATCTATCGATATCTGTTCTTGTTAGAGTAGGGACCGCAGGCCAATTTCCAAAGTCAGTGATATAAAGTTGAAACCTATATGAAAAGAAAGCTGATGGCAATCGAGAGCTAACTGCGAAACCAGAAAAGAAAAATATGAAAAATGAAAAAAGTTATAAGCAAAAAAGTGGCGAAATCGGGGGAACCATTTTTGTGTAGAAACTTTCGTCAGGGTCGCAGGAAAAGGGGCGTGTTTATAGATGCCGCGCGCTCCTTACATTCTACTTCTGATAGTCTTCTGTGTTTTCGTCATTTTGTACTCTTCGAATAATGAAAATTCAAATCAACCTGTTAAAGAATGTGAGTTTTTTCTTCTATATTTCTTCGTGAAAATGAAATTTCAGCAATAGTTAAAAGAGTGAAACCAACGAGGGTACGGGAAAAAACCAAAGAAATACCAAAACGAAAAAACGCCGAACTGGAATATATCAAAAAGGTCGCATACCAGGCGACAAATAACGTTGGCCGAGCTGTGAGTTTTTGATAATTTATTCGATTTTTCTTTTCTAAACATCAGAAAAAAATGTATTAGGATTCTATAAAAGCAACAATTGCAAAGATATTTTTTTGGCGAAAAAAATGGTGGAAAAAAATAATCCCCACTAGGAGCGAAATTTCACTTTTTGCGCTATGGAAATTTTTTTGGAAATTTCGACATTGAGGCGTCTGAATAATCAGTGACCATGAGACATTCAAAAATTGTATCTGGTACATCAAAAAAACTAATTTTATAAAAAAACTTCTCAGCTCAAAAAAGTCTATTGACCTTCCCCGCAAAATCCGGTTTTTTTGGATTTTTGAACATTTTTGATCATAAATCGTGGTAAACGTTACAAATGTGTACACAAACCATTCAAAAACTTTCCATTTTCCAGAAAAAAATTTCAACTTATCAGAAAAAAATCTGAGCGAAAAAAATAAAAAGAACCTGAGCTGAATTCTGGCTACAATTTTTTATGTAAAAAATAGAAAATCTCCATTTTTCGAAAAACTCTCATGACGATTAAGCAGTTGGGGCTAAAAAGGGGCCTCATCGAGTGTGCCCATATTAAACCCGTAAAAGCACAGCTGGGAGGGCTTTTTGCATTTTACCACAGCTGAGGCACCCTTTTGGCTCAGTGGGTCTCAGATTTTCGGAATAAACCCAGCTGGACCAGCCATTTCTTTTTCAATCCGATGTTCCCCCGTTTTAGCGCACTTAGGAGCTCCAGAGTGTCCCCTACAGAGGTTAGGGGATGAACAATCCCTATAGGGGACTATAAAGTGCTCCCTATAGAGGTGAAATGCAGTAGAGGGTAGAGTCTGACCCTGAGCCCTTAAAGCTCAAGTGGTCCTTACAGGGGTCTTCAGGTTATTTTTTATGATTTGAAGATTAAAATGACTAATTCAATAAAACTTGATAGATTCAATCTCTGTTGATATTTTTCAATACAAAAAAAGATGATTTATTGTATTTTTTGCATAGAAATTCTTCTTATAATGGGAGTCATAACAATAGTCGGCTAGCCGGTCCCCTATAGGGGCCACTTTTGCAAGCTTCAGTGACCCCTCTAGGGGTTGCTGAGGTGGTCTCGAGATGGGAGTCTCCAGGGGGCCCTTATATTGCCCCTATAGCGGCCACTCTGGGGGGTCCGGTCCGCCTTTGAATAATCTACACTTGAATATTTTTCAAACTTTCAAAAATATTCAAAATCAAATATATCGCAGCACGGTTCGAGACAGAAAAACCCGCCTTTGAATAATCTACACTTGAAACTTGCCTAAAACTATTTTCAACAACTCCAAAACTAATCATATCAAAAAGTCGCAGCACCATTCGAGGCAGCAAAACCAGCCCTACTCGGCCTTTGAATTCGACGACTACGTCATCGTGACGTCATCGATCTCGAAAAGTATCGGTTCGGGGGTCTTTTGCCGGTACCTCGACGAGAACGGGAAAGAGATGGGAAAACCGTTCCCGAGCATCGTTTTCCCGATTTTCACGGTTTGGTGCGAGAAAAGGAGCGAATTCGCTTCGATATCGATTACTGATGAGGAAAATCAACCAATCAAAAATGGGATTGTGCCGATTTTGAGAAATTTGGAAGGTCAGTTGGGCTTTTTTTTCAAATTAAAGTTAGAAAGATGGCCTTAAGAGTTTGTCTATGAGTAGTTGGTTTGTGTAGTTTGGTTGAAATTGAACATTTTGGAGGGAAAAACATTGTTTTTTTTTTTTTTTTGAAATTCCAACAATCATGGTTATTGAAAAACCGCCTCACAGTCAGAAACTACCTAAATTTTTCGAGTTAAAAAAAATTAGATCAAACTTCATAGTATGTACAATATTTCTCATAGAAAACTATCCATTAGGCTTGAATTTTTTCGATTTTTTTGAGTCAGAAAAAAATAGTTTTTTTCAATTTCACAATTTTTTTAACATGGGGACTGTGCCGGTTTTGAGGAATTTGGAAGGTCAGTTGGCTTTTTTTTTTCAAATTAAAGTTGGAAAAATGGCCTTAAGAGTTTATCTATGAGTATTTTACTTGTGTAGTTTGGTTAAGTTTGAAATTTTTTTGAAGGAAAAATAGTTTTTTTGAAATTCTACTAACAATCATGGTTATTCAAAGCCACACCTCAAAAAAACTCATTTTCCAAGATTAAAAATTTAGATCAAACTTCATAGTATGTACAATATTTCACATAGAAACCTATCTATTAGGCTTGAATTTTTTTCCGATTTTGCTGACCAGTGAGTCAGAAAAAAATTTATGATTTTTTTGAAAAAAAAGTTTTTTCTTCAAGCTCTGATGATCATGGAGATTCAGAACAGCCTCAGAAACCGTCTAAATTTTCAAGATTTCAAAAATAAAATTTAGACCAAATCTTATAAGATCTACAATGTTTCATCGAGATCATTATTCAAATTTTACATTTGTTTAAAAAAAGCTTTTTTTCAAATTTTATTAGTCATGGTTATTCAAAAAAATCTCCATTGAGATTTTACAATCAATGTAAAATTTGTCCGATTTAGTTTATTTTGAAAAAAATATCCTTTTTCCAAGTTCCAGACGAGAAAAAACCTTTTTTTAAAGCAGTAGATAGTGATGGAGATTCCCGATTTTTTTTTCTAAGCTTTTTGTAAAATTCCTCGATTCAGAACCAGCTCACGAGCTGTCCTTCTGTATCGCTCCGATCTATGGAAAAGAGCCAAAATGGCTTCAAATCGCGGAACTTTTCGAGCACTACAAGTTGCAAGTGAGTTTTTTAGTGATCGGACCTCAGAAAAATCGCAAAAATCCAGGAAAAATATGATCGTTACAAATCCTCTATAACAGCCAGAAAATCTCTGAAAATTTCCAGGGAGTCACCCGATTTTTCGTCTACATCCGGGAAATGTCCGACTACGATCAGAAAATGATCGATTCCTATGTTTCCAGTGGAGAAGCCGAAATTATTTTGGTTCCTCCAACCGTTCCTGACGTCATCGCTCAACAATTGATGGGCGTTTCGGTTCGTTTTTTTTTGACTTGTCTGCGCCCTCTTTTCTCTCAGCTCTCTTATAGGAATGATGGGAGAGTCGGTCTTTACGGACTGTGATTCGTTATAGCTTCTTTTCAAAATTTTCGAAGGCTTCTATTTTTCATTTATTCACTACAGTAAAAAAACAAAAAAACTTTCGAATGCGTCAAATTTTTCAGTGTGAAAAAAGAGAAGATTTTCGGACTTTGCCAATAAAATTCGAGTAAAAATTGTGTGAGAGAACTTAAAATTGCGATATTTTAGGCGTAAAATGGGGTTTCGACAAGATTTGAGGACGCTTTTGAACAAAAATGAGACATTTTGAAGGAAAAAAAACACGATTTTCCGAAAATTTAATGACCTGACCTTGCAAAATCAGACCTCGTAACTATTAAAATCCAAAGAAACATGTACTTTTGAACCATTACATCTCAAAACTGCAAAAAATAAAGCTGAGAGATTGAGAGAGCGCAGACAAGTCATAAAATTTCCCTTCTCTTAATTTTTCTCGAATTCTAGGATTGCTTGGCAAGAACTAAAAAATTCTCGAAATGGTCAATATTTGCTGATATTGATGAACGACTGATGATGACAGATGAAAAAATGACAATTGCTCAATATTTGAGGTGACTTTTTGAAATTCTGGTCGCACTCAGAATGGCTCAAAGCGTCGCGGTCGCGCTGCGTTTTTTTAGAAAATACATGGAGTTTCAATAACGATACTCACCTTAAAATCGGCTCGGAGAAAATCTATGCCTCATGATGCAATTGAGCACAAGTCGTTTCCGGTCGGGCGCAAAAACGCGTTGAGCCGCGGTCCTGAAATACACCATGTGATATGATTTTCAGTGGAATCGACGACGAATCCATTGGAGCCGTAGCTTTCCCACAACGTTGGATCATGAAGCGAGAAGTTTTGCCACCGAAGTTTATTGATGATGATCAGGTATTCCCCCTATCCCTATTTTTAAATGATCACTTAAGGGCTAAATGCCAATTTTTAAAAGCTTTAATCCTTCAGCTAGTTTCAAATTTCCATAAAAAAAAGTCTCAAGCTCTGACATCTTTACGGCCTCTTACCCTTCTCTTACGTGCTTTGTTCATATTATTGGCGAGATAGAAGAGAGCGCAGACAGGTCAGAATGTTCGAAGTCTTGACGAGCTCTGTTAACTCTTCCCTTTTTTTTCTCTCATATTCATGTGCTTTTTTATGTTCCTGTGATGACGTCATAGGTGAGATAGAAGAGAGCGCAGACAGGTCAGAACGGTTGAAATCCTGACGAGCTCTGATAACTCTCCTCTTTCTTATCCTTCTCTCATTTTTACGTGGTTTTTCATTTCATAGGTGAGATAGAAGAGAGCGCAGACAGGTCAGACTTTTTGAAGTCCTGAAGAGCTCTGATAACTCTTCTCTTTTTTTTCTCTCATATTCATGTGCTTTTTATGTTCCTGTGATGACGTCATAGGTGAGATAGAAGAGAGCGCAGACAGGTCAGAATGTTCGAAGTCTTGACAAGCTCTGATAACTCTCTTCTCTCTTATCTTTTTCTCATGTTTACTTGCTTCGTTCATATCATGAGTGAGATAGAAGAGAGCGCTGACAGGTCAGATTTTTCGAGATCCTGACAAATGGACTATAACTCTTCCCAACGATTTAAACTAGTGAACTATTAAATTCTTACTATTTTTTTATTTTCTATATATATAGTCTGTTCATTTGAATGTCAAGTAGAATGACGTCATTCGATAAACACTCTTCAAAGGGCTCGCTCTCTCATTGGCTCATGACGTCATTTGGGGCGGAGATTTAGCGACGACTTGACATTCAAAATCTGAACAGACTATAATATATCAGAGATACATAACTTTGAAATTTTTGACGAGTGAATTTCGACATTTTCATGTTTAAAGATGACACCTTGAACTTATAAAATCCTAGGTCCTCAAAAACATGCCGACCCAAAGATGGACCGAAACATCATCCGCAGCCGTCAAACCCCATCCAGCTTGTAGAGATCAAAAGAATTGTTGGGGGAAAAATATTGTCAGGCCGGAAAAGGTAGGATACATTTTTCCCGTTTTTAAAACCCATAGAACCACTTGAAAGGTTCAAAAACCATTACTTTGTTGATTTTGATAAGGAAAGCGCGATGAGTTTACGGAAACTTTGCACTAAGGTTCCTCAAGAGACCCATTTTCCAAAACTTAGAGAAAAAATTCAAAAGGAAATTTTCCATCTGAACTTTCATTACTAGCACCATGGTGCAACGACAAGAGCGAATTTTCCATTTGCGGGGAGTACTGTATGCGGACATGCGCATTGCGTGCATACACTTTGCGTTTTTACAAAAATTTCCCCACAAATGGAAAACTCGCTCTTGTCGTAGCACCAGCACCATTGATGATACCTTACTTTCCCACATTTGCGCCCGACTCTAAACGACTTCTTACAAATTATGAAAAATGCCTAATCCCACTTTAACCTGAATCCTTCAGGTAATGTCAATGCTGGTCCACGAGGTCGACATCTTTTCCCCGGGTGCCAAGGAAAGATTCTTGCAACCGACCGTCGGCTACATTCGTCACTACCGTGATGTTCACATGCAAGATTGGGAGTCGAATAATATGAAACTGATGAAACAATTCGGCTCATTTTCCAACACCACCTATCCAGAAACTTATGGTGAACCTCTACGTAAGAATGTACTTGCCAGGATTCATGCCGTTTATGGCAAATGATAACTTGTTATTGCTCATTTTAGTCAGCAATGTGAGTATTTAGTAAGAGTAGTCGTAGATCGGTCTTTACTTAAAGCAGATATATTCTAGTTCTCAAGTGGGAAATCTATTGCCTTATTAGAAACACGATGTCATATTCCTAATTATTGCTCATCTTAGAACACCTTTTCAATTTTTTATCCTTCTACAGTGCCTCTTTGTCATCTATGACATCATGTTTATTGATCATGTTAGAACTACTTTAATTTATTTTGCGCATGTTATCGTTTTTTTTCTGTCAGCGGGCTATTCAAGTACTGGTTTTGCGTATAACAAGGCGATTACTTTTTTTTCCTCCTTTTGCTCATTATTGCTCATCATAACCCTTTCGTATGTATCATACTTATTTTTCACTGGTAAAATGTTTTTTGACATTTTGTTCGCATTTTTGAGAAAAAAGCGGTGGGAAGGTTTATTTGGAGCACTTGGCGGGGTTTCAAGGGTTCTCATATCGCGTTTCAACAATATCTTGAAGTAATACGTAACAAAGTCTATTCTCATTTCTTCATGATTTTATCCATAATATTTTTATTTTCTGAGATTCCGTCAATTCTGGCAGCACCTGAGATCGTCGATCAAAATCCAAGTTGGTGATTTTCTTGGACTAAAATGGCAAAATTCAAGTTTCACATTTTAGAACCGCTTTGGAAGCTTTTTCAAGGCGTATTATTTTAACCCACTTCATTTCCCTTCTTTCCATTTCAAAACCCGTTTCCAGAAGGCTACAACGACTTCTTCAGTCATCAAGACCGACTTTCCAACTTACTATTCGCTAATTATAATCGTCAAGTGTCACCAGTCTATACTCTATATGAATTACTCACCTACAACTCTTCAAACCTTCCCGAAAAACCAAAAAGATTCCCAATTGAAATAAAGCTCTACTATTTGAAGGTGGCCGATGTGGTGGGAACAAAATTTCGAGCCATAAAAGGAAAAATGAAAATTTTAGGACGTTCCTGAAGAGAAAGTGACGATGGCTTTGGAATTGGTTGTGGTGAGTGAATGATTAAAGGCCGCATTTGGAATGGCTCAAATTTTGGATTTTTTTTTTTACATGAATCCCGGCGTTTAGAATGGCTCAGAAAGTTGCGGTGGCCTCAAACCGCGTCCGACTTTTAACGACTTACGCACGGGGTTATTTCCCAGCCGCTAAATACTTCCAAGTTCGCTGTAGACTTGAACTCAACCGTGGCGCGACCGCAGCGCCCAAGCCATTCCCAGTGCGACCACGGCATTTCCAAGGTACAAAAAAAAGTGAAACTCATCCCTACATTTGAAGTTTGTACATTCCGTAGATGCTTGATTTTGAAGTCGTTTTGAGCCATTCCAAGTGCGGCCACATTCAAGCCGTCTTTCAACTTCCTATTCATTTCAGAACTGGATTGAGCCTCGACTTTCATGGAATCCGGCCGATTTCGGTCACATCGAGTGGTTTTACGCAAATGAAGACATTCTCTGGACTCCGCCTTTAGTTGCCTACGGAGCGTAAGAGAAAATTAGGAAAATTTATCCTTTAAGAAATTTTCAGACATCAGATGCAGGACTTCCGGGAGAACAGCCAAAAAATCGCCATGGTAAATAATCAATGGAGCGCAGTAGCTCAGAGCCTTTCTTACCTTTTCATTTTCCTAACTAATCAATTTTTTGAAGGTAAACTACGACGGGAGCATCTCATCCTACATACCGCTGAAATTTTCGACAGTTTGTGCCATGGATGTCGGATTATTCCCATTCGACATTCAACATTGTAAAGTTCGGCTGGAAAGTCCCTATTTCTATTGGTATGAGATCGAGTTGAAGACGGGAATCTTCTCCGGAATCGACAGCAGTCTTTTGCCGGTTTTGGTGAGTTTTTCCCATTGGAATGGCTTGGCAAAAAGTCCAATTTCAGGGCAACTCCGAATGGGTCGTAGTAAATCTGAGCACTACAGTTGAGCTTCAAGCTTTCGCTGAGAGGGACGGGGCTTCGGAAATAGTCCTATCTTCCCTTTTTCTTTACAATGCAAACATTTTTCAGGCAATTTTCGCAGTGGCCATGAGCCGAAATTCCGGTTTCTACGTTTACATGTTCATCGTTCCGGCTTACATTATCAATGGCGTATCATTGTGTGGGATTTTCCTAACTGATGCTGATAGAATGTCGAGGGTGGGTTTGGCTTATGGTAGCACGTAGAATGGCTCAACCGACTCAAAACGACTTGCGCTATGGGGTGTAGAAAATCCTTGCGACATGTTAGACTTCTCTAGTCGCCAATTAGACTTTTTCAGTCAACTACAAATTTTCAACGTTTAATTTCTCATGTTTCACAGAGACGGGGGTTCTCTTCTTTTACTGTATCATTACTAACTTATTTTTTTCTTTGCGGATGAAATATATTTTTATCATCATTAATGACCTCCTCTCCACCTCAACTTTGAAAAAAGTGACATCTTTGAATTTTCTTTCCTTGGCAACCCTCTCATGTTTACCTGCTACTTCCATATTATTCTGACCTAACCTGTGAGAGAAAAGAGGCCGCAGACAGGCCAGACTGTTACGCGTATGGCGGAGAACTACAGTACACTTCGATTCTTGAGCCATAACCCCGATGCAGTCCGCAGTTTTTTTAAGGAGTTTTTTTTAGCTCACCGTTGGGCTGACCACAATTATGACTCTCACACTTATCCAAGGAATGATTGCTGACAAAATTCCGAAGACTCAGCGGATTCCACTTTTGGGTAAGTCAAAAAGAATTTTTTTTTCCAGTTATCAAGAAAATACCATCGTTCCTTCAGTACCAAGGGAAAAATCATTGGTTCCTTGTTCGTACTTAATCTACATCCCTGATGTTGATGTCTGTGAACAAACTAATATTGAGAAATAAATTAAAAATCTCCCAATTCGATTCCAGGACTCTACATCCTCGTCAACTTGGCCATTACTCTATTCGCAGTCCTCGTCGCCACATTCACTCCAACTGTCGCAAGATATATCAAGCTTTTCATCCTGTCCAAGGGCAAAAAGTAAGATCATCCCAATACAAAACCTTTCAAAAAAACTTTCAGACCCAACAAGTTTTTCCAATTCTGGCTACGAGAAGCCGTCTTTCTCCGCCTTTTCCTTCTCATTATGGAAACTGTAAATTCGGTCAACTTTTTCATCTTCATGCAGTATAATCGGTCACATCAATTGTAAATTTTCCAGCGAGTTTTCGTGATTTTTAATAAAACCATTAGTGCAAAACAATTGGGACGCGCCGTAGCGTGCCTGTCTACGGTCCACAGGGTCACAAGTTCGATCCTAGCTCCGACCCAACCAAGGGGTTTAAGAAATGTTGGTAGTGGGAAACGACGGCTTCATAATCCCCAGCCGTCACACAGAAGGACGGATATGTCACTCGAGCCAGTCCACTGATTATCAGGATAGGACCTCGGCTAATCGACTTGAGGCGCCGACGCCGCTCAAGCGGTACAAAGGCGTAGGAAGAAGAAGAAGAAGATTAGTGCAAAACAACAATAAGTTCAAGAAAAATGAAAAATTTTCTTGTATATACTCTCATTCAAAGTCGCCAGAATCCCGATTGAATTTTTTTTCTAACGTTGAAGTATAAACCGCGTTTTGAAACGTATAAAATCCGTCTTTTATTTACCAAATGACCCGGCTTTTTTTGCCATTGAAGTTTTAAGATCCGAATTTTTTTAATGCTATGCCCTACTGTAAGTGACAAAAGAGTAATGTGACAAACCCTTGGAACATTTTTGAAGATAAATTTCCTTCAAGAAACTTGATTAAATTCATTTTTGGTGCGATCACACAACCATGAAAAGCAAGACAATATTCATCCGGATGCGAAAATCCGATGGAAAGACATCTCGGCGTAGAAAGAGCTTTGATTCCTGAAAAATCAAAGTACGAAAATTATTGTTTCGGAGTTGAGACATATGAAGCTTTTGAGTTCGCAAAATACATGATTAATGGAAAAAAACACAGTTCTTGTTGGAGCATTTTTTCAAAATGAGGATGATGTCTTTTCATTAAAATCTCTACAGCACTTTATTCTTCTCATCTGAAAGTGTCAACGAATTCCGACGATTCATACACCAGACATGGAATAATTTCCATGCCGACGTTCGAAACACCACTTGGAAACACATAAAACTGTCCTGTCAGGAAATTCAATCCGAACCCGATGGCTCGGTGTTTCTTCGGCTTTCTGGTTCTTCTGATGTTTCAAGTTTTGGAATTGAACTCTGCTCCTTACGCCCTTATTACTGCAGTTTATACAAACACTAGCGGAGCTACGCCGAATTCAAGTCTCAGTACTTCTGAAGACTGCAAAAGTTATTGCGATGTCAGAAGATACTGTTGGGTGAGCTCATAATTTTTTTCCGATCGGTCCCAGAAACTAGTGAGTCCTGAGTATGTATAGAGGTTCCGTGAATGCTTTAAAATATTTATAGCCTATTCCAAGCTTCACATCAAAACAATTTCCTTGTCAGCGTGATTCATTTTGTACTTTAACATGTAAGAAGCATTCTGGCCCATTTCAGGTTAAAAAATGGAGTTCCTTTTTTTAAGGGTTTTTAATAATTTATTGACAGATCAGCGTGAACCCTAACGAGTTCACTTGGATCTAGAATTTGAGAGAATACATTATACAGTTATACATCATTTGAGTCGTGGAGGAATAGACAAGAAGATCTCGTGCAATGGTAGATTGACCAGTAAGTTTTTTTAAAGACTTGGGGGTGGTGGCTGAATTGAAATTTGGAAGTGAGTTTGTTCCAAGTAGGAATTGTTTTAAAGAAAAAAATCATTAGAAAACTGACCTTGAGAACGCAGTCGAAGTGGATTTCGCCTTAAATTGGACCTGAGGGCAAAAAAAGTTCGAACTGGGGAAAAATGATCGATACCGAAGACAATTTTATGAAGGGTCAGAATGTCAGATATAGCTCGTCTGAGGTAAAGTGGAGAGATATCAAATTGTTCAAGGCGATCAGAGTAAGATTCAAAGGATAAGTTGGACCTAATAAAAATTTTACGAGAAAAAATTCTGAGAGGAGATTCCAGTTTGTAGCAGAGATCAGAGTTAAGGGGAGGGTTAAAAACTTCGGAGCAGTATTCTAGAATAGGCCTTACATAGGTGTTAAAAATTTTGAACAATAGATCAGGTGATTTGGAACGAAAACAGTTGAGTATCTGATTGGAACGAAGGGTTGCTAAAGAAACGATATTGTTAATGTGAGGAGCGAGAGTTAGTTTATCATCGATAAGAACACCTAGATCACGGATAATGGTTTTTCTGGGAATAGACAGACCATTGATTAAATAAGTTGTTTTGGGATTGAGGGGACCAAGGTTGATAGCAAAAGTTTTGTGCGCAGCAAGAGGCAAGCCCCAAATGGAAGACCATTCAAATATGGAATTAATACTACGTTGGAGAGATTCAGGGTTAGAACTGTAAATTTTTATATCATCAGCGAACAGAGAGATTGAGGTTTCATGGTCAATGTAGTTAACAATATCATTGATGAAAAATTAGAAAAAAAGCAAAGGACCAGATACAGTTCCTTGAAGGACACCGGAAGTATTGAGATAAGTAAGAGAAGAACGAGATCCATCGATCAGAACATTAGAAACACGCTCAGATAAGAAGTTTTTTTGTACCATCGAACAACGTTTTCGTCAAGACCAAAGTTCTTGAGCTTATGAACAAGCAGAGAATGATTTACCTTATCAAAAAGCCTTGGCAAAGTCAAAAATAAACAACATCGACAAATTTTTTTCGAGGCGATAGATTTTTTTGCCAAGAGGAGAGGCAAGATAGAAGGTTAAGCTTGCAAGATCGTTTGTTTAAAAAACCAAACTGAGATTCAGAAAACAATGAGGAGAATCTCCGGCGAATCATATCACAAATAATCCTTTCAAAGACCCGGGACAAAGGATGTGTCAAGGATATAGGGCGGTAGTTTGACGGATCTGAAGTTTTTTTCCACGTTTGAAAAATAGGAATTACCGTGGTAGATTTCCAGGAGGGTGGAATGAAACCGGAATAAAAAAAGATTCGTTAAACAGAATAGACAGAGGAATAGAAATAGATGTAGAGCACCTTTTTTTAAAAACAAGTTGATTGATTAAGTCAGGCGAAAAAAACCGCATTTGGGAGGTAAAAGCTATCAGAGTTTTATAAACAAGTTCAGGAGTGAACGAAATAGAGCAGTTAGTGGCTTTTTGGGGGAAGGGAAAATGGGCATCAAATCGTAAACTTCATCAGAAAAAAATTTGTGCTAAAAAAATTTGAGCAAAAAAACATCTGCTTTTGAGGAGCTTTCAGAAATAAGGGAATTGTTGTAAGTAATGTTGGGGATGGAAGAACAACATTTGAGTTTTTTGGAGATATATTTGGAAAGTTGAACATGGTTGAAATTGTTAGCAATGTAAGTTTCCTGTGCCAGGGAGATGGAGGAGGCACAAGCTTTGATTTTTTTATACAGTAGATTGAATTGGAGGCGAGTAGAATTATTGAAAAGATTAGCACGAATGAGACTGGCTCTTTTTTTTTTTTCCTTGCAAGGATCTTGAATTTCTACGTTCTGAGGAGAACTCAGTTTCCTTTTTCTCTACAAGATAACATTATTGTTCCAAAGTCTACTGAGAATATTATAGTTACAAAATACCCTTCAGGGTTTTTCAATGACACCCGTGTGCACCTGGTTCAACGTCACACCTCAAGACGTTACCGTAACTATTCAAAATGATGGAAGCACCGTCTGGTTGAAAATTTACAACTTGACAACATGTCCTGAAACCGTTCAAGGCCTCAACATGGTTTCAGTGACTTGGAAAACAAGAGAAAATTTTAAAACTCAGACTTGGTCGAGAGATTATTGCCCAAGTACGACGTGTGATACCTATGGACCGGTATTACAATGGATGATTTTCGTCAATGGGAACACTTACAGGTTGGATTACATTGGTCTTTCGAAAAACGGATTTTCTTTGTCACCCTTATAGGAGATATAGTCTGTGTGCCACGACTTGAAATTTCACCGAACGACGTTCCGCTGCATACGGTCGCGAAGCGTCTTTGCCTTTGCGGATCTAGGTCACCCTTCCAGACTATTTTTATTGCTGATAGATGGATTGTTCCACTGCGAGTATTGGAATGAAAAAAAAAAATTGAAAGCGCGACCGAGATTCGCAAAGGCGCCCGGCGGAACAACGGAATGTTGTTCGGTGAAATTTCAAGTCGTGGTACACAGACTATAATGACATGGAAAGTACACTATGCGTTAGGTAATTTTTTTGATAGTGGCCATAATATTCTTTATTTACCAGATGAATATCCTGAAACTCCTGCACAGCTTTCACCCTTTCTAAACCCGAAAAACCCGTTAAAAAGCTATTTATCCAACTTTGAGCCCTCCTTTCTCCCTCACTAGAAATTATTGTAGGTTGAGACTTTTTTGACAATAACTTGGTACATCCAGTGAAAATTCTGATCAATTTCTAGGAATTTCCTAAGCAGAAATCGAAGTGACGTTCCTGGTCAGGAAAGGTAGACGGCCATTAGAAATGGTCTGCCTTGGGAGGTTCTTTTTGATGAAGACTTTGAAAAAACAAAACCGGAAAATTTTTTCAAAGACAACCTATATTTAGCACAATCACGCAAAGATACTCGAACTCAACGTGTTCGGCCGAATGCGAAACTCCGAATGATCATTGCCCCGGGGCATTGGGAACCCTTTTGGATGGAACGGAGGATGACGAGTATTATTGTATCAAGCCGCCTGGTTTCGGCTGATAAAACTTTTTCCATGTTATTTCCCTTTTCTTCCCCTTTTCTGTACCTTTTGTCAAAAAATATCTTCAAGGTTTACGATAAAGTCTACCAGAATACGCTTTCAGCAACAAGGGAACTTTTGGTTTCCGGTTGAAATATTGATAAAGCTTGCTTGGCATGTACTTTAGGTCACCCTGATTCCGAAAGAAGGAAAAAGTTCTGCCTTTCTGTCAATTCATGACTCCCCAAAAGCCTCAAAATACGCATTTTTGTCAAAATTTGCAAAAGTCTGTTTGCCACGACTTGAAATTTCACGGAACGACATTCCGCTGTGCCGCTGCGCGCTTTTGCGGATCTTAGTCGCGCTTTTAACTTTTTAATTTTTTTTATTAAGGTGCTCTACTTTCATGTGCTCCCACACCAATAAAAATCAATTGAAAGCGGGACCTAGATCCGGAAGACGCACGCAGCGGAACAGCGGAATGCCGTTCGGTGATTTTCAAGTCGTGGCACACAGACTATACCATATTAGAAAAAAAACTCTACATCTTTCAATTCTATGTATACTAGCTGTCAAAGTTTCAATTAATTCAAAAGATTCATACATCAGAAATACTATTTTCCCATGCCAACGCCTCTTGGAAACGCATTTTTTTCAATCTAGATAGTTTTTTTCTTCCATATTCACACTTCACACATCATAAAACGTCCAGGAAAATACGGAGTTTTTTTTTTCGAATAATGGCTATAATTTTTTTGTGTGAGCCCAACAAAGATCTCCTTCTTCTTTTAACGCCTTCTTAATGCTAGAGTGGCGTCGGCGCTTCAAGACAATGAGACAAGGTCTTATACTGATATCATTGATATTCGGTGGTATGAAAAAAACACCAGCGAAAAATCAAACGGCGATTTTTCCGATTTTTTCATATCGCTAGGGAACTTTCCGACGGCCACCTTTCCGACGAAATTTTTTTCGACTTTTTTTCTCGATAAAATCTTCGTTTTAAAACTTCCTATATAAAGTAAGTAGTTGGTTCATGATTAAAACACAAAGAAATAGGAAAAAAAAATGTTTATAGATGTTTTATAAACATAGAAACATAAGGGAAAAAAGTCGGAAAGGTGGCCGTCGGAAAGTTCACTAGCGATATGAAAAAATCGGAAAAGTCGTCTTTTGAATTTTCGCTGGTGTTCTTTTCATACCACCTGATATTCAGCGGCACTATTATCCTTCCTTGTGTTCGTCTCTCACATATCCTCAACTGTGTGCAATGACTGGATCTTGGATTATCGAACCTTCGTTTCCACTACCAAAATTCTCGAACCCTCTCAGTTGGGTCGCAACGGGATCGATCATGTGACTCTTTGGATCGTAGACAAGCACATATCCTGTTGCGCTACGGCTCGCTTCAGCTTAAAAAAGATGATGATAATTTCAGTGAACAACCAGACTTTTTTTTTGAATTCTGAAGCCAGACTTTTGCCTACTCCCTTGAACGAGCTCCTCAATTCCGCATGACTGACTTCCAGACCAATTCATCGTCTCTCAAATTCAATTTTCCCTTGGCAGCCTCTTCAAAACGCATGAAACTGTTATTTGAAAGCTCCTTCTTCATCGGATTATGCGGACCTCCTGGTTCTTTTCTGTTTCCTTAGTGTCTCTTTTTCTAAATTGTGATTCTGCTTTTTACGTCGTGATAAAAGGGACTTTCACTGGTGTCTCTGTTGAGTCTCAATACTCGGTTGAGTCTGAAAGCGACTGCAAGGCTTTGTGTGAGACTAAAAGAGGATGTTGGGTGAGTTTCCGAAATGAAATCAAGTTTGAAATATTTTATAAGCAATATTCTCTTTGATGATATAGAAGAAGATATAGGGCTTCTCAATGAACACCGTCTGCAACTTGTTCAACGCCACTACCGACAACGTCGTGATCAACAGGGATTATTCTAATGACGACATCTGGCTGATGATCAACTACAACATGACGCCATGTACATCTTTGGAAGACGTTCGATGGGTTTGGAGATTTCCCTTTTGATTTTTTTTTTGTGTCCGCAATTCAGGGATGGTCCGTGGCATACTGCCAAAGTACCACTTGTCGTGAATATTTGCCGATGTTACAATGGAAAATAGACGTCAACGGGGATACTTTCAGGTTATTTTGTTGAAATTGTTGGGGTGTGTCTGATTTGATAACAGCTTTTCAGTGCACAAAAAGCTGAGGTCAGCACAAAACGGTGCGGGGCAATATGCAGCCAACCTCCCGTTTGTGAAAATGGATACAGCAAAAATATCGATGAAGCTTACAACACATTCATGTGTTTTTCAACGTGATAATTCAAAAAATCTTTTCTTTGAGTAAATTTTTTGTTGTTGCACCTTTTTCTCCTGCTTGTTTTCTATTATAAGGAAATTTTTATTTTTCTATTTTTTTTTTTGTATACGGCTGATTCCGTGTTCAGAATGATTCCAAAAAATCCAAAATAGCCGCCAGAGAAAGAAAAAGATGACGGATTTTTGGAGAGTCAGAAAAAGTTTTGCATTCTTTTTTTGAAGACGGCTTCAGTTTTTTATTTTGAAGACGGCTCAAGTTCTTGTTCCAAAAAAACGGCCACACACGTTTAGAAAAAAGTCGAGAAAAATTTTTTTTTTCTTGAGACCGGGTTGCCATGTTTAGTCTCCCAATTTTCACCTTTTCTCTAATTTATTGCTCCGCGAGTGAAAACAAAGTAAAAAACCGAGGAGAGACTTTTTGTCTTAAAAATGCTGCCTCGCCTTTTTCTCACCGGTTTCCTAATATTATTATTTGTCAAAATTTACGATACATGGTCGTATATTATCATCACGGGAACTTTCTCCGGTTGCAGTTCTGATGCGCAATATTCAGACATTAATTCCGAAGAGGACTGCAAAAACGTTGTGCGAAAAAGAAAAAGAGGATGTTGGGTTGGTTTTTTTGAAACATTATGAGATCTCACAGGTCCCCCCATCCGGGGCTCTCCATCGGCAACTATATTGAAAACCATAATCAGGGTTTTTCCTACAACACCGCCTGCAACCTGTTCAACGCCACCACCGACAACGTCGTGGTCGACAGAGGAGATTCTGGGAGCGTCATATGGCTGATGATCAACTACAATCTGACGACGTGCGGTTCTTTGGAAAATATCGAAATGGTTTGGAAGATCCGGAACATCCTTCGAATTTTAATTTCAGCTATGGTCGGCGCCTTATTGTCAACCCATCGGTTGCGGCGCCTCAGCGCCAATGATTCAGTGGAAAATAAACGTCGAGGGGGGTAAATATAGGTGAAATGGGTTTTTCAGCTGAAATTTCATTGATTTAATTTCAGTACTGCTTGGTCAACCAACGCCTCCATTTACTGCGGCGGCGTTTGTCCTACCAATCCTCTTTGCGTGGAGGGATTCCAACTTTATCCTGACAGCAGATATCAAGATTTCATGTGCATTCGAGAAATTTCTCAGTGATCAATAAAGCTTTCTTGATAATGTTCGTATTCAACAATATTTTTCTGTCGTTAACGAATAGAGATTGAGTATGTTAATATTTCCTTAAGCCTTCGTACCTTAAGAGCGGCTTCGTCAGGTCGATGAGGACATGTCCGATCCTGATATCTGAGATAATCAGTGGACCGGCTCTAGAGACAAATTCGTCGTTGTGTATGACGGCTGGGGATTATGAAGTCGTGGTTTTCAATTACCAGCATTTCTTCAACCCTTTGGGTCGCGGTGAGATCGAACTCGTCACCCTTTGGACCGTAGACAGGTATAGAGCCTGTTGCTTTACGGCACGTCATAACTATCAATGTTGATCCTGATTAGTGAAGACAGAAAAATTAATTCACACGTGGGCAAGTTCAGAACTGAATAAGCCCAGGAAGAGAGATGGCTTCAATAAAAACTTTATGAGCAGGGTTTGAAGAATGTAATAATCCCATATTTAAAGCATTTCTAAGCTTTTACGCAAACTTGATATTGAACAAAAGAAGCTGTAACTTTTTTTTTGTTTCTATTGAATGACTTGGAAAAAGTTATGTCAACGGATACACTGTCAAGTATCTTTTCATAACTTTTTAAAACTGGTTTGAGGACACATAATGGTGTAGGATCTGATTTTTTCGCGTTTCCAACGAAGCAAGTTTCATTTTTTCTAGTTATCAATTAGAATGAAAGCGTGTTTGCATTACATCAAGAGAATCCAGCCTACTAATCGATTGATTTTTGAGCAATGATGAAAAATTACAAGACTAATACCGTAAAATAAAAAATTCATGTGATTTTCAGTTAAATCTAATCTACAAAAGATCTCCTACTATGATGAATTATTTTTTTTTCATTGCTCTTTTTCCTGTGTGATTCTTAGCTCTTGTCCCAAAAAAACTGCCATGAAAGTTTGGAAAAAGTCAAGAAAAGAAAATTTTTTTGAGACCGGGTTGCCATGTTGAGCCTCCCAATTTTTACTTTCCTTCTAATTTATTGTCACACGAGTGAAAACAACGCAAAAAATTCAAGAAAAACTTCTTTCTGCCCCTAAAAACCATGCTTCCTCGTTTTCTTCTTACTTTTTTCATATTATTATTATTTGCTAAAATTTACAATACATCGACGTATATTATCATCAAGGGGGTCTTTTCCGGTTGCAGTTCCGATGCGCAATATTCAGACATTAATTCTGAAGAGGATTGCAGAATGTTGTGCGAAAAGAAAAGAGGATGTTGGGTTGGTTTTTGGAAAATTTCGGGATTTCATTTGGAATATGACTGGATATGGAAATTACTTCATAAGGGTTTTTCTTGAATCAAAAACCTACTCTTGATTTGAAAAAAGCCTCAGGCGAGGGAAAAAAAGCTCCCAAACGGCGGGTCGCATATATGGGCCTCTTTTTTGGAAAGACTAGAAAACATATCAACGCAGGGCTTTTCTTACAACACCGTCTGCAACCTGTTCAACGCCACCACCGACAGCGTCAAGGTTGACAGGGGAGATTCCGGCGACGTCATCTGGCTGATGATCAACTACAACCTGACGAAGTGCGGTCCTTTGGAAGATATCGAAATGGTTCGTAAAATTCCGAATATTTTAACAAGGAAAGTCGTTCACTTTGCGGTCGAAAACTAAAGAGGACAAAGAAAATTTTTTACCTTCCACCACACCTTTCAAAAGCCAGCTTCAAGGCTTCTGGCAGGCGTTTTCAAATGTTTACCTTTCAGCCTTCTGCTGGTTACCTTCTCATCACCAGGTAGTTTGAAGGTTAAAAAATGAAAATACCTGACAGAAGCCTAACAGCTGGCTCCTGGAAGGTGATTAGAGATGTTGGGAAAGTATTTTGAAAGGATTTTCCCTCTTGCTGGAAAGCTTCCTAACGCCTGCCGAAAAACAGAAAGCAGAAGCTGTGTCCACAATGTCGCGTGCAAGCAACGTGTATGCAGACGACGCCGTTGCTTTGAAATCCCCAAGCAAGCAAAAAGAACGGCATCTGCATACACGTCGGTTACACGTGACGGCGCATTGCGGGCAGACGCCGATTGAGCGGCGCTTGTCCTACACTCTCCAAATCCGTAAATGTGATCCATTTTTCGACGTTGAGTCTCGAAAGTTGGGAGGTTGTAATGGTTTTGACCCACTGGTGAATCGGGAGGTCGATACAAGTAGATACCGGGTAGCAAATCAAGTCAATCGGTGGCCATTTGTATGCGACCAGGTACTATCTCTATCGTACCTGGATAGTACCTGGTTGGTATCTGGATGCTACCGGGTGGGTATCTAAATTTCGCGATTGCTACTGGCTTCCACATCGGTCGCTTATACCGTCAGTGTTTTCTTAAACGTTCTCAAGCCTTCCAGGGTCTTATTGAATAAAGCTGAAACAAAAAATAACGACCCGGGGAGCAATTTCACACTTTCCGGTAGCAAGCGCGAACGTCAGGTAGTTACTTGCATCGACCTCCGACCCAGGTATCATAGAGATAGTACCCGGTCGCATACAAACCACCGATTACCATACGCTGATTGACTTTTTTAAAAGTTGCTGCCCGGTAGCTATTTGTATTCAGCTATGCTCAAAGAATTTTCGTGTGGTTCATCAAGGGATATTCTCGCCCGTCGTTATCCTTTCCTCGTTTCCTTGTGAAATGTGAACCTCAGCTCTGGTCGACGCCTTATTGTCAACAGTACCTGACCTGCGGCTCTTCTTCACCAATGTTTCAATGGAAAATGGACGTTGATGGCATAAGATACAGGTTTTCAGACCGCTTTTGATGGGATTAGATCTTTTTAGCACAACCAAGAAGACCAACACTTCGTTCAAATGCGGCGCCATTTGCTCTTCAAGTACTCCATGCTCCAAGGGAATGCTATTATATCGGGACAAGATGTACGGAGATACTGTTTGCTTGTCCGAAAATTCTCCAGTTTTTGACTGATAATGCTTTCTTGACAAAAAAAACTAATATCATGGGGGAATGAATAGTTTGACGTTTTTGTATATGTCATAAAACCATCGTGTGTTTAATTCCGTCCATAAATAATGGAGGTCTTTCGTTTACACCACAAATATGTCTGAAAAAAAAGAATTTTGACATCTTATATAGTCGATGTGCCGGAAGTTGAAATTTCATGGAACGACACTCCACTGTTTCGATTTGCGCGGTAGCGCGCATCGTGCGAATTTGCCAACCTCGGGATTGCATTGTACAAATGTAAACGAAAGAACACAGTAAATTTCATGATCTTTTTCGAAAAGAGCGATAAAAAAGTGTGTTTTTGTTAAAGCCATGTTTTAATGTTTTCATCGTTTTTTTTTCTGTTTGTCGCAGTTTTTAATGGGTTTTTTCAGAAAGTGAGTGGCTTATAAAATGAAGATTAAAACCAAAAAAATTAGCGTGGCCGAGGTTGGCAAATTTGCACGATGCGCGCTACCGCACAAATAGAAACAGCGGAGTGTCGTTCCATGACATTTCAACTTGTGGCATATCGACTATAGGCTCAGTTTGATCCTAATCACAATATCAGTAACTTCTACCTTGACAAAGAAGTTAAATTTGTGAAATTTTGATTTTTTCGATTCGCCTGACGCTTTTAGAAGCTGTAAATTGAACGTTTTCTGCTTTCAGTTTTAAAGATGACTTTTCAAAGTTGAGAAGTATAAAATTAGGTCTGACCAATTTTGAACGTGTCCTCTTAAAAATTACTTCTTCAAGTCTAAAAATTTGTAGGATTTTTAAGGACATCATCTGAATTTCTCGAGCTGATTCATATGATATTTCAAGCTTCATACTGAAATTAGCACCCTATTGGGAACTTCAAGAAAAAATGCCTGATTTCGATTAAAACCTCAAGAAAATCAGAAAGGATCAAAGTTCTAAATTATTGAAAATGTGTGGAAGAAAACTGAAACTTGCTTTTCCAATTGTTGCGTGGGTCTAAAAGGACTATCGTGAATTTTAAAATAAGTGTAGAATTTCAGTTGAGAGCCTAAAGAGATCTCAAAAAAAAAAGAAGGGTTAGAAATCCAAAACAAAATGGAAATTTTTTCAAAGCTCTGACCTTGAAGAAGTCTACAAACTCGTATGCTACAGGTAAACATTTTGAACACCTTGATAAATGCCAAAAATCGATATATCTGCGAAAAAAATACTAAGAAACCCGGAAAGAATCAAAGTTCTTAGGATTATTTTTAAACGTGTGTCCAATGAAAATGCCGTTCAATTTTCATACAACGAGACGCTTCCATGCCAACCTTTATAAAAAAAAACGATAGACCCATTACAAGAAAACATGGAAATGCTCATTTTTTTTACAAGGCGATGCTCCAAAGCCTCTTCCTACTCCTTCTTTTTCCGATCGGCTGTGAAAACTGTGACTAACTTATCTTTTTCTCAAAATGAATTTAAGTTTCAGGTTCATATCTTTTGACCCAAGGGTATCTATCCAAGAGTACGTTGGAAAATACAACGATTTACAACGAGACCACTTGTTTGGCGTTCTGTGAGAACCGAAGAGGATGCTGGGTCTGTGGGAAAACTTTTAGTGGCCACTTTAGGGTTTTCATGTTCTAGTGGCACCTCTAGTAGTGGAACTAGTGACCACTTGATTGGCTGTAATTTAGAGTCATATTTTGAAGTGCAAGAGGTGCTACTAGGTCACTAGTAACTACTATAGTGGCCCCTAACACGCATAATAGTGACTTCTATAGACGATTCACGGCTAGCTTGGGACGCAAAAAGGCGTGGCCTGTCTGCACTCTTCACCAACCAGAGCATTGTCTCGTCTCTTTTCGTGGCAGGACCCTTTTCTCAATGGCTCAAGCTAGCCGTTAATCAGCTATATAGAGGTGGTCCTAGAGGCCAGTTCAGTGTCCTCTCCAAGTGGTCCTTGAGGAGCCTCTTAAGTTGTCCCTAGAGTTTTTTCTAGTCCTTCAAAACTCTAGTTTTTGAAATTTGAGGGTTTCACTGTTCGAGACGGTTGCTACTGGTTCAATGAAACTACAAACGTATCCAAGGGGAAGAAAAATAACGACGGCCCGAGCTTCGTCTGGCTGATGCTCAACTACAATTTTACAGATTGCGGTGACAAAAAATTGGAAAACGTCAAATATGTAACTTTTGATAAGTGAAGTCCAAGAGGACGATCTCTGAGAAGTTGCCGGATAATTTTGGGTCAAGTTTCTAAAATTCAAACATCATTTGAGGATCTGAAAAAAATTCTTAAAAGTGATAAGGTCTCTTATTTTTAGATGTAGGACTTTCAAAAGCTGCCTAATACTTGCTTCCGGTCTGGTTTCGCGTTAGAAGCAAAATTTTTAAATTCACAACTTAAGGAATAACCGTTTGATAAGGAATCCTGATCTTGACCTTCAGAAAGTCTTTGTGCGACTTTTTGAGAAGAATCCAAACTTCCTACTGAAAATGCTGTCCTATTGAGATATATTTCAACTTCCACTTCTTGAAATTTTCCCTGTTTTTGGTTCAAAGTCGAGAGACGCCAAAAATCCTGATTTTCGTCACCAAACTTTGAGAAGCCACAAAGACTTTCAAAAAAATCCCAGTACCTCAAAGTGTATCTCAGGAATTTTCCAGAGCTTCTCAGAGCTTGTCTTTTTGGACTTTCCTTGTGAAGAGTCTAAATCAAATTCTTCAGGAATGGTCCCGACCGTACTGTCAAAGTACAGATTCAACAAACACGACCTTCAAGATGCTGCAGTGGAAAGTTGAATTTGACGGAAAAACCTTCAGGTTTGACCTTTTTCAGCTGTCACGAAGTCATTAATAAAATAAGTTCCACGTTTCAGTGCTACCACCCGACCGTATACTACAAAGTCTTGTGGGAAAAATGGATGCGCTTCATGCGAAGATGGGTTCGCGATATGACATCAGACTGGTCCCAAATATTCATGGATATCAATGAATCTTGTATTGTTTTATGTTTGACAAGAGGAACACGAGCTTTATCTCAAAAGGTTATTTCACTTTCCTATTGGGAATTCCTCTTCTTAAGAACATCTATGAGTTCTTCAACCTTCCTTGACGAGCCCAGCTTTCAATACTTGGAACGAGCTTGAAATTCTAAAACACTGAAACGTTCATCTACAGTTTGTTCAGCCGAGGGTCTTTTATCCGAGCTAACCTCGGTTTCTTTTGGAGCGCGATTCGGAAATCTTGGATCCTCGGTAGTTCATCTACAGGTTATTCGACCAAGCCTTTGACTTTTTTCCTTTACAAGCTCGACTCAAAGGATTTTTTTTTACGAGTTCAGAAATCCTGAGCTCTTGATAGTTCATCTACAGGTTTTTCAACCTCCCTTGACGCGCTCAGCTCTCAATATTTTTGGGCACGACTCGGGAATCTTGAGCTCTTTGTAGTTCGTCTACAGTTTTTTAAACATTTGTTGACAAGCTCAGCTTGAAAAATGCTGGAGCACGAGTTTGAAACCTTGAGCTCTTGATAGTTCATCTACAGGTTCTTCAGCCAAAAACCTTCCTTGAAAAACTCAGCCCTGAAGATTTTGGAGCACAAGTAGGAAATCCTGGACCGTTGATAGTTTATCTACAGACTCTCCAATCAAAAGCCTTCCTTGACAATCTTTGCTCTGAAGATTTTGGAGCACAAGTCGGAAGCTCTTGGTAGGCATCTTGAAATGAGAGCCGCCATAAAATGAAGAAACTACACGTAAATCTATTTTTCTTCCTCGTTTGTATCAATAAAAACAAAACATTCTCTTCTCTGCGCTACGACACGCCTTTGAAATTAGTCTTCATAAAAAAGAGCAGGAAGTCGTTTTCTGCACAGAAGATGTTGCTAACCCTCTTCCTCGTTCTCCTTTTTTCGATCGGCTCCGAAAATTGTGAGGCATACTCTCTTCTCTGCCGTTTGAATATTGCTTTTGTAGGCTCATACCTTCTAGTCCGTGGAATTAATACTGACAAGGCTATGAAAAACGTAGCAATCAAAACGGAGAGCGATTGCTTGGCCTTTTGTGAGAACACCAGAGGATGCTGGGCTGGATTTCGAGCTTTTCGATGACCAAAGCGATTTTTGAGGGTTTTACTGTGCCCAGTTATAACATTTGCATCTGGTTCAACGCCACGGTGATGGGAACCGAAGTTCTCAAGACGGACGATGGTTCCAAATACACTTGGTTGATGCTCAACTACAATCTGACGGAATGTGTCGCGTTTGAAGACGTCAAATATGTAGTTCAGAGGACTCTGAAAAGATAAACTGAACTTTTAGGAGTGGTCCCGGCCTTTCTGCCAAAGCACAGATTCTACAAATACGACCTTTCAAATGTTACAATGGCAGATAGTCTTCGATGGGAGTTCTTTCAGGTTGGTTCAAAGACGGAACTTGGAATAATTGTGCGGAAACTTCTGAAGAAGATCCTTTAACAATTTTCCTTTTTCAGTTCAATCACACGTCCCTACGACCAATCCTGCGATCAAGGCGTGTGTCCAATATCGACAAAATTCGAAGATGGATACTCGTTCTGATAATCGACTTATCGAAACTGTTAAAAAATTAGGCCATACTCATTTCAATCATCTTTATCGATGAAGTTTATAGCAAAATATAAAATAAGTAGACCCATCGGAACTCTTATTTTCAAACACTTGATTGATTGGCTGGGATCGAACTGGAGACCCTCTAGACCGTCGACAGGCTAACAACATGTTCGCTCGTCGCTTTGCGGAAATTTCGTTGATGCTATCAAAAAAAAGGGCCCGTAGATCATCTCGCCCTTTTTTTTTGATAGTAGTGGAATAGTTTCGAGCTTTCTGATGATCCCCCATGAGGCAGCGAGGCTCCCACCTTTTCCAGGGCCGGCGAGCGTCGAAATAATCTCACCATCCGACGAGCGTAAATGAAGACCGACCACTCGGAAGGGAGAAATGTGAAAATGAACGGTGCCCATACTTATTAATTAATGATGATCAATAGCCGATTCACTGCTTGCTGAGAACGCTCCGGGGCGTTGCCTGTGTGCACTCTTCACCAACCAGGCCCCCTTTTGTTACCCATCGTTTCAGGACCCTTTTTTCGATGGTTCAAGCCAGCCGGGACTCAGCTATACTATCCCTCAGGTTCTGCCTTTGGTTTTTTAGAAGCCGTTTGGAAGCTGTCCAGCAAGTAGCCTAACATCTTCCACATACCTTCCGAACACCTCTGCTTTAAAAAAAAACTGTCGGAAGCCTTCCGGAAGCTTTCCAGCAGGCTTCTGACATGCATTTTTCATTTTCACCTTCCAAATACTTTCCAAATACCTTCAGAACAGCTTCTAATGGCTTTCTTAAGACCTTCCAGCTTCCATACACCTTTCAACCTCCTGCTGGTTACCTTCCCCACATTCCCAGGATTGGCCTGAGTTCTCAAACATTAATGATCAATAGCCGAATCACCGCTTGTTCAGAACGCTCTGTGGCGTGGCCTGTCTGCGCTTGCGGTTACTTCCGCTGGTACTTTGGCTACCAACCAGCCAACCTCTTGTTATTCATCGTTACAGGACCCTTTTCCGATGTCTGAAGCCAGCCGTGAATTAGCCGTATCACCCGGAAAACTTATAATCCCTAGGAAATTGTAGCGGAAGTACCGCATCACGACCCCTTGAGGAGACTTTTCAAAACCTAGACAGCCTGAGTGTTCATACAGTCTTCAGAAAACCATTCCTGTCGCTTCTGAAAAGCTATAAAATCCAAAAGGTCCCAGCACTTGTCCATCGAGCAATCCCACCAATAAAATTCGACCTCCCAAAAATCTCAAAAGACCAGGAAAAACTAAAGATCACATCACTATTCGTTGCAAATGTTGCCATTGAAAATGAGGAAATTCCTCGTCATAAAACGGGACGCTTCCATGCCAACCTCGTTGAGAATGAATACCTCATTTGAACATATTGCGCGACATTTTCTTCCTGTTTTATACAATGCTTTCAAATTTCTTCTTCTTACTTCTTTCACTCCCGCACGGCTTTGAAAGTGGTAAAAGACGTCGGTTTTTTTTTTCAAACTTTCAAAGATTACAGGTTCCTATCTCGTGATAAATGCAACCTGTTCTGGCAATATTTACCAGCAATCGAATATCACATCCGAAAGCAGTTGCTTAGATTTTTGCGAATGTACAAGAGGATGCGGGGTTCCTACCATTCAGATTGTGTTTGTTAGTCGCTTTTTTTGGAATTTTTTTGATTTTTTTTTGCGCTAACAACCTCCTGCCGTTTTGCCCGTGCATATCGGTCACGAACAAATCTGATTACTAAACACAGTAGCCTGGATTTGTTCTATCAGTAATCGACCTTATTCCTAATTAAATAGAGCAAATCCCTTATTGGGGGTAAGACATGAAGATGCCAGAAAAAAACATGACCTGTTGGCCGCCATTCTCGCGGCAAAGGAACAAAGGCATCAGGGGCAATCCTTGCGTTTTGCAATGGCGTACCTTCGCGGCAGATATAATGGCGGTGCGTTTACAAAAACAGTAATCGACGCAACGATGTGCGCCATTATCGCCTAGTTCATTCGTGACCTTCTCGACTTCGCCGGACTAAGTAGCAATCTCGCTTATATAACGAGCGTGTTTATCGGCTACATCGGTACTGACTCGATTGGTTCGCTTATCAAACGCTTCGCTGCTAAAAAAAGCCGGAGTAGAAGATGGTAGAAATCAATAATCAACGTAAGGCGTTCCTCGATATGCTGGCGTGGTCGGAGGGAACTGATAACGGACGTCAGAAAACCAGAAATCATGGTTATGACGTCATTGTAGGCGGAAGCTGTTACTGATTACTCCGATCACCCTCGCAAACTTGTCACGCTAAACCCAAAACTCAAATCAACAGGCGCCGGACGCTACCAGCTTCTTTCCCGTTGGTGGGATGCCTACCGCAAGCAGCTTGGCCTGAAAGACTTCTCTCCGAAAAGTCAGGACGCTGTGGCATTGCAGCAGATTAAGGAGCGTGGCGCTTTACCTATGATTGATCGTGGTGATATCCGTCAGGCAATCGACCGTTGCAGCAATATCTGGGCTTCACTGCCGGGCGCTGGTTATGGTCAGTTCGAGCATAAGGCTGACAGCCTGATTGCAAAAATTCAAAGAAGCGGGCGGAACGGTCAGAGAGATTGATGTATGAGCAGAGTCACCGCGATTATCTCCGCTCTGGTTATCTGCATCATCGTCTGCCTGTCATGGGCTGTTAATCATTACCGTGATAACGCCATTACCTACAAAGCCCAGCGCGACAAAAATGCCAGAGAACTGAAGCTGGCGAACGCGGCAATTACTGACATGCAGATGCGCCAGCGTGATGTTGCTGCACTGGATGAAAAATACACGAAGGAGTTAGCTAATGCGAAAGCTGAAAATGATGCTCTGCGTGATGATGTTGCCGCTGGTCGTCGTCGGTTGCACATCAAAAGCAGTCTGTCAGTCAGTGCGTGAAGCCACCACCGCCTCCGGCGTGGATAATGCAGCCTCCCCCGACTGGCAGACACCGCTGAACAGGGATTATTTCACCCTCAGAGAGGCTGATCACTATGCAAAAAAACAACTGGAAGGAACCCAGAAGTATATTAATGAGCAGTGCAGATAGAGTTGCCCATATCGATGGGCAACTCATGCAATATTAGTGAGCAATACACACGCGCTTCCAGCGGAGTATAAATGCCTAAAGTAATAAAACCGAGCAATCCATTTACGAATGTTTGCTGGGTTTCTGTTTTTAACAACATTTTTCTGCGCCGCCACAAATTTTTGGCTGCATCGACAGTTTTTCTTCTGCCCAATTCCAGAAACGAAGAAATGATGGGTGATGGTTTCCTTTGGTGTTACTGCTGTCGGTTTGTTTCTCAACAGTAAACGTCTGTTGAGCACATCCTGTAATAAGCAGGGCCAGCGCAGTAGCGAGTAGCATTTTTTTCATGGTGTTATTCCCGATGCTTTTTGAAGTTCGCAGAATCGTATGTGTAGAAAAATTAAACAAACCCTAAACAATGAGTTGAAATTTCATATTGTTAATATTTATTAATGTATGTCAGGTGCGATGAATCGTCATTGTATTCCCGGATTAACTATGTCCACAGCCCTGACAGGGGAACTTCTCTGCAGGGAGTGTCAGGGAATAATTAAAAACGATGCACACAGGGTTTAGCGCGTACACGTATTGCATTATGCCAACGCCCCGGTGCTGACACGGAAGAAACCGGACGTTATGATTTAGCGTGGAAAGATTTGTGTAGTGTTCTGAATGCTCTCAGTAAATAGTAATGAATTATCAAAGGTATAGTAATATCTTTTTATGTTCATGGATATTTGTAACCCATCGGAAAAACTCCTGCTTTAGCAAGATTTTTCCCTGTATTGCTGAAATGTGATTTCTCTTGATTTCAACCTATCATAGGACGTTTCTATAAGATGCGTGTTTCTTGAGAATTTAACATTTACAACCTTTTTTTAAGTCCTTTTATTAACACGGTGTTATCGTTTTTCTAACACGATGTGAATATTATCTGTGGCTAGATAGTAAATATAATGTGAGACGTTGTGACGTTTTAGTTCAGAATAAAACAATTCACAGTCTAAATCTTTTCGCACTTGATCGAATATTTCTTTAAAAAAATGGCAACCTGAGCCATTGGTAAAAACCTTCCATGTGATACGAGGGCGCGTAGTTTGCATTATCGTTTTTTTATCGTTTCAATCTGGTCTGACCTCCTTGTGTTTTTGTTGATGATTTATGTCAAATATTAGGAATGTTTTTCACTTAATAGTATTGGTTGCGTAACAAAGTGCGGTCCTGCTGGCATTCTGGAGGAAATACAACCGACAGATGTATGTAAAGACCAACGTGCTCAAATCTTCATACAGAAAGATTTGAAGTAATATTTTTAACCGCTAGATGAAGAGCAAACGCATGGAGCGACAAAAATGCATAAAGATCAATACACTGATGCCCCCTCCCAGGAGCAGGTTCGTGTAAAAAAATATGCTTAATAGCACCATTTCGATGGGTTACCCGGATGTTGTAATTGCATGTATAGAACATCAAGTGTCTCTGGAAGCATTCAGGGCAATTGAGGCCGCGTTAGTAAAGCACGATAAGAATACGAAGGATTATTCCCTGGTGGTTGACTGATCACCATAACTGCTAACCATTCAAACTATTTAGTCTGTGACAGAGCCAACACGCAGTCTGTCACTGTCAGGAAAGTGGTAAAACTGCAACTCAATTACTGCAATGCCCTCGTAATTAAGTGAATTTACA